CTTACGGCGGCGCCAAGGGTTTCCTGGGGCGACAGCGATCGCTGAGATAGGACAGAGGGCCTTGATAGGCGCGCCCGTTTGGCGGCGGCGGCGGCAGCAGCAGTATTGGTGGGAACTCGAGAGCGTTTGGCCATCGTGGGCGATACTAAACACTAAAGAAAAATGTCTGTATAGGTAGCTAGGCAACTAGTGTTGTGTGTAAGGGATTATTAGGGAACTGAGTGAGCGAAATCGTTGTTGTATTGAGAACAGCGAAGGACTAGCTATATAGGTGCGGGGTGAAGCCTAGAAGAGGCTAGCCCCTAAGCAGAAGGAGCTAGTCCTATAAGAGGAGAGCTAGCTGGTGAGAAGTGAATGCATAGAGACTGGCTTGCCCGGCCGACAGGGATCACAAGCTAAGCGAGATAGGGGTCCAAGATAACTATCTTCAACACCAAAAACCTTCTCTTAATACGACACTACTCGCCTTACAACTCGTTAATAATAAATCAATCTAACTAATCAAATCAATCAATCTGACCTTCGCAAGTTGATTTGATTAGCTATTTTGAAAAGCTTAGATTGAGTTGATTGAGTTGGTAAAAACTCCAAATGACCAATCAAATCAATCAATCTGACCAATCTGGATTGATTGTTGCGGAGTCTGACATGAACAGAGTGAGTCCCCAAACAGGGAGTTAGACGACGTGTAGAAGAAGCTGCTAGTATGATAGGAAAATGGAAGGGCTTATCAGTATGGCCGACGTACCAGTGGCTGCTTATTCATGACGCGAAAATCGATTGAAGTGGGGGATACTGAAGCTTTGACGCGCTTTGAACCGGACCTCCTAATAAGAAGCTCGTATTGCCGGCAGATCTTCGCCTTGCGTCCGCAAATACTTCAGAACTGAAGGTATCAACAAGATTTTGGATGATCTAGTGCTTATCCTCCAACATTTAAAAATCTTGTCTTGATTCTGATTGACTGAAAACAAATTGTGAGACGCTCGGAAGAGTAGAAGAACGGACCTTGCTTACTGAATCTATATTCACGTCGGCCTGTGAAAGTAGATTCACAACTAGTGGGCATGCATGTATTGAACAACGAAATCATGAATTGGAGGTATAGAAGTAATATATAAAGGCCTTACTCTCGAGTATTCCCTCTAACAGTACTCATCTCTCATCGACATTCCTCATCAACATCTACAAAATCATCATGGTTTCTCTAAAATCTATCCTCCTTGTGGTTTTCTGTGGAACATCCTATGCCGTACCTTTTGCGCCAAACTACGCTGTCGAGTATGTCTACTATCGCTATGAATTTCAACTAAAGCTTACAACTACTCAAGGCTCTCTGCGCCTGTTGCTAGGGCTGTCGAGATCCCTGATATCTCTCTTGCTACCAAAAAGTAACCTTCACACAAGCTCTATGTTCCAACTTTGCAACTACTGATAATACTAGATCCATGTCCTTGCCTGACCCCAGCAGATCTGGCCTCGAAACCAGAGGCATCGAGAGCGGAACATTCATTATCAAATGGATCCATGCCCTAGACAACTCCAAAGACTTGACCTTCAGGGCAGCCATAATATATCTTCAGGGTCAGGTCTTCGCGCCTTCCGGATCGGGTGTATATGCAAGGTTGTCAGTAATCAATATCTCATCAATATTGTTGTTTGATTTGTTTGATTCGGAGCCAACCAACTAACCAACAGTTAGCCACTGTATTTCTGTCAATCAATCAACCAATCTTGAGAACAAAATGTTGATAGGATTGGTGTTGTTTGATAGTAAGCGAGGGAGGGGGATACCTAGGTGAGGCCTCTGGGATAGCTGCTCAACGACGAATTCTTAGTGTTGGATCTTGCTTACTAAGCCTACTCGCGTGTAAGTTATATGACCTAGGTTCCATCCCATCTCTCACTCACTCCAGGCTAGTACGTACGAGGCTTAGCGCCCACAACGCTAGCTGGCAGAGACATAGATCTCAATTCCTGTAGCACAATACACAACACGATTCACACATGTTCTATTCCTAGTGCTACTGACATCAGGCTTATAACATTTAACAACACCTTACTTTCTCGCGGCTCCGGCTTACTTTTAGCCTTATCCATGCCCTCTATACCAGCAAAACGCAAGCCCGAGGCTGCCGAAGAAGCTGATACTCCCTTCAAGCGAGCACAACGTACGCGCAAACCTACGCTCAAAGCGCTGTTGGGTGACGGCAGCCAGCCAACCCAGCCGATAGAGCTGCCAGAAAGTACGCCGGATCCGCCTACAGAGCCGCCTACACAAGTTATCGAGCCGCCCACACGGGCTATTGAACCGCCATGTAAGCCTGTACAACAACCCGAGGAGCGCCCTCGGCGGGCATCACCACTGCCTATTTTGGCTGCCTCACAAGCCTCTCGGCTCACTGATGAGCCAGCCTGGGAGTCGCAGTTAATGTTTGATAAGCCAGAGGACTCTATTGTACAGCCTTTAGCTTTCTCTAGCGCTGCCACTGAGGCTTCGGTGGAGGAGGATAGCGCTGTGAGCGTCGATTTTCGCGACTTTGAGGCGTCGATTGGTCGCGATTAAAGGGGTTTGTCGCGCCGCTGAGCACTCCACGAGGCAAGGCAAGCTGGATTTTTCAACACGGCTGGCGTGTCTGGAAGGAGGGTACTCACCACCCAGATGAGTTGTACTTTGTGTGCAAGTACTGTCATATTCATAAGCTACCTAATGGTGTACACCGAGTAACGAAGTCAACCACTGCCGCCAACGGGCACCTCCAGCTTGATAAACCTGGTCATCGGCTCAGCAAAGATGGTCCAATCCTAAGCAAACCTCTCCGCAAACATGGACAACAATCACTTCGTCAGGCAGCTCTAAGCGGTGTCAAATTTAGTCTAGAGGCGTACAAGACTATAGGAAACTTCGACGTACAAGAATTTCGGCAGGCAGCTGCGCTCTGGCTGGTCGACAACAACAGACCACTCCGCGAGTTTGAGACGCCGGCTTTTCGCAAGATGATCAGGCTTGCTAATCCTGAGGCAGAGGCGGCGTTATGGAGGTCTCATAACAGCGTGTCAGCGTTCGTGATGAGGTTGTACAGTTGGCTACGGCCTCAGGTGGTGCGCGCGTTGGCTGAAGCCGAGAGCAAGGTACATATAAGCTTCGATGGGTGGACGACAAAAGGCGGCAAACGTGGCTTCTTTTCTGTAGTTGCTCACTACGCCAACAGTAAGGGCGCGATAGTTGACCTACCCATCGCGCTGCCGCAGCTGGTGGGTGCCCACACTGGTGAGGCGATAGCTGACGCTGTAACCAAAATCCTGCAATCCTTCAGCATTAATCGCAGCAAACTCGGCTACTTTGTGCTCGATAACGCTTACAATAACGACACCGCTGTTAACAAACTCGCCGCGATGTACCACTTTTCTGCCTCCGATCGCCGCCTCCGCTGCGCTTGCCACATACTTAACCTTGTTGGCCAAACGATTATGTTCGGGAGGGATGCTGACGCGTATAACAACGCCCTGGAGAACACAAAGATGGAGGATTTTTACATGAAGGAGTGGCGGAAAGAAGGACCGCTTGGCGTGTATCTTGATATTATCAACTACATCAACACGCCGAAGCAGTGGAGTATTTTTGAAGATTGCCAACGCGAGGCAGTTAACAGCATGCCCACAGGCGCCAGCGGCGGCACTCGCGAGCCAATTAAGCCGTGTGTTACACGTTGGAACAGCTATTACGACTGCTTTAAGCGCGGAGTTCAGCTCCAACAAGCTATCAACGCATACGCCACGTACCACATTCGCGAGACTGAACAGGCTGACGAACAGGCAGCTATTAGAGGAAACAAGCTGCCTGATGTGCCGCGGTGGATGAGGTCAGACGGCCTTACGGCGGCTGACTGGGCGGTGATTACTGAGTACATGGCGATACTGCAGCCGCTCAAGTTTGCTACAGATCGCCTCCAAGGCCGCGGCAAGTGTGGCCGTTTTGGCGCACTCTACGAGGTCATCCCAGTATTTGAGAGTGTGATAACTGAGCTGGATGCACGCCTTCGGCCATACGAATCGGTCAACCACGAGCCATCTGAGGCGCCCGAAGATCACATCCCGATCAACCTGCGAGCCGCGAGGCGAAAAGCGAGCAATTACTTTACTAAGATCCTCCAAAGTCCCATTTACTACGCAGCTACGGCACTACATCCACGATATAAAACATACTCTAAGCGCTTCTGGCGCGACAAACCTACACAATTGAGCACCGCGCACGCGAAGTTTCTGCGGGTTTGGGCTGCCTACAAGCCTGCCGCTGCTGCCACAACACCAACCCCTGCGCCAAAACCTACCATGAGCAGCTTTGACGACGCTATCGACGCTATACTAGATGAGGACGGCGAGCATACATTGGAGGTGGAGGATGAGTACGATAGCTGGTTAAAAGAGCCTATGTGGATGTCTGATCAACACAAGGAGGGTCCAACAGCTGTACAGTACTGGTTATCGTTGAAGCCGAAGTATCCACATCTTTCACGATTGGCGATCGACGTGTTGACTATACCCGCCTCCAGCTCTGATTGTGAGCGCGTTTTTGCGGGAACTGGCGATATAATTGAGCCACAAAGGCGGAAAATTGGCGCGCAGTTACTGGCTGCTTTGGTGTGCTTGCAACGGTGGACTCGTGCAGGTTTTACAACACCAAGCACGACAACAGCAGCAAAGCATACTGATGAGGAGCTCACGGAAGAGTTTGCGATAGGAACGTGGGAAGAGCCGCCTGCAGAATTGTCATAGAAACGTCCCTTCAGAACCTTAAGTCTATCAATATTCAATCAATCAACCAACCAAAAATTGGCTCTTCAGTCTCATCAACTCAAACAAACAAACTGTAGCCCTAAGAAATGAGCCAGTCAATCAACATCTACGCCTCAAATGTTGGTTGTTTTGTTTGTTGACTTCTCTGTGTATATGCCTCTCCGATAGCGGAGATGAAGCATGAGCCTGGACAGATTCTTTTCCGTGTCACGTTCCTCTCTGCAAGCGGAGTCTACACAGCCGTTGCTCGTGTTCTTTTTGATACTATCAAAGGAGCTATTGTCTCAGCTATTGACGAAGGCCTAGAGGAGAATGGTAAACACATTAGCAATTTTTTCCAGTACAAATTCGATAAGTCATAATTTCGTTACTGTACGTTCACAGGAGAAGTTACAGCAATTACAGTTCGTATTTTTATAAGCATTGATAGAACTGGTTGTCTGATTTCTTAACCTGTCGGGGTTGAAGTACATGATGAGCCAAGCCAAGCCTCGTGTTTAGATGGAGGAACATTACATGGCCAGTTGTTCGTTATCAAAGGCCACTATCAGCGATATCGGCATAGCGCACAAGGAATATCTTAAAATATCGACAATAGAGCTCTTATATAACACTTTTTCGCCATAAACACTAAATTACATGCGCCCAAACACCCTGCTGCATCACATTGTCACCACATAGCTCCTCACAATGTCTAAACACACTTTCAACACCCATCCATACTGGCTTTCGTCAGTTGCATTTAGGGGGGTATACAGTTCCCGCTGGAAATGTATTGCTACAATGCTGGTTGTCGCATGGATCGGTGCAGTGCTTCGAAGTGAGACAAACGCCCTGTACGCATTTGCACCAGCCGTGATCGCAACCGTAGGATTTGTTCTGGAATTGTGAAACGCCTTGGTTAGCATAGCTCTTGAGAGGGGTAATAGGTGCCTTTGCTAGTAGATTAGAAGACTCACTTCTTTTATTGCTGGATCCGCAGCCGGGATGGCGGTAACCGTGGTGACGAGCACGAAGAACAATGTTGTCCAGCGCATTTTTGAGGGACGTTGCGGGTTTATTGATGGTCGTGGAGGACAAGGGTCGAGTTTTGTATGTATGAAGTATGAAGTATGAGTGTAGAGTTGTGGATGTGTGTGGATGTGAGCAGTGGAGCTGTGTGTAGGGACGACAAGGGCAAAGATTTGTGTGAAGAGAATAAGGTCGGAATTTCGTGCCTAGAGTGAGACATCAGAAGACAGTTTGATAGTTGAGTGAGGGTTTACCATGCTATCTATATAGTCTTGCGAGGAACGATCATTTCACAAAGCGTATCTCCTGAACGATGTAGGCCCGTAATACTTACCTAGAATATCGTCTGCGGCATATCTTCGCCTCTCTCAACTAGATGAAGCTCAAGCTAACGACATGGTCGCTTTATGGCACTCACACCCGGAAACCCCAATAGGGAGCATCTCCCAAGGCGGGCTATGAGGAAGACCGTAGAGATCGTCCATGTGCTGAACAACGCCACGTCCCCGTAACTGTTTTCAGCCAGTATATCGGAATTCACCGCCTCAAACACGACAGTGGAGTATGAATAGGCTAGTGGCTCTCTTCGACCGTGATGGACTTTGAAAAAGACCATAAGATCAGCAACCTGCCAGACAAAGTCATGTCCCTGTACCTGAATTTAGTTAGTAAATCGGACTTCCCCGTAAAAAGGTATGGCGAGAGTGCTCGTTGCAAGGCTGTCCAAAGATAGCTGCGGTTCCGTATAATATCGATGGTATGGACTCAGCGCTCGTGATGCAGGGACGATGTACGATGAGCCAATCACTCCTGTTACAGCAATCTATTGAAACAAAGTCTCGATGACATGATGTTCGTATTCCAAACGGGGAACCAGACTTCTTGATACGAAGCTCGTATCGCCACCCACTCCCGAGGATCGCATGTAGTCGAGTGGTACCAAGTAGATCTAGCCGCAAGCCCAGAGCCTATGCTCAAATGCCTAGCCGCAAACAACGGCTTTTAATTGCTGGGATAACCCTATGTATGACTTCCGGTACGCTCGTACAGTCAAAAGCACGAGCCGGACTTGGTGAGTCTAGACTCGTGCTAGCCTGTGTATGTAAGCCGCCACAACGCTAGGCGGGATGGTAGTGTAGGACCATGGCATTGCGGACAACTTGTATGCAAAACGTTTGAAGGCCCCCTCTACAAGCAGGGGGATTTTTGCTATGTGTTTCCTCATGGGCATTCCCTCCAGCAGTACTTGTCATTGATCCATGCCCCAGAGCCATCGTCTTCTCTCGAAAACATTTTCTTTTGATGGACTTTTGCAACGCAGCATACATCGTACAACTGTTACAAACTACAACTAAGGCTTATGAGTGCTCAAACTTTCTCCATATGCTCGTTGTTAAGACTACAGAGCTTCCTGATGTTTTTTTTTGCTGCCATGAGGCCATTTCCGCCGAGGTCCCGCGCTCTTTCTCTTTTGGTCATTAATCAATCCCCAAGTTCGGAAGTCGTGATCCACACCATGAGCGTGTTGAGTGGCATACAAAGTTATGAAAGCGGCAAACTCTATTTCGAGCAAGATTTTTCACCGTGAGGTTACATCATGCGTCAAGCTCTGGGGTTGACAGCGGAAGAAGGCGAAGCAAGGCTACCCGGGAGATTAACAGTCCTTGATGACGATCAGAGTACACTCTATACACACGTACGATTCATCCACTCCCCACTCCTCACCCCCAAGCCTACATCTGAAACTCCAACCTCCTCCTCAATACCACAATCTCAAACTCCTCCCTACAACTCCACACCCCCGGCCCCGCCATCATCCTCCTAACATCCGCATACCCCCTCCTCCTCCAATATGGCCCAGCCTGACACTCGGCTGCCAAGATCCAAAGATCTACACTCCCACCCGCTCCAGCCCCTTCTCTCATCAGCGCGTCCCGCTCCAGCCCCACAAGATAATCTTCTAGGAATGCAAGGAGCCGCACTGCAAGACCACGCCGTTGGTAGGCGGGGGACGAATGTACGCAGACAATTTTTATCTCCCAGCCTGTCTCGCTGTCGGCGCCTTCTTTTAGGTGGCCGCCGCGCCAGGGGATGTTTGCAGCGCAGGCGACTGGTTTCTTGTGTGTGTGCGTTGATAGAGTGGATGTTGGGGAAGAGGATGTGGTTTGTCCGCTGTCAGTAGAATCGTTGTCGCTGCCCATCCCATCCTCCCCCAATTCCTCGAACATCACAGCTATAGCGCCCATGGCCTCATCTTCTCCTAGCATATTGTACAACTCCTCCACGTTATCGAATCTCGGTATGGAATTATCCCATTTTCCGGCTTCCTGGTCTTTGGACCATGCGAAGCAGTCGTTTACGAGATCGACTATGGCTTGGGAGAGCGTGGGGTTGGCTTGGAGGGCTGAGCGTGTGTAGAGCGTGGGTGGTGAGACGGTAGGTGATGATGTCATCTTACATGCGATACCGGGACGAGTTGATCAGGGTAGCTGGTAGGCTGATTATCTGATGGAGAGATAAGAAGAGAAGAAGCTTTACACGCTTAGTTTATATCTACTGGTGTGTACTGCCTTGTTTCTGGATCCTGAGTCTTAGGTTCTTAGGTGCGCGGGCGTTGATTATGTGTAAAGACATGCTCTCGGCCGTGTCTGCGTTGGGGCATCGCGCAGTTTTTGCGTCGCTGGTGGCTGCACCTTCCTGTTTTGGAACAAGTATCGTGACGGATAACGTCGCGGAAAAGGCTCCGAAAGACCATCGCACGGCCACGGAGATGGTCAGGATGACGGTTTTGATGGCAAGGAAGATGCTGTGATGATTTTGCTGCTGCGTGTCTTGGGCAGGTGAAAAGCTCCGAGATTTTGCCGAAATACATACCTCGGTGCGTGAGCTGACATGGCCATCTTCCTTTTTGCTGAATCCCCCCTCTAATCTCGCAGTAGATTGAATAGATGTTGTGGGTAGCAAAGGCCTGTATGAACCGTGCAGTTCACGAAGAATCATACATGAAACAATCAGCCGCACTTGTGGAAAACATTCATTACAATAGACATCAGATTCGTCTCTACGTACTATCCATACTTTTTGCTATGCCGCATGTGGCATGCGTGGTATCATGAAGTGGCAACCGCCGAGGTATCAATGAAAGACTAAGAAAACCACCACCCAGGAAGAAAGAAAAAGAAACCATGTGTTATATTTCTGCGACCAGCGACGTGGTCCGCTCTGCGGAGTAGGATCAACCTGGGAAAAAGGATGGGTCGCAGCATGCGCGGCATGCTGCTAGACCGGCGACTGCCAGGTCGACCGTGTGTGTCTCGAATTACCCGGGCCAATGGCTGGGAAAGGCGTCAGGCGCCTCTCGGATCTACTCTGATCTCTGGCCACGGGAAATGTGGATATTGCCTGGCCAATCATGTTTTGTGGGACATGATGTATGGCAAAGTCGCTTGGTGTGGGTGACGTTGGTGACATGGGCGAAGCAGGAGATAGGGGCAATGGTGGGAGTCTTTCCGCGTCGCACTCATTGACAAGCAGAGTAGTGCGCATGCTGGATGTACGAGAGTTGTGACCGGTAGTGTAGCGACCGAGTTCGATATCGTCGTAGTCACGGTCGCAAATGATGTCGGCGGTGAGCGACGACATGTGTCGGTTTCCCATAGACTCCAAGGTACTCATTGGAGAGTGCGTTATCTGTATCTCCTTGTGGATATGAACGCCACCCTGGTTGTCTACTGACATGCCAGTATGCGAGTCGAGGTATCCACTGGAGTTGTGTGATCCACTGCTGATGGAGAACTTTGAAGCCAGTTTGCTCCACAAGCCGGTTGTATTGACGCGTGCCGATCCGCCGTGCCCGCTGTCCTGGCGTTCCTTGCAGCCCGAAGGTGACTTGGGCTTTGGAAGCGATGCGAGCTTTTCCTGGAAGAAGTGCTTGAAGAATACCTTGAAAGAGGGAGCATTGGCACACAGACAGCCAATGTGCAACTCCAGCATCGAGGTAAGTAGGATATTCCACGTTGACCAAGTGATATCGTACGTGTTGTAAAAGGTATACCAACTGTAGTACGCACGCAAAAGTCCCAGCGCGACAACACCGTAACCAATGGCAAAGATACCAAACAGAGCCAGCTTTTGTTTGATAGGGATCTTGAGATTCCAGTAGAGAAAGGTGGGAAGGATGGCTGTAATGAAGTCCTGGGAAGCTGAGATGACGCTGGCAGCCACTACGTCGGCACCTTCGTCAAAGCACTGGTACTCATAACCTCCCAATACTTTCAAGACGTTGACTTGATCCCAAAACGCCGAGATTGGCTGGCAACCGAGGATGGGAGCGAGTGTAAGAGCGATACTGTATGCGACGATGAAACCAATGCAGATCCAGGTTGTATAGACGAAAGCTCTCGACACCGCACGCGCTGAAAGCCGTCGGTAGAATAGGAGGATTGATATCTTGATGAGACCGGAGGCGACACAGAACAAGCATTCTATGGCCAGAAGAATCTTGCGCGCAGTGACTACTCTCTCAGGGTCACGCAGGTAGTCGATATCCCAGATGTGTCGATCAAAGGTTTGCATGCTACCTGAGAGGCATTAGTCGTGTGGTGTTGAGAAGAGGGCGGCAGACTTACAGAGAGGATACAAGACTGTCAAAGCAATGACGGGTATCTAGACGAGTTAGCATACGAGGTCGACGAGCTTCAAAAAGGAAACCCACAGTGGCAGCTAACATCAACCAGTCATCCCATCCTGGGCACCTCTGGTGGAATATTCTGACCCAAAGCCTAATCAGAAGCATCATCACCGTAATAGGCCCGCCTATGTAGGCCAGTAGAGTGATAGTGTTTGGTCGCATTTCTGGGTTGGCATAGTTGGATTTGGGCCACGACGCCGTGACCTCGATGGGGGGATGGAGACCGCCAGGCATTGTGTAGAAGAACTCAAAGAATTCGTTGTAGAACAGCTTTCCGAACCACAGCAAAGTGCAGCAACGGCTTTTCAAGTGAGGGGATGCCTACCATTTATGCATGGTGGCGTTTGATTTTGGCCAAGATTACTTGGGACAGCACTAGGGCAGTTTAGGCTTACAGATGTAAGATAGGGTGTTTTAACTTCGACCTTAAGGTTCGGAATCGGGACTAGCCAGCCCTTAATCTTGCAATAAAACTCCGAATCTTAGTGACCAATAGAAAGAATTATAGGTAATGTCATGATGCCGAAGACGGGAGTGGCAGAAGTACAGCTTGACTTCCAACGTGTAGACACTCGAAAATGCGAATAACACTCCCCAAAGCTATGAATGACTACTGTAATCATTCGTCCGTCCATCTAAACATCCCTAGCCTTGAATTACTCGTATCTCCCAGGTGGGTAATGACCAAGGGAGGTGTAACGTATTTGCAAGGGCGTAGAGGAAGTGGGTTGATTCTGGAAAAGAAAAGAAAATTTTAGCCAATGCGAAAGCCGGGGCGGATGACACAACGCACGAGCCGGTAGTTGAGACTCTTCCAGTTCTGTATACAGGTACATATGAGCCCACAATGTGGAGATCCAACGTGCATCATCTGCGATCAAGAGTAGGGCTTGTTTCCGCGGCCAGGCTTTTTATCGGTGAGCCCACCAAACGCCTCGCCGACCTCGAAAATGTGTGTTGAGCCCCAGTAACTTACTACGTCTGCTATGCTTCTCAGCGCCTTGGCTCGGTAGTGTGAAGTAGAATGCAAGTACAGCCAATTCATTAGCGCACGACCATGAGACGCGGGTGACTCATGAGTGGAAAATTCATGGGCGATTCATGGGAGACCCATGGGTAGCTGACAGAAAATCGGCCTGGCTTCCGTACCTATGAGATGAGCTCATATTGTAACCGCAGAGCCCATGTGGAGGAGTGACCTGCATTACAGCACAGGTGCATGCGCTCGTTTCCAGCGTATGACCATCAGGGACGTTTGTCAAACCGGTTTTGAATTACGCGGCCGAGTGTATCCATGTATGGGGCCAGGGACGGAAACGGGTCTCAGACCAGGGCTCGGCATCCGGATGCTCCCGCCGTCGTGGTCCCTGTCAGCTGTCAGTCCGAGGTTGTGCCTTGCGAATGGAGGCCATCGCGCTGGATAACGTCGCCAATCGTCTCCGGCACTCGATCGATTCGAGTAAAAGCCTCCGAGATGCACGATGCCATATGCAAGATGCAGTGCCAGCCTAACAAAATCGTGGCGACTCAGACTGATCGGTGTACATACAGGTAGCATCAGCAATATGCGCCTGGCCACGGATTGGGAAGACTGAAAGGACTAGCGAATTAAGATACCTGCCAGACAGGGTATAGAGGATTGCGGAGATAAAAATGTGATGATATACATCATTTCATGCGGGAGGACGGGTTGCGGCCTCGGCTGGTCTATCCCGCACGCAGACGAGCAAACGGAAGCTCCTCGGCCAAAGGTATCAAACCTGAAGCAGAAAAGCAAACAGCGTCAATTAACTACACACCAATGCCTGAGAGCCTGTCATACGGCACAGCTTGGCATACAGTGGGGGTGCGAGTAGGAGAACCGGGAAGTGGAGTCGCGTGGGACAAAGTGGTCGATGCTACGAAGGATCCGTACTGTTTAGTTGCCGTGACGGGGTGCAATTGAAGATCAGCGACTCATAGAGTGCTATGATTTCACTGAGATCGTTATTTAGCTGTTGTGTTCGTAGTTGCAGGTGTTGGTGGACCCTTTACTCGGAGAACATGTCTTCTCCGGGTTGCGATGGCAGCCTCGCCTCCAATTCCCTCCTGGCTAGTGCTCGATTAGGCTAGGTGCTAGTGGACACGTGCATCACCACCACACTTCGCCTACACGACTGCAGAAACCGTCCTGAAAAGGCGACCCCATACTTTGGCATCCTGCACGTACTACTGGCCGTTGATAGTCTGCAGAGTGGAGATGTCGCCATGGGTCAAGCGTTCATGTGACATGTCCTGAGTCGAGGAGCACAAGATCGACGTCTCGTTCGCATTCGCGTCGAAAAGATTCAAACGTCGACCAATTTCCTTGGAGAAGTCCTTTCATTCAGGCCGTGACACCTGTACCCCGGCTCCGTATCAGATGGGGCGTGATGCTGCACATTGTCTTCGAAAGGGTATGGCTCGGTTCCGATGTTTTTGCTTTTGCGGGAACAACGTTCCAGAGCCGTTGAGTGGCGTACGTCCGACGCGGACATGTCAACTTGAACACAAAAAACAAACATGTATCGGATACTGTCAGCCGTTGCAAGAGTAAGTCTACTGTACATGTTCGCTTATCATCGTTTGGCTCTGCTCGCAGTACCATCGTTCGCCGCTACTGCAGGTTACAGACTGACATGTTAGGTTTCCCTGTGTAATACGATAAGCCACAACTGCATGCCGCACTGCTGCCGAGACAGATCAGAATCACCCCACGAAGACAGTGATTGCATGACAGTTTTGCAGGACACTGGGGGTTGTCTGCTCACGATAAACAAGCCCACTAAGACTAATCAATCGTGTGCTGAGGGGGTAAGCCTGGGTCATGATCGGCGAGGCCGGACGATGACAAGAAGGCGAATATGCAACGTCGAAAAGAAAACATTGCTTTTGCGAGTCGGTTGACAGTCTGTTGACACACTGATGGGGTGAAATACGAACATTTTCCAAGGTCAATGACTTGTTGACGAGGTGCGAATCTGCGACAGTTTTTTGCTTTTTGCGCGTACTTATTACCAAGGCTTCCAAGACAATGCTCCTCTTTACACCTCGTACCGACGTCGTATACGAGGTTCTGGTCCTGTTGGTTAACGAATGCGAGAACTAACGACTCGACGCTTGTGACGTAGATGTTCCGACGTGCTGACAGATGCTGGGAAGGGTTTTTGCGTGTGATCAGTCAGCGCACTGGTACGGAGATTCAAGCCAATGTCCAGTTTCCGGAGTTGTTGGAGAGAATCTAAAGCTGAAAAACGGTGGTCTCCGTTCGTGCTCCTACTCTTGCTTCGCACGACATATACTCATCGCCATTCTACAGCGCCATGACTTCAGTAAGTTCTAAGTGGTGAAACTGGATAGGAGAGCTTTCACACGCTTTCAGCTTTGGTAGTTCTGGAAGCGCGAACGACTCAGCGCAACATGAACATGGGGGATCCCGCATGATGGAACAAGCGAGGGGTACGTGTAATCGTTTCAGCATACGCTCGTGAGTGCTAGGTTGCGTACTCGTTCTTGGGACCAAGATGATCACAACGTTGAAGGCTGAAATTAGACGGACGCGGAGGAGTTTCATGCGCCGTCCTGTTGTAAATCGGACCTAAGCTTATGGCCGAGAAGTGTCCTTGGGATGTCCTGGTTATATCCTGAAACCTTCATCCAGGACCTCTCGGTTTACTGAGCGAACCATTGCCGACGGTTGGCAGCCACAGCGCGATGAAGGCTTTTGTCGACACTCGCTTGTCCTGATATCTCGTGATGGTTGGCGTCCCCCTATCTGGAAAACTCTGAAATAGAAATCTCGAAATACCCCACTTGCTTGAGGCGCTTCCAATGCACGGAGATGACAGTGATCCGCCACAGTGGCTTACTTAGCAGATTCTGCCCATGACGTCAGGAACCGTTCATTTCCGCCGGCAAACCACGTTTTTGCTTGCTAATTGCCCGGCCAATCACCGAGAGGCTGCTGCTCACCGCCCGGAATCTAAGTGGCTTACTCATGCCCAATGCAGCGTTATGAGGACATGTGCTAGCAATATTTTCGTCCTGTCGCATGCAAGATATGGAGGCGCAAGATGGGCAGCCCTTTGAGCTCGCGGGCGCATATGCACGCGAACCAGATATATGTTGCAGCCGTCCCGCGGGGAGGGAAGTTGGTGCCATTGACACCATTCACAACAGCTACTGACAGCATCCGATCCCAACTCCCGGATATATGGTCAATAGCCTACATACACTAGCTTCACAGTGACAGTCGCGCTTTCTCTTTCCGGGTCCACTTGATCCACTACGGTTACGACGTAAGGCTCGCGCATTTACAAACATCTGCCGAGGGCCGAGTGCAAACCTTCTCGCCTTGCAGTGTTGTCAGTCAATTCTACACTCGCTGAAGGTATTAGCGACGAGTGACGAAACGCGCCGCAATCATGCAGGAAGAAGACTATGAGATCCTGCGCAACGAGGCCAATGCCAGTCCTGAGAGATATGCAAAATGGGACCCCAATAGGCAATTCCGCGAAGAGTACAACCGGCGCCACCTACACGATCAAACTCCTGAAGAGCGAAACCGAAATATCGAGGCCTACGAGCGTGGAGAACGCACCCAGAGCCAGATTTCGTTACCACAAGAAGCAGTCGCATCGCCCATAGGAGAAAAAGAGGAGGAGGAGGAGGTTGCGTCTCCTCTATCGCGGCATAGCACTTCGTCCTCAACGCAGAGCTCGGTTAGCTCCTCCTCGACACACAGCGCGCGCCTTGAAGAAATCCGTACAGCGCATTCGACGCCCGCACGCGACCGCCGTCCTACTGTCAACTCGCAAACCTCCACTGGCAACTACCTCACACTACATCCCACCGAACGCGACCCAGAAGCCCTGCGCCGCATCGAGACACACCGAAGCCAGCATGCAGGCACCGTCGGAGCATCTCGAGTAGATTCGCGACTTTCTAGGACACTGACACGACGTCGTACCGAAAAACCTCTGCCGAATCTAGGTGCCGGGAAACCGTTTCCACCCCCGCTGCCGGATAGGGAAGAATATGTTGTTGAGTTTGATGGCGCAGATGATCCGCTGCATGCCCAGAATTGGCCTATGAAGAAGAAGCTGGGAATTGGAGCAATCCTAGCATTTGATGCCCTCTCAGCTACCATGGGCTCCAGTATCTTCTCCGCCGCTACAATGCCAGTTTCGCGTGAATATCATGTGGCAAACGTTGTTGGTACTCTTGGTACGAGTTTGTTCGTGTTTGGTTATGCTTTTGGGCCTTTGGTACGTATTCATGGCATGATCAAAGCACACATTCTAACTATGACAGATGTGGGCGCCCTTCTCCGAGTTGTACGGCCGGAAACCTCCTCTTATTATCGCCGCCTTTGGCTTCGCCATTTTCAGTATCGCAGTCGCCACAGCCAAGGACCTTCAAACCATAATGATCTGCCGGTTCTTCGCGGGTATCTTCGGTTCCTCCCCGCTAGCCATCGTCGCGGCCGTATTCGCAGACATGTTCGACAACAAGCTACGAGGTCTTGCAGTCGCAGTTTTCTCCGCCACCGTCTTCATGGGTCCGTTACTGGCACCATTCATTGGTGGCTTTATTACCCAGAGCTCCCTAGGCTGGCGGTGGACAGAGTATATTAGCAGTTTCATGGGCTTTCTCGCATTCGCCCTTCTCTTCTTCTTCATGGAGGAGACGTATGCACCAGTCGTCTTGATTAACAAAGCGAGCGAACTGCGAAGACGTACTAAGAATTGGGGAATACACGCCAAACAAGAGGAAATTGAAGTCGACTTCAGGGAGCTAATCGTACGAAACGTCAGCAGACCAATGCGCATTCTCTTCACTGAGCCTATTGTTCTTCTAATCACGATTTATATGAGCTTTATTTGTAAGTTACTCATTCCCTCTTCTGCGAGATCCTACTAACTGTATCAGATGGTCTACTCTATCTATTTTTGACCGCGTACGCCCTTGTCTTCCAACAAGTATACGGTTGGAGCGCCGGAATTGGTGGGTTGGCCTACTTTGGTATGGTTGCTGGCGAGATCATTGCTTTCGTCATCATTGTGCTCGACAATCCTCGCTATGTACGCAAGCTTGAGGCCAACAACAACATCCCGGTTCCAGAGTGGCGCCTGCCCATCAGCATGGTTGGCGGTGTTCTCTTTGCTGGTACGTATGCCTGATCGCTCAAGATTACTTCAACTAACATTCCATAGCTGGTCTCTTCTGGTTTGGCTGGACAGGCTATACTGGCCAAGTCCACTGGATTGTACCTGTTCTCTCAGGACTCTTCACGGGCTTTGGTATCTTCTCCATCTTCCTATCGCTTCTCAACTACATCGTCGACGCTTACCTCATGTTTGCTGCCTCAGCCATTGCCGCAAACACTTTCATGCGTTCCATCTTCGGCGGTGTGTTTCCACTCTTCGCTACCTTTATGTTCCAAGGTATGGGCATCGAGTGGGCAAGTACACTGCTTGGGTGCGTAGCTGCCGTGCTCGTGCCGATGCCTGTAGCCTTCTATCTCTTCGGCAAGAAGATTCGTGCCAAGAGTAAGTTTGCACCCGCCCCGGACATTGCGCAAGACAAGAGGAGGGATGAAGAGAGCAGAGGAATGGAAGGAAATGGCGACGCAGGAAGTGGAGACACTACGGAGAGGGAAAGCACCCATGGCGAGAATGGGGGGCTACAAAAGGAGAGAAGTAAGGACCAATGATGAGATGGAGCGTCACGTTTCTATTCTCTGTGCATTTAGCGATTAGCACATTTTAATCCAAGCAAGACATTTTTTGAGCAAAACCGACCATGGCCTAGCGGCTTACTCCGCAACGTGTAGACGTGCAGCTAGCTTAGATCCGGTATCTAACTCTGATGCCGACAGTGGTCAAACTCTGATTTAGGAAGTGTGGGGTTACCGGCAACACATGGTAGTAACCTAATAGGGTAAGCCGACCCGCGGCGCCCGCCATCCCAACCCAGCACTACATCCCGCTGTCTTCGGACGACAGTCCTCCATGTCTGCCCCGCAACACCAACGCGTGACGCAACAGCGATACGAGTACCCCACGGACGGGAGGTAAGCACCGAATGCACGTGGTCCTCGGACCCGGTACACTTTCCTACCCTGCAGCTCGTGGTACTACATAAACACCGATCGGGGATCCGATATTCCATATCAACATTCTACACATCAACGAGTGATTCAGAAGTCTTTGTTGAAGTCTAATACCTTATTTTTACACGAATAACCGCCAACATGTCCATGTCAATAGATGAATGTCAACAGCCCCGTGCGGGCTTCCCCAAACCCGTACCGGACACCCCCACAAACGTCATGCAGCAATTCAGCATGAAAGGCAAGACCATTGTTATCACAGGTGCCGCTGAAGGCATTGGCGGTGCTGTTGCCGACGCCATGGCCGAAGCTGGCGGCAACGTAGCCCTCTGGTACAACACCAACCCCAAAGCCAAGGAGCGCGCCGAGACTCTCGCAAAAGAGCACAATGTGCAAACCAAGACCTACAGCGTCGACCAAACTTCCGCCACAGCCGTTGAGGCTGCCATAAAACAAGTAGTCGCAGACTTTGGCCGCATCGATTGCTTCGTCGCAAATGCCGGCACAGGCGATTCCAAACCCCTGCTCGACCAGACGCTGGACTCATACCACAACCTTCTCAAAGTCAACGTCGACGGACCCGTTTACTGTGCCAAATACGCCGGCGAGGTATTCAAGAAGCAGGGCTTTGGCAACTTGATCCTCACGTCCAGTATCTCGGCGCATATCGTCAATGTGCCTATTGACCAGCCCATCTACAACGGTACAAAGGCATTTGTGTCACATTTGGGCAAGTCGCTAGCGCGCGAGTGGAGGGAGTTTGCGAGGGTCAATATTGTGAGCCCAGGTTTCTTCGATACCAAGATGGGGGCTGGGCCAAAGGTCATCAATGAGGGGTTGAGGATGATTCCGTTGGGCAGGCAGGGAAATGTCAAGGAGATCAAGGGATTGTTTTTGTACTTGGCAAGTGATGCAAGTAGTTATATGACAGGAAGTGATTGTATTATTGATGGTGGCTATGTTCTGCCATAAGTGGAGGGAGATAGGAACAGGTAGATAGTGGACTTTGGATGCTGTTATCCTAGATATCTTGGGAGAACAATTGGTAGAGTTCTAGACTTTCCAATGTTCGAAGCAATGAAGAATCTAACAAAGGAAATTACAATGCTGTGTCATTTATGAAATGAAGCTCGAGCGGAACAAGGGCTGGTCGAGAATGTGCCTTGCAAGATAGACTAATGCAAGAGAAGCCCTAGCTGTGGTCAGTATAGGAAGTATCAAGGTAGCTAATATCAAGTCCTGTTTCCGTAGCTTTGAGTTCCTTAATGCTTCTTTTCCTTGACCTTGAAAATACAACCCATTAAGTGAAATTCATGTTCTAGAAGGTACCTGGTGATTTTGGGATAATGATCGATATCCGTACTAGTGCGTTTCTTTCACCCTCGTCATCGCTTTGAAATCTATCGCCCCAACTCCGACGCTAACGCACGCTTGTGTCACCTGGTGCGTACAAGTAAGGCTTTCTCCATTTACCGAACACCACACGCCCAGGTGAGCGCAACTCTACCCACATTCGAAGTTCTACAAAGCACCTACCAGCCAGTCAGGCGTTCCGCTTCCTCGATCTTGCACCCGGTAAGTGCTAATTTCACAATTTTGTACCTGTTTGACAGCCATGGCTAACAGTACTCAAAGCTCCGGAACCGTATTTACGACTTCGTGGCACCCTCTGAAGAGATTCACCCTAAACATACACTCTTCGGTCACAACGCCAACTACGCTGCACTGACGCGTGCGTGTCGCTAGATTCGAAAGTAGTACCTTCCTCTTCAGCGTGCATCGGCCAATATCGCATTTGCCTTCCATGAACTCAACATGGCGAACGACTACTTTGTCATCTTCTACAATAGCCAGGGATGCGGTGGCACCTCTTCCGGTCCATACAAGCTCACCGTCGAACTTGAAGACGGTAGAGGCGATGAAAACGCCCAGGACATCCTTCCTTTGATCAAACTTCATCAAGACTGCCTGCAGACACGAATCAGGATCCATCGTATAATACGCCCTTCCTTACCAAGACATGAGAGATACAACAAACATTGTCATCGTGAACTGAAACAAATCATGGATAATAACAATAACAATACCAATTAGATTACCGATCTTCGAAATGGCAGATTCAAGAAGATCAAGATTAGGCTCAATTTCGTTGCACCCTACGACAATCCTATGGAAATCCACTATAGATTCGTAAAGAGCCGTACACCACGGGAAATCAAGCTCATTCGACAGAGATTCCAGGAAAGGTATGCTTACAACAATGTTACATACAAGGAGAGGATGAAATTAGGATCTTATACCTGTTAAGAGCGATGGTCCAGCGGAACTATTTACGGTGAGGAAGAATCTGTAGTAAGATAACCACAAGAAGCGTTGCATGAAGGTGGTCTTGAGAGTAGACAACTTGAAGAGAACCCTGGGGTATGGCAAGAGAACAAGATCAACAAGAACTAGTCGACAACTCTGTTAGCTCGCATCCGTAGAGTGATGCGGTACGCTACACGCAGCTGGCACTGAGAAACTAGAATACAGAGTGATGTACTTTTCTTGGATACGTGGAATGCTCATGTGTGACATCTTATTAGTCATCAGGGTGTTGGACATCTGCAATGAATTCACACGTGCCCTGCATCACACGTGCCCTGCACAGACCCATCACCACATTACATAAATATGACCTATACCATCCTATGTCATGTTTATTGCTGCCTAGCCATTATATAATTTTTTTCTCTTAGCTACCCTACCTAATGACCTTCTTTACCTCGCACGTCAACATCCTACGACATCGGTGTATTAGCACCTAAGTCTGAGCACTCGTTCCTTGTCGCGCGCCACCAGAGTACTCATCATAGCCTTCCGTTTCCTCGACCTGCTTCCGGGTATGTTGTTATTGGTGCGCCATGTAAATTCCGCACGTATTAATCAAGAACAAAACTGCGCAACCTCGTCTATGAATTCGCCGCTGTCTCGGAGCAGCCCATCCAGATCGCCTGCAAGACGCCAAAAGCCTCCCAGAAAGGAGACACTGTCCAAGAAAACAAGAAGGCCGGGACTTATGCAGGTTTGACGAGCGTCTGCCGTCAAGTCCGCAAAGAGTATCTGCCTATCCAGCGACGCGAGGTGAACCTTCGGATCAACCTCTGGGACCTTGAGAAGTTCTTTGCCACCTTCGATCTGCTTCATTGGGCCACGACCAGTCAGCCTCGAGGACTCGATATTTCGATCCCATTTCCATTGTATAGGACTTCGAAGATCGATATACTTCCACTTGTCCAGCTCTACTCGTTGGGCCACTTGACCACTACTGTCCCTGTGCCCCCGACAGAAGAGGATGTGGAAGTAGAGGAAATCGGCTCGCCTCTTTACAAGAAGATGGATACTGAACAGTGGATGATAGTAGATCGGTACATGCGCGACATCCAAGAAAATTGGGACCATGAACCGTTCTTCACAGGCAGAGTGAAGAAGATTGACTATTTCCCACGAATCTCCATGCCACCAAGGATCGTACTAATGACACGAGATCCCGCGCTCTAAGAACTAATTATCTCAGGTTTCTACACGAGCCTCCATGTCAAACAGGCCCCATCTGTCCCTGCATCTCGAGAATAAACCCCTCTGTCGCTCTAACCGCCTCCTCCGCATCTTTCAGCTCATCTTTCGCCGCGCTGATCTGCTGTCTACTGCCCCGATCCTTTATCTACACATCTTCAACATCCCGTCAGACGTGTTCCGAACTATACCCCCTCGTTACAGGCACTTCATCCGTGAGCCAAGTAATGGAACCGAAACATGCAAACTTTCTCCTCGGTATCTTTTCTTTCTCATGCGCGATGTTGGTTATGGGGTAGGTGTGATTTATTTTCAATTCCCATATTTGGAGTCTGGTTGTGGCGAGCTGTCGGTTTAGATTGTTGGCTGAGATAAACGTATTGTGTCTGTTTCAGATGGCGAGAGTTGGGCAGGTGAAAATTGAGAGGCGGCCATATCGGATGCGTATGGAAGTAATTGTATCTATTGAGCTTCGGAGAGTGAGTTGATAAAGCTCTGAGAAACACTTGTTCAGAAGTATCTGTGCCAAAAATGGTTTGTCTACTGTAGTACGCCGAGATTAATATCCAAAGCAGTGAAATGGTACAAAGGTACACGTGTGAGGCCACGCCCGAAAGTCACGATATGTATCAGTGCATCTACTGAGTCCAATGGCCTTTGAAATTCGCACTCATAGTCAACATGTCTGAACAAGGGAACGACTCTCCAGCAAGAGACGCGGACAAGCAGCACCACCCATCGCAACCCAATCCACCACACAAACACAAAACCAGTCACCTCTTTCCCACCCGTCAACCCAAGCCATCTAAACTCAACCCCAGAGTCCCTCATCTCCTCTACAAATCTCCGAGAGCTCCCCCCCCAAACCAAACAAATAAAACAAATCCCAATCGCAGAGAACCGCCGCGGCGCCACCCGAAAAGAATCACCCATCCCGCATCCGCCACACGCCACATGACCTCTGCTGCGTGCAGCACAGTAGGCACAGCTCGCAACAACGCCGCCGCAACAGATCCCGCCCCCATCTGCGAACACCTACAATACACACCTACTGCAGGAACAACCCGACGTAGCACCGAGAAAAGAGACGCGGAAAGCCGCCCCTATTGGCTGTGTTTCCAACACACTTGCGAAAAGTCTGCGAGGGGGCCATGGCTAGACGGCGGCGTCTATTCAGGTAGGCGGCTGCGCATGTGCAGAAGTGGAGATGCATAAGCGGATTTGCGCGCAGAAGACGCAGGCTGCGCGGGGCCCATGCCGTATGTGCATTACAGGTGGCGGTGCGTTGCGGATGTGCATGTGCAGTATGCAGGTAGCCGTGCTTGCAGGAGAGGTTTTGACGACGACAACGTCGCTTCATATGGACAATGGAACGAGTAGGAGTAGAAGTAGCAGTCTTACATGGTATCAATATAATCTATTTGTACGTATCTACAGTCGAGCATCTCTTCCCAATACAGTCTCTGTCTCTGCTGCGGCGCATACAAACCACACGTACATCACAAGCATTGCGCAACATGCAAAGCGATCAAGTAAATGTGTTTCCAAATAATGTGTATTCTTCAATATCTACCATGCAAGCCATGAAGAGAGAGAGAGTATGATGGGTATCGTAGAGAGATCGCAAGAGAGAGAAACCAGAAAATGACAAACTAAATGATCCGTTCGCCCGTTGTACTCCAAGACCGGCTCTCAACCATAGTCATAACAACGCCTAAGGCTTCCTTACGCGGTGGTACCTATTGCGGTGAAGAGCGCGTGTGTAGATGGAAAGATAGCCATGGTGTGCCAGATCGATCAAGTTTCGCTGAACGCCGTGGGTAGAAATACTGATATGTGAGATCGCTCTCAAGAGCACTCTAGGATGTGTTAGAAAATGTTGTGCAGGGGATAGAGGGAGATGACTTACTCCCAGGAGCGTTGTGAACGCCGATGAAACCCACACTTAAGCCTTGCGGTTTGTCTTCTTGACAGCGCCCTTGGAGGAGATGTGGCTGGGGGTCTTGGGGGTCTTGGGAGTCTTGGGAGACGCGGTGGAGGTCCGAGCCTTGATAGGGGTCTTGGCCTTGCCGGGAACCTTGGGCAAGAATTCAATTGCGGGTACTTGAGAACAATCCTCGCCTTCAAGCATCTGGAGGATGATATCGACGATCTTCTTGGCATCCTCGTAGGACTTGTTGCGACCGAGCCACTGGTCGAGCTCACGGAGGACATCGATGGGAGCTTCGAAGTGCTTTCCGCTGCCGGGGGCCGTATTCTTCTCGGCGTCTGCGGTGTTCAAACCAGAGTTGACCTGTCGGCAATACTGGTTGAGACGAGACTCCTCCGACTTCTTGAGGGCAACATCATAGGTGGTCCCCGGGTGTTGCTCCTCGATGACGTCGAACTGGCGGAGAATGAGCTGGACCTTACGCAGCTGCCACTTTGGCTTACTGTAGGTTGCGCGTTGATAATGCTTACGGCAAAATAGGGGCCAGTCCGTAATGTCGCGGGTACAAGACTTGTTGCGTCCAAAATGATCCGAGATGACCTTGCGAGACAAGTCCTTGGTATACTGGCCAGTAATGCACCGGGTATGTTCGTCATTCATACAGATGAACTCGCGTTCATGGTCCGGGACGTCCTCGGCCGATAATTCGTCATCATTTTCTTCAGAAAGCTCCTTGACAGTGACAGGCTCCTTGACATCGTTCTAGCGCAAGGTGTCAGTGTATCTGTCCATACAGTGTGCAGCATAGGTTGAAAACAGCAAGTCATGGCGACATGCTGGTAACAGTCAAACCACTTACAGGTTCAGACATGACCGTGTCGGGAGAGCCAATGAGCGGTGATGAAGCTTCTTCCTTGACAGGCTTGGACGGGGTGGACGGGGTGGACGGAGGGGTAACTGCGCGCGTCGCAACCACGGGCGAGACCACAACAGGCGCAGCGGTGACCTCAGGAGTATCGTCGACGGGCGAGAGGAGATTGTTCACGGCCATGGTGGAGCGGATAGTGTCGGTCTGAGTGGTCTCAGTCTTGTCGGTGATGGGAGAGACGAGGTTGGTGTCCATAGACAGATTGAGAGTTTGAGTAGAATTGGAGGCTGAGCTGTTCATATTCGCGATTGGGGTCGACTTCAAGTTAGTTGTGTGAGAAATGTTTGGGAGGAAGTCTCGAAAGAGGTGAGCGGAGGGGTCTTATACGTACTGGCAGAGCAGACGGGCGGCGGTGACTGTGATGGTGGGCTGACTCAAAGTGAAGTTGAGTCTACAGTGATCAATGAGCCGTTGTTTGAATGGCTACCTGATTGACCCACCGCCCGAAGAATAGGATCGAGCGCACCCGGCCACGTTCACTGCTATTGTCCGTGTATTCACGTTGACGGCGTACAATACAACGTCACGGCGGCCCGAATCCGCTAATGCCCCACCAAACGACCATCTGCCTGGCAGCCGGAGCCAATGACGTGCGTGTGAAAGTCACGATGGTCTGCCAGCTCCCCTGCCAAGCATATCGTTTGCGCAAGTTCATGCCTCACCTCCCCTCGAGCCGCGTATGACGCTCGTAGCGCGACCCGTGCTGGCCAACACGACCGATATTAAACATGGAATTGGTGGGAACATGAAACAGTCGCTATGGCCGCCAACCCGAGGAGCAAGGCTGTCTAGAAGCCGCGGCACGGTATAGGTGTGATAGAGCCAAGAGCGACACGGAACCCCCACGGTAAGAAGATTGACAGGATACGGGCTCGACAAACGCTGTTTTAGGCATGACTGAGGATGAAGAAGGAAACGGTGATGCATACGAGCTTGCACCTTGGAGATGGAGCGCTGATACGGACATGATGACTCAAGAAACGTGATGAGAGAGTGCGACAAACCCCACAATAACATGGTCAAGCAACCTAGCGCGTGTTGTATGTCCATGAGCTCAGTGCTTGCGATCGTGACGATGCTACCAACAGTTCACCTTCCAATCGAGCCATGGCGGCGAGGCCGTTTGGTGAAGGATACATTGAATGGTACTTCACCACGTCTAGTTTGAAGTTGAATTCTTCACGTGGTATCATCAGATCGACAGAGATCAGTGCCTCACAGGGACCGCGGAGCGCTAGGTAAGAGACAAGTTTGCCATTCCCCAACAACGACAATCTGATAACAAGACCTCGTTCCGGGTTACCAGAAGTGTTTAGGCTTGAATCGGCAATGGATGCGAGTGAGTCCATACCGGGCCCATCCACTACCGACTAGCCACGGGGATTTGCGATGCCGTTATGTATCCGGGCGGCTATGTGAGTTGTTCCTGTTGGCAGATAGTCCCCTACATACAACGAAGATGATGCTAGTCTAGCCCTCGCACTCTCCTTAAAGAAAAGTTGTGCATGCGGCACGGGCCGCGGCTGGGGCCAAACAGTTCACGAGACAGACGACCTTTGGCGCCGTGCTATTATGTAGGTACCAGCGCTTAATTCAAATCTGCATATGTACTGGATAGTCATGTTTTGACTTGACGTATATGTTAGAGAACCTCATCCGACATGGGACGGGTGTCGTTAGCAGGGATTTCCGGTTATAGTAAGCCAAGGTCCATTCTGCCAGTCCAACATAACCGGCCAATAGAAGAGGAGTAATGAAAGAAAGTCAATTGTAAACGTTCCACTCCTCGTATCGGGAGAGGTGGTAGCGCACGTTGTTGGAAGGGGTCACGGAGCTCAGCGGTTGACGATGGCTGGTGGCTTAGTAAGGCGTTATCGGAGTACGCTACCACCGATAACCGGAACACGTGCGCGCAGAGAGGTTCCATTCCGTCAGTGGACGTCTTGGCGTCTTTTCGCGCTTGTGTTGAGGAGCTCCCACGGGGCCATTCTGCCTTTCCACGCTGCAAATAGAGGTAAATGAGTGGAAACACCAGCAAACCTACTGTCGTCGCTTGAGATGCGCGCACACGTCATTTCTACCACCAAACTTGTTTCTAAGCACTCAACTCAGCGCTGAGCGCGTTCGCCGCCAATTTCCACGCCTTTACTACCCAACCGGCGCCGACAGCCACGATGCCACCGACGACAGGCACGAGAACGTCTACTAGACAGGGACGGGCTACTGTTCGGCCTACGAATTACTATGCGCGTACCTTTGCTGGTAGACTCGCAGCGAGCGGTATGGAGCAGACACCTGAAGCTGCCAACAGCGCGCCCGGCTTCCTCCCAGCCCTCACGCACTTCACAGGCGCCGTAGATGCGTTTCCCAAGGAGATGATCAAGCATTTCTCGCTATTCAAGGAAGTCGAGGCCAAGCTCTTCGATCCGGAGCACATGCTCAAGGAGCTGCTCGACCAAATCGCCCAGCTGCCCGTCACAACAAGAGGACAGTTGAGGTCGACCGAATCTTCCGCAGGGGCCGACAGCAGCGCCAGTGTGAGTCCTATGGCTGTATCTATCATGACTATAAGCTCACCCCTCGCAGGATTCCCCCCCTCACCTCGGCAATGCCTCACCTGAAGAGCAAGCGACGACAGAGAAGCGTCAGCTCATGCACCGCCTCTGCATTCTTATCCGGGGCATGATGTCCACACTCGACGAGAAGTTGGTCGTCCTCCAGGGCGCAAAGGCCACCAAAGACAGAGGCCTTGCGCGCATGCACCACTCGTACGCCCAGCTCGACGGCGAAATTAGCGACGAAGCGCGATACGGCAGCCTGACGCATTGGGCGTACGCGGATAAAGAAGAGAAGAAGAAGGGCGGCCCGTCCCACGAGCGGCAGAGGCGCGAGGTAGCGGCCGCGAATAACCTTGCGGCGGCGGCCCAGCACGTGCATGATGTGGACTCGATTGCTGCGAAGAGCGAGGCCCGACGTGAAGCTATGCAGGCGAACAAGCGCAGCCGGCACCAGCAGATTGATTCTGACTTCGATGACCGACCAACCAAGAAACCGCAGAAAAGGAAGCCCATGCCCACAGAGGCAGCGCCAGACAACCGCAGCGTCGGTCTGGGGATAACGAGCAATGGCGCAGGTCCTCACAACAAGCGAAAGAAGACGGAAAAGGCACTCGCTGCCGCGGCACCAGCTGCCCCGCCAATGGAACGAACCGTGAGCAGCGCCCTAAAGATTGCTGGCAATGGAGTACGGGGCGGATCAAGCCCACGAGGAACCCCAGTTCCAGAAAGCGGACCACCCAAGCGCAAACCACGAGCGCCTCCCGTCCCTGCCCAGCGTAAGAATCCGCTACCAACATACTCTCCCCCAATGGCCTCATCACCCCTGGCTGCCAACTTTGCTATCAATAAGGCAACTGCAGGTACATCAGATCGGCCGCTGTCGGCGCGTGCACGAAAGAATTCGACAGCGAACTCTGTTGCATCGCTCAAAGACCAGGAGGCTCCAGCTGGGCGTCGTCCTTCCACCTCCCACTCTGTACAACATGTCACCAGCAACGCCATTACCGAGCTCGAGCAGGCTGCCGGCATCGTACGCGATGACACGTCAGCCAAGGGCGCTTCCGCAAAAGAGACGGCAGAGACATCACCAGCGTTCGACACAGCGACGATGAAACTAGAAGATTTGGGACAGCCAGAGCCTGAGCGCATGGACATCGACACGCCGCTACAGCTGCCCGTTGCGAGCAGGCCCGGCCGAACCTCAAAAACAGCGACACCTGTCATTGGAAGCTTTCCCGAGATATCCATGGCGCGAAGTCGCAGCAGCCGCAACGCGAACAATGGCACCAATTCTACTACTTCGTCGGAGAACAACAGCACGGTGACTGGCACAGTCTCTAAACGAGGCAAGAAGAACGCGCAGTCGAACGCTGCAGCTGCTTCCCCTGCAATGAAGCCCACGCAAAACGTCAAGTCGAACCCTCCATCGTCCGCAGCAAGTTCAGTCGCACAAGAGCAGGAATACCAGGAACCAGAGGCAGAGGCGGAGCCCGAAGCCGAGTCAGAAGAAGATGGAGACGAGCCCCGATACTGCTACTGCAACGAAGTGTCGTATGGAAACATGATAGCCTGCGACAACGACGACTGTCCCCGTGAGTGGTTCCACCTCGCCTGTGTACATCTAGAGAAGGCGCCCACAGGCAGGACAAAGTGGTTCTGCAGTGACGAGTGCAAGGATACCCACGCCAAAGCCAAGACCAAGGGGGGCCGTCCGGGGAGTAGTAGGCAATAGGAATTAGGAAGGAGTTCAAGGCGTTCTGGGACGGGTCCAGCAGGAGCTGGGTCTAGGCAAGGCCCGAAGGGTAAGGGCAAGGCTAGGTTAAATCTCTGGGATGGTTGGAATGCTCTCTGAGCTTCCGGTCTGGTCTGTTTTCTTTGGATTCTTGTGTGGGCTTTTTTTCTTTTGCGGCGTTGTTTCTTGGGAGGGGCTGGCTATGCGGCGCAAGCTTTTGCTATGATGATGGCACTTGACATGCGATATCGATATCCCCCTCCGGAGGTGTGGCGTTTTGTATTCTCAGCATGGCATCGAGAAGCGTATTCTTGCATGGTCTCTTCTTTTGTAAAGCAACATATATATAGCAAAGATTATTTACATCAAACTGGAATTGTCTGTGGGCCAGACACGACTAAAATGAGGGGCAGATGACGGCCGCATCTTCCGCCCGCGCCTGTTGCATGCCACTGCGGCAGCGGCACGATGCCCGTCAGCCTCGCCCTGCCCCTGCAGCTCCGTCGGGGCTTAGTATTACGTGTCCGTCATTGGCCGCCATGTGGCTGCCATGCATGACCTCACGAGCCTGGACCCTGAAGCCGCTAGCCTGCCATTGACATGCCGCAGTGCTCACCGCCGAACACGCGATCTCGCCCTGAGGTCAATTAACTTCAGTATTCCGGCACCCTAAGACTGTGATAGCGTGAACGAAAGACATACAATGGCACCAGCAGACGACAATCCCTCGGCCGAGGAAGTGCTCATATGCGAGCCTACAGGTGGGGCGCCCAATGCCCCGCCTGACCTCCGCTTGTTACACTACAATGATGTGTACCATGTCGAAGCTGGGTCGCGGGAGCCTGTGGGAGGATATGCGAGGTTTCAAACTTTGGTCAATTACTACAGGGATGACAAGAGGTTTGATGGGCTGACGAAGCTCTTGACCTTCTTTTCCGGTGATGCGTTTAATCCGAGTATTGAGAGCAGTATCACAAAGGGTCAGTGAGGGGTATCATGCAGGGGAAGTGGTGATAGCTGACGAGCGTTTAGGTAGTCATATGGTTCCTGTACTGAACAACATTGGTACAGATGTTTCATGCGTGGGGGTATGTATGTCTATATTGTTCATCATGACTGTGTCTAACACTGGTAGAACCACGATCTCGACTTCGGCGTCAAGCAATACCGCCATCTAACAGCCAAATGCAATTTCCCCTGGCTCCTCGCAAACGTACTGGACCCAGCCCTCGGCGACGGCGTCCCTCTAGGAAACGCAAAGAAAACAGTCATGCTCACAGCCTCCAACGGCATCAAAGTCGGCGTCATCGGGCTCGCCGAACGAGAATGGCTCGATACTATCAACGCCCTCCCGCCCGACATAATCTACAAGAGCGCCTCGGAAACCGCCAAAGAACTCATCCCATACCTAAAAGCCCAAGGCGCCGAAATTATAATCTGCGTATCCCATCAACGCGAACCAAACGACAACAAACTCGCAAAACAAGTCGGCGGCTCCTACATCGACATCATTCTCGGTGGTCACGACCACTACTACTCGTACAGTCTGATCAACGGTACACAAGTCCTACGCTCGGGAACGGACTTCAAGCAACTATCCTACATCGAAGCATGGCGTAACCCCTCTGGTGACCCAGGTTGGCAGTTCAAAATCACCCGCCGCGACATCGTCAGCAGTATCCCACAGGACCCGTCCGCCATGGCCCTAGTGGAAGAGCAAACGCGCGATATACGAAAACGGCTTGATAAACCAATCGGTTACACAGCCGCTCCTCTCGACGCGCGCTTCACAACCGTTCGAACCCGCGAATCCAACATCGGAAACTTTGTCTGCGATCTCATGCGGTACTACTACTCAGCCGAGTGCTGCATCATGGCATCAGGCACCATACGCGGCGACCAAATCTACCCGCCCGGCTTACTCAAGTTGCGCGACCTGGTCAATTGCTTCCCGTTTGAGGACCCGGTTGTTGTGCTAAAAGTCACTGGCAAGGCGATTGTAGAAGCGTTGGAGAACGGGGTGTCGAATTATCCGGCGTTGGAGGGCAGATTCCCACAGGTGTCGAATATTTGCTTTGAAGTGGATTATGGTATGGTGCCTGGGAAGAGGGTGGGGAAAGTGACGATTGGAGACGAGGACGTGGATGAGGGCAGGGAGTATGTACTTGCTACTAGGGGGTATATGGGGAGGGGTAAAGGCGAGTTTTTCCTTATGTCCTTATCCCCTTCTGCTAACGAGTTCCGTGTTATAGATGGTTACACATCCCTCCTCATCCGCGAAGAAGGCGGCGTAGCCGAGGAAATCGTATCCGAAGAAAACGGCGTCCTCATCTCCACCATCTTACGCCAATACTTCATGTCGCTCAAGGTGCTCGGCAAATGGAAGCGCTGGGGCAAGTCCATGGATTCGAAATTCTCCAATATTCAAACTTCGCTTCAGAAAAATAGCGCTCATGCGTTTCATGAACCGTCGCCTACATCGCCTGTTTCGTCACCGGTGCAGAAGAAGCACCCAAGGATTGGGAAAATGGCGGGGGAGAGCAAGGACGGAGACGAAACGGAGGACCCGGATGCGGAGGAGGATGAGGATGATGGTGCGGTTTTTGATGATAGTTTTCCGATTGCGTTTACGGAGAGACAGGTCGAGGTTGTGAGGAAGGTGATGCGGAAATGGTGGCGGGTGGCGGGGCTGAAGGGAAATCCGGTGCCGTGTGATGAGTTGGGAGGAGGCGAGTTTCAGGTAAACTGGACAAAGGCAATTGCACCGAGGTTGGAGGGGAGGATTGTTGAGGTTGGTAAGGGTGTGGTGAGTGTTGAGGCGTAGAAGGACATGTTTGGAATGAGAGCATTAGAGTACGCTCATCGCAGCTCTAACGACAACCTAGAAACATACATTAGAAGAAGAGACTAGGACCAAAAAGTAAGATATAAATAAACCATTAAGATCTAGTCTATTTTCTCTCTCCTATGCAAAAAGACTGCCTAGCATTTTGCCCTATTCCCTATACAAGCCTCTCTCACTCCAGAGAACTCAGTTCCCCATGCTTCCACAAGAAGTTACACAGTACAACAGCATAAACATTACTAGTTATACGCTTTCCACGCCCCATATCCAATATGCATGTGCGCATTTGCCCTTCAAAAAACGCCGCTTTACAAATAAATACGATAACACTTCTTGATGTCCAAGAGAGAAGATAAGGGGTATATAGTATATACAAAAGATACACAGACGGCTGAGAAGAAAGCGAAGCGAAACGAAGAAAAGTGGCGTAACGTCGAACTGTAATATAAAAAGGAAGAGAAAAAGCGATCAACCAGGCATAGTCATAGTCCTAGAAAGATTGGAGCGTTGCGGAATAGCGTCTTTGCGTAACTGGCGGACCACAGCTTCGAGTTTGCGTCGTTCTTCTTGTTCAGCCTGCAAATATTGTCAGTATACCATTCCCGTGTGACCAAGGTCAAGATTTGACTCACCCTCAGTGCTTTCAGACCCTCCGCAGTCCGATCTCTCATCATCTTGCGGAAGTCTTCTCTCAACATGCGAATACTAGTCGCGCCCATGTCAAACTGCGCACCGCCATTAGGCATACCCGGACTCCTGACGCCGAGCCATTTGACTTTCTCATCGCTGAGGTCGCGTTCCAGGGCCTCCTTTTCGTCGCGTAGTTTGTCGATTTGGGACTCGAGGGTGTCTCGGTCCTTTTCGTTTTGGATGGCGTCGCGGGTGAGGGCTTCGTATTCGGCGGCCATGCCGGAGAGTTCGGCTTTGAGATTACGCTCTGATCGGCGAGCTTCGGCTTCGGATTGAGAAGCCACGTCTTGAACTTTACGGAGAGCTTCTAGTTCGCCTAAGAGGGCTTTGTTTTGCTCGCTGAGTTCATCCAGCTCCTTCTTAATGGCTGGATTTGATCCGGCGTCTGCGGCGCGTTGGGCGCGGGTACCGTAAGCACCATCGAGTTCTGCTTTGGCAAAGGTGAGCTCGGTTGTCAGACGGACAATTTCGCCTTCGAGATTGCGGAACTCTTCCTCCTTGGCGTTGAGCATGTTGGTAGCATCCAACGAACGTGCCTCTGCTGCTTGCTTTGCTTCTGTTATAGCCATGAGAGTCGCCGTGGTTTGTGCAATCTTCTCAGTAGCTGCTGCGAGCTCGGCTTGTATGGCTGCTCCTTCCACTCGAGCAGTATCTTGGGCTTCCCTCAGCTTAGACTCTAGCATGAGAGCTCGTTCCTGAGCATCCCGAACCTGAGCCTCGTACCCGGCAATACGTTGATCTGCCTCTTGTGATGAGACATTGTACGTGCTGTGGCGTTCTTGATGCTCCTTTAGTTCTTCCTCGTATGCCGCAGCGCGTTTTTCAGCTTCTTGCATTTGGCTCTGGTAGCTGACAGCTTGCTTCTGCACGTCCTTGAGTTGCTCTTCATAGGCAATAGCACGCTGCTTGGCTTCTTTCAAGTCCTTTTCGAATGCCATGACCCGCTCTTGTACGTTGATAAGCTGGGCTTCAAGACCGGCGTTGCGTTCCTGAGTGTCACGCAAGATCTGCGCCTCAACGTTAATCTTTGCTCCGTCGAATTGCTGCAGTTGACTGATCGCCCGGTCCAGCTCCTCTTCCATGGTCTTCTTCTCAGATCTCGCACTGAGCACTTGTGTGTTGAGTCGCTCGAATTCGGCTTCTTTCTGCGCATCAGACTTGCTGTTGAGCTCACGCTGCTGCTTGATCTGGCGCATAAGGACCGACTGCTTTTCTTTAAGGTTGGTGGCACGGCTGAACAGCATCTGCACCTTGGAGGAGAAAGCAAGCAACGAGTATGATTCGTTGGCGTTGGCATCCTCGTCTGGTGACAGCTGCTCCTCGGCGTCTGGGTCTTCTTCCATTAGTCGGCGTCGTTCGCGCTTCCGTTCACGCGCTTGTGCCTCGCCCTTTAGAATCATGTCCCACAGGCCCCGCATGGTGTTTTCGTATTTCTCGGCCAATTCCGCACTCTCCGAATCGCTCACGGGCACGGCTCTGGAGCGGAGCTGGTTGATCTGCTCGTCAATAGCGTACTGCATCTGCTCAAGAGTATAGACTGTGTTCTCCATGTAGTTGAGCTGCTCGGTCGAGCCTGAGCCGGTGATTGCTGGTGGAGGGGCGATCTTTTCTGTTCGTTGGTCTGATCGGGAGACGACGGTGTATAGTTGATTGTTGATACCCTCAAGACGGCCCTCTACCTCGCTTAGTGCATGTCTTGCATTGGTGCGCATGTTTGCCTGTTCGGCGCTGATACTGCGGAGGCCTTGATCCAAAAATTCGAGCTGACGATCCAGCGTAGAAGCATCTGGCGTTCCTTCGAGTGCCAGCGGGGGTAGAGAGTAGTCCTGGTCCCGCTCGGGGTTGGCTTCAATAATGAGCGTTCTCAGGCGCTCGTTCAACTCTTGCAGCCGGGTGGCAGTTGAAATCAAGGCTTGGTCTGGTCGGTCTGGTCGGTCTGCAGAAGACGTCTGGTGGTGTGTTCCGTTCTGCAGCACATTCATAAGGTTGTCCAGGTTCTCCGGCGATCTGTACAAGCTTCTTTCGTCAAATTCGTCTGCACGGATGCCCTTGAGTCGGGCATCCTCGTACGTGTTCAGACTGGCCGGACTGTCGGGCCTGCGAAAGCCGTCTTCTCGTATTTCCGAGTCGTCCTTGTTTTGCTTCGGGCCCTTGTGCGTAAGCTGGAGAACGGCGGCGGTATGCATCAGCAGCTGCATATCTATCATGCGCATGCGAGACTCAATCTCCAGGCACTCGCGGATAAATTCCTCCACCTTCTTGTTGCTAGATTCAAGACCTTCGAGTTCCTCGGCGTCGTACTCCTGGACCGGGTTGCTGTTCTTACTGCTGAGGCCTCGCTTATGTCCCTTGCCCTTTTTTGAGGCCAGTCGGCCCAGGGACCGTGTCGCATCGCGGATCTTGGTCTCAGACTCGAGCTTCCGCCTCACTGTCCCCAAACGCGTATCCAAAGCCTTTTGTTCCTGCTTCAGCGCATCCACCTCTTCCACTGTCAAGATATCAAAGTGCTGGCTGTCTCCAATGGCCGTCTCGACCAGCAGATGCATGGCCACGGGGTCGGTTTCCAGGGCCTGGGAGTTTCGTTTGCGCGAGTTTCGTGGCGTATACACGCCATTCTCGCGCACTGTTTCTCGTCGGGTGTCTACAAAGACGTCTGCGGGGGGAATAAAGGCACTTGCTCCGAACCGAGGTGAGATCTGGTAGGCCATGGGGAAGAAGCTGGGCGAGGCAAGCCCAATGCCGGACGGGTAGACTGAAGTGGGCGAGGGAAAGTCATAAAGGGCGCGCGGACTAAGCGTGTCACCCACGTAGGGGTACTGTGTGCGCAGGCCATTGCTGGTCATGGTGGCTCTTGGCAGGCGTCGCGTGGAGAGGGTGAAGGGTGAAGCGTCGCGGTGGGGTGTAGCAAAAGTCCGGACGGAAAGCGCAACGGGAGCGCACAGTAGGAGAACTCGCGCAGCCAGCGAGGTTGTTGGGCGCTCACGGGGAGCGAAGCATGGTGCTACTCTTAGGGGAGATGAATTTCACTGAAAGCGGCTGTCAAGGGATGCCTCTGGTCCACTAACACGCCCGACGGGTATCCCAGCATGGACGCGCTTGGCAGGCACCTCTCCCCACACATGTTAGTTACATGCATCTGCTATAACTATCGCTGTCGGGGCTCCGTTGACGCCGAACTCACTGCCGAGATCTACTCCCGAGGCACGCAGTACATATAAAACGTTTTGTTCGAATTTGAACTTTTCTTCTTCGTCTATGAACTTCAACTGCCTTGAACGTGTCGCTGGTTCCCGCTACCTGCCGCTTTTGCATCAACGTCGATCCTCACTATACCGCTTTGGGATCCGCATTACGCCCCTATCGATAAAACCTCATCATGAGTGCACACGCGTCCTATTTCCCAGACCAGATTGCAAACTACTTTGATCGTCTGGGGCTACCTGAGGAAACCCGGAAATATAATGTTAGTTGTTTGAGTCCAAACGACGCTCTGGAATACTTGGCCCTGCTTCAGAAGCTGCAGCTCGCAGCGATACCCTTTGAAAATATATCCCTGCACTATTCTGCACATCGTTCGATATCAATACACCCCGAAGAGGTGTTTAGGAAGATCATTAGCAATGGCAATGGTCGCGGAGGTTATTGCATGGAGAACAACCTGCTCTTTGGCACCCTACTGTATTCACTCGGCTTCACCATGTACTCTGGAGGCTGTCGGGTCCAGGGCAGCGACAGTTTGGGGGGATGGTCGCATATGGTCAATTTTGTCACCATTGGCAACATCAAGTACTATGTTGATGTGGGTTTTGGGGCCGATGGGCCTATCATCCCTATGCCGCTGGACCGCTCCGGAACAGTCCAGAAGCATATCAAGCCTGCATCGGCACGGCTTGAGTGGAAGAACATCCCGGGCAACAGAGACCCGAACCAGCGACTCTGGGTCTATGAATATCGTAGAGACAACGATATGGAGTGGGAAATGAAGACCATCTTTACTGAACTCGAATTCCTGCCCAGAGACTATGAAGTCATGAACTACTTCACCAGCACGAACCAGCGGACCTTTTTCACGCAAATGGTAGTAGCTGACAAGAAGATCTTGGGCGAAGATGGGGAGTTGATAGGGAAGATGAGTCTGGCAGCCGCCTCTATGAAGTGGCTTGTCAATGGTAAGAAGACTAAGGAGCTCGAGTTTAAGAGCGACGCAGAGAGGCTAGAGGCGCTGGAAAAGCACTTTGGAATGAAGTTGGGACAGGCGGAGCGCGAGGGTATTGCAGGACTTCCGTCAGAGATCAAGTAGATGTAAAAGATGGAAACATTCATCGATTGCTTGCTGTCTACGCTGTATGATAAGCGCATTGGTTGGTATTTGGACAGATAGCCTTGAATATGCGGGATATCGCGTCTTTAGATGAACCGTTCCTCGCACTGGACATGGTTAGTACTACTACTGGCCCGTATTACCCGCCATTGCCATACGTACCCTCCATGGGTTGTTGAGTTCGAAACCTTCCGGGGCTACCGGCTTGTCCGTCTGTCCGCGCATGAAGCCAGTCAGGCGGCGGTCGCGTTCCATCACTGGAGTGTGTAAGTAGGCGCATGAGGTCATCACAGAGCGGTCGTACTTTGCTATACACCTGTTAGCCGCTGTTCCACGCATCTTTAGCGCTATAACTCACCCTATCCCACTGATCGATGCCCCTCCGCGTCTTCTTTCCTCCGTTCTGCATCTCCTTGAGCTTTCCGACAGACACGGCGCTGAAAGCGAAGAACTACACCCGCATTAGCCCGGTCCCGCATCGCCTCGGGACAATTACTCACGCCCGTCATAATGGCATAAGGCAGCAGAGCCTCGAATGGGACGCCCATGGTTGCGGTAGTGTATCCAGTTGCTGTGGTGTTGCGGGGTGGGTGGTCGTGAAGGGCGGCTAGCTAGACGTGCTGTCGGCGTGAGGTGAGTGCGGCCGTGCGTGCGTCTTGGCTTCCCCGACCTACGCAAAGGGTGCCAGTTTAGACGACGAGAGAGCACCGCCAACGCCGTTTCCTGGCGAGCTGCAATTATATCTGGTGTCGCCCAGTGCTATACTTTCATACGAGTCGCGAATGCCGATGCCCTCGCCCCTCAGCTCCGCGGAATAATTGCGCACGTCGCCATCGCGCACCTCCACCTTCCCCACAACATCCGCCAACGCGACTTGGAGCCCGCAGCGACTCACCAGGGCAATTCATCGCTGCAGAAAGCAGAATCACCATCTAATCAGGCAAAAGAGACGTTTGGGTCTTCACGGGTCACGGCAACGCGCTATACCACGGCCGACGCGCTCACCAATACTGCGGGAAGGAGCACCCGTGTCCACTACCACTCGCGCCACCGACCTGACAAGGTCAATACTATACCCGTGCTGCGACAGTGGCTTATTTTGCCTCCAAGGTGGCCTCTGCCGTCAACTTCGCCATGGCGGAGCTCATGGGCCAAACCGCGAGCAACGCCGAGATGGAGGACATCGACGCGGACGGCGAGTACGAAATGGACGATGTCGAGTACGAACACGCCCTTCCTGCTGAAGTCGCGCCAGATGCCGACGGTCATACCACCGACGCTGAGGGTTCCGACGTGGACGCCGAGGGTGAAGAGGTCGACGACGAGGACGAAGCCGAGCCGGTTGGCGCTGTCAAGATAGCGCTACGTAGGGTTGCTACCTCAGACGAGGAAGAGGACTACGAGGGCGACGATGCAGCTAGGGAATCTTCGGATGCCAAGTCCAGCGACGGTGAGGTGTCGAGCAGCGCTGATTCTGAAGAAGAAAACCAGTGGCAGGCGAGCGTAGACGGCGAGGAGGACGAGGTTATCAAGTCGTCCAACCCCAATGTATGCGTGTAAGTACGCCTAGGGAATTTGAGAGAACATTAAACTAACTCCAACAGATACTGCAGACAGGACGAGGATAATGATCCAAGCCCGGAATTCGAAGAGTATCTCTCATGTGCGGTATGTGGGGACAATGGTGAGTAGTTTACAGAATGTTTGACTCTGTGGTAGCTGACATGTTGTTCCTGCAGCACATCGGCAATGCGCCCGTGACGCTAAAACGCTTAGTCCCGATGACAGTATGTTGACCCGTATTCCACCCTAACTGTACTGACAGCTTCTAGATGCCAAGCGCTGGCGCTGCACAGAGTGTGTCAACAACTTTCCAACTGAAGACGAGGAGGAAGAAGAGCCCTCTGCTCGTCGGAGGCGTTCGTCTCAGAACAAACTGACCAAAGAGTTGCTCCCTTCACATCGTGGAGTTGACCCAGAAGGACATTCAATCTTCAAGGAGCTCATCCTTCCCGATGAAGCAGAAGATGGCGTACGTTCGTTGCGCAAACGTAAGACTTCGCATGAAACAGAAACACCGATGCCGTCAAGGCAAACACGGAAAAAGCGGAGACCTTCTGAAGCAACCAACTCGGGTGCAGAACCATCAATACCTGCAGTCTCTCCTAGACCCCCTTCTAGAAGTGTGCGTAGTGTTCGTAGCGTCATGGACGGTCATGAAAGTGGTGCCGAGGCTGAACACACTGGATCAGACCGCGAAGGCACTCGTCTACGGCCAGCGCGAGCACGTCGTGGACAGCCTAAGAGAACTGACAAACGACCACTGGCCTGGATAGAAGAGGCTCAGGGTCAAAGTTTGATCATTGCATTCCATCTTAATAACGAGAAAGTTCAGAAGATTGTCACATCAAAGCCTAAGAAGAAGATTGTCCTGCCTACCAGAGAACAGGAACGACAAGAGCGACGACGTCAAAGAGATCGGGAACGTCGCGAGAGGAATCGCCGCGCTGCACAAGAAGCACGAGGCTCACCAGACATTCCACATTACCCGACAATACATGTCCAGCACCCTACGCCTTTCGCCGGGTTTACCGACAGAGAGCCAGATGAGACCAAGGTTAAGCCCTATGGCGGTGTGCTCTCCGAGGCTGATGCCGATACCTCCAAGACTTACCCCTCACAAGCAGACAGGAAGCGATTTGACGATGCCAGGATCAAGGCTGAAGAGGAATGGAGAGAGAAGCAGGCTGCACTGTATCCGCCAGAGGCAGGGCGGTCACACAAGCAAGCAGCTACCGCTAGCAAAATCAAATGCGTCAACTTTGGAGGCTGGGAGATCGATACCTGGCATGCTGCACCATATCCAGAGGAGTACAGCAAGAATCGGGTGCTCTACATTTGCGAGTTCTGTCTTAAGTACATGAACTCGGACTACGTTGCATGGAGGCACAAGGTATGGAGATCAAGTTTGCTTAATGACTATAACTAACAGACACAGCTCAAGTGCCCGGCAAAACATCCCCCAGGCGACGAGATCTACCGTGATGGCCGATATTCCTTCTTTGAGGTTGATGGAAGGAAGAATCCCGTCTACTGCCAGAATCTCTGCCTTCTTGCCAAACTCTTCCTCGGCTCCAAAACGCTATACTACGATGTCGAGCCCTTTTTGTTCTACGTTATGACCGAGAACGATAACTTTGGCTGTCATTTTGTCGGCTACTTCTCCAAGGAAAAGCGGCCGAGCTCGCTTAACAACGTCTCCTGCATTCTGGTTTTGCCCATACACATGCGCAAGGGCTACGGACAGTACCTGATTGAGTTTTCTTACCTCCTTACCCGTGTCGAGCGTAAGACCGGCAGTCCCGAAAAACCACTCAGTGACATGGGTCTTGTGAGTTATCGCAAGTACTGGCGGTTGGTCTTGTGTGAGGAGTTGCTGCAACAAAAGGCGGCGATCAGTATCTCGGCCATATCAGATCGCACAGGTATGACGCCAGACGACATCGTATCTGCGTTGGAAGGTCTGCGGGCTCTTGTACGCGATCCCGTCACAAAGAAGTACGCGCTACGGCTCGACCTTGACTACTTCAAGTCGTACATTGAAAAGTGCAACGCTGCCGGCAATCCGAAGATTAACCCCGAATGCCTCATCTGGACTCCCTATGTCATGGGTCGACTTGGGCAGTATGAAGACGGTCCCGCCTTGCAGACAGTGCAACAGCGCGATGAGGTCGAGGAGGAAGAGAAACCTGTGCCCGAAGAAGGCGTGCAGATGGGCAAGGCAAAAGCAAACGGCACCGGTGATGAAGCCGATCCCTTTGGGCCCATACCAACAGCCGAAGAGTCTGTCAACGGCGGCTCACCCGCACCCGGTACCCCAGTCCCCAACGGCTCTACCGTAGCGCTCGCTGGATCACACATGGATGAGCCCGCCATTCCCCCCTCCCGCTACGAGATCTTTCCCCCTGTTCCTGGCCAGCCCGCGCAAAGAAGACGACCCGGCCGCCCCTTTGGCTCTCGCCGCCGAACCAGCACCCCAAACCGCGTCCGCAACACTGCACTCTCCATCCACACCGCCCCCGTCTCCAAGATTCAGCTCTCTCCCAGCCGTGGCGCAAAGAACCTCATGTCGCACTCTGCACCAAACGGTGCCCTCACACCCGGCACCATCTCACTCCGCCGCACGCGCAGCCGACTCGGTGAAAGCGTCACGAATGGCGATGATGTCGAGGACGGCGGCGCGGTCAAGGCCGTGCTTACGAATGGTAGACGTAGCACTCGTAGCTCGGCTAGCTCGCGCGGTAGCATCGATCTCAAGGGTAAAGGCAAAGCGCTGCCGATTGAAGAGGAACACGATGAAGATGTTGACGCCGATGCGGATGGGGACTACGATGAGGAAGAGGGAGATATGGATATTGATGCTGAGGGTGAGGAGGACGATGATGTTATCATGGCTGATGCTTGATCGGTTATCAAGCTAGTGTATACTCCACTTTGCAGTGTTGAACGTAAGGGGTGGATGGCGTGTCTGTTCTTCTTCTTCTTTTCTTCTTACGTTCAGACACGGAACTTTGTTGAGCGTTTTGTTCAACTTTTTTTTTCTCGTTTCATTCCGTTGGTGGTATCTTCTCCCCCCATCTTCTTCTTCTTTTATGTGTCTTCTTTCATACTCTTCTACGCAGCATCACGGAGATACCTCGGGAATTATGGGATGGGGATATGCACAATCAGGGCGTTTTGTTCCTTGTTTTGCTTTGCTCTGCTTTGCCAAGGGATATGCTTTTCTCTCTTAAACCAAATCTTATCTGTTTAATCATGTGGATCTTGAATGACTGACTGCCTGACTAGGTGTGCTTGTGTCAACTCTTGTCTGTTGTGTGGTGATGTGGTTGTGATTCTAGGAGTTGAATGAGACATTGGAGTAAGCTTTGTCTTGATTGAGAAGGTACCAGGATAGCCAGACACGAGTGACTATATCGTCAAGACGCGCTTGCTTGACTGTGCCGTTACTAATGGTGTTTGCAAGCTGGGGACTCCAGAACTTGTTGCCCTGGGTGAGGATGGGATCGAGAGGCTACACGAGTGCGCATCCTCGATGCTCAGGGATGTGTATGTAAGGCTCGTGAGCTACACGGGCAAGGTGTGAGGGTTTGATAGTGTAGTTTGATAACGTATGATTGCAGGGCTTGTATGGAGAGGGGGAGACGGTGAGGGAGGTGAGGGAGGTGAGGTATAGTAGAGGTCTGCTGGTAGATGTAAGTGTTTTTGATAGGTTGTGTTGAAGCTTAGCATATCAGTGTCTAAAGTCCCTCTATGCATGTCCTTCTCATGTTTAGTGGTGAATGTGATGAAGAGCTTTTGTTGTTTACATTACGCGATGCAGATTTTTCACACGCGACGTGATAGTGAGTAAAACATATATATCATACCCCCTAACACATCTTAAGCAGTCAGTAAGCGTCATAGGAATACTGTGACTTACCAAGTATAAGGTGTTGATGGTATATGTAAATGATGTCGATGCTTAGCAGCAGATTTCCACAACACAGATTTGTTGTAACAACAATGTAAGAGTAAAAGGTGTCATCCCAACACCTCACCTACCTTCTCATACTACTGTCACAAATCCTGCATTATGAAAGTCTGCTACTACGCAACGACACCACTTCTTCACATGAATAAGCGTCATAGATGAGAAAAGCAAAGTCATTACCTATCCTACAGTCTCGAATGCCACAACCCGTGGTTACCATCCTACCCTACCTCTCATGCAAACCCAGCGGTTCGATAGATCGATTCCATGTACCTTTTGAAAGAAAAAGGGGGGGCTGGATTACCAAGGACGCCGTGGCTGAAACAAGGACTGTGGTTAACGTGCCATGGGAATGGGATTTCGAAACCAAGGGATGAAACGGGGTGTGAGGCCCAGGGTAACGGAAAACACCCCTTTCTCTGCTGCCTCCGCGGTACCGTGTTCTTTGTTCTTTATGCCATGTGCGTTACTTTATGTAGGTAACCATGGGGTTGGATAAAAAAATCATTATATATATGGGGGCCCTCTCCTTCTCCCACGTAGTTTCTTTCATTCATCCCCACTTGAGTTGGGGTAACAGCAACGTGGCGCGCTTGACACGATACCCATGGGATGTCGTCTCCACATGATTACACACCCTCATCCCACATATATGTATCTTCTCTGGTGTAGCTTTACAATGTCAGCCACGGCTCTTCCTCCACGCCCATATCCTTCATGCTACGTAGTCTCCGCGGTACTACATATCCTCACCAAATACCTACACCCATTTCCCATCGAGTCTCGCCATGGTACTAAATACTCTCACTCCACCCACACATCTTCTTCCCATGTATCCTCCACGACCCCTCGTACACACATCACACCGCACACATGATCATAACAGCAAAACAGAGGACTTGCACACAAGGTGTTGAATTAAGCGTATGAGAAAGCTACGCATGGTAATACCAATACCAATTGGTCGTGAAACCCCCCATAAACTCCCGCATGCAGACGATGCGCTCTCGCTAATGCTGCCAAATCTAACACCTCCCAAACCCCTTAACGCCATATCAAACGCCCCCACCCTAACGCCAGCCTGCCTTATGATTGCCATGCGTTTATATCGGGGTAATCTGTCGGCCCTGTCGGTGGCCACGTCCACTGGTCGCCTATCTGATGAGGGTAGGTCTGTTGTGGATGCTGTGGATGCTGTGGCTGCTGTGGCTGTGTATGTTGCGGATGCTGTGGTTGCTGCTGTGGATGTAATTGCTGCTGTGGATGTAATTGCTGCTGTGGATGTAGTTGCTGCTGTGGATGTAGTTGCTGCTGTGGATGTAGTTGCTGCTGTGGGTGCAGTTGCTGTTGTGGATGGTGCTGCAGATGGTGCTGTGGTTGGTAGTGTGGATGGGGTTGTGATTGGGAATACGGTTGCGGCATCGTATCTCGCGGCAGGACCATTTGCTGCAGGGGCATGGCAGTCTGAAGAGGTCCCTGGATGTTGGGCTGGATGTCGGGCGTAACTGGGCTGTCGTAGAGCTCAGTGCGCATCCGCTTCTGCGGCGGATAGTCAAATTCCGACATTTGAGGGGCGGTGGATGATGGATCGACCGGTTCGTCATCATCATGCCGGCGCTTAGTGCTCAGCATACCGCCCTTTTCCTTGCGCAGGCGGAGACGCACACCTTGGTCGGAAAAGGACCTTGAAAGGTGAGTGGATTCCTCAAGGCCCTTGAAGTCTTTAGAGGCCGTGACCTCGAAGGGATCTGTCAAGATAAAGCCGAGATTTTGGACTGCTGATCCTGTATCGTACATAGGCTCTGGTGCTACCTCGTAGAGGGTCATGCAGAGCCTAAACTTGCCTACGATCTTGACAGATATATCGCCGAAGATGAAGTAGGCGCCCTCTTCATTTTTGATTGGGTCTTTAAGACGATGAAGAGAAGAAACCAGTGTACCTGTTAGTGACTTCATTGTAGATGTCTGAACAGGCCCCTTCTTGTCACTGGTCCAGAGAGATATTGAGCCAAAAATGTAAGGGTTTTGAAGGTATTGTTGGCCTGGATCCTCATGAGAGTTGACCTGAAGCTGGAACATTGGTGGTGGGTCTAGAGGCTTCCTGGACTTCTCTTTCCCCTGAACAGTTACAAGGCCGTGTTTAGGGTGCTGGCGAACCAAGAGTTTGCATGACCTATGATTCAAGGGCCCAACTGTAGGTACTGTTGGATACAGATAAGATGGCATAGGCGCTGCGATGTGGTAAGGATTTGACATGGCTGGAGAGGATTTGCGGTGGATTCAGAACCTTGTAGGTGCTTAGTCGTAGATCGCGGTCGAGAACAAATCTTCTCTGGTTGTGGTAGTCTTGCGTGTGGTTGAGAATGCAAGGAGAAGAGTAGTAGCTGGATCGTTTGTAATACCTATGTTAGTAGTATGTACGGGAAGAGAATGGGAGATGGTTCAGAAACAGCTGGGTTTTGAAACGCACCTCTGTTGCCCGTGCGCGCTTAGCGTAGTTCGGACGTTGAGCGGCCTAGCCTATAGAACAAAGGGGAGCTTGAACTTGGTAATGTAGAACCATGGATACAGTTTTGTGATGTAAAACGCTCAAATGTAGTGGTAATAGGCGACGAATAAGCGGGCAAAGGCCAGTTTCAGCGGGGCCTGAACCGTAGAAATTGGAATTTCAATAGCTATGACTGCTGGAATGAAGGTGACTCGTCTTGTACGTCCAGTAAAAGACTGAGGCTTAGCGGTAAAGAATACGTTGCCGTTGTCGATGGGGTAATGAAGCTCTTGGGAATCCGCGCTATTGGAATAGCTCGTACAGGAAGGGACTGGTGCTTGAGTCTTCAACGGGGCCGGAGTGAGTAGAAGGCGCGGTGGGGGTGCAGAAAGACTGTTCGGTCCACACTCAGCAGCCAAAGCAACAGTCGTAGTGTCCAGGCAGCGATGGTCGCGCCCGAGTCTTGCAGCCTGCAGTCTCCAGAAGACCGTGGTGAAGGTCAAGTTTCGGCAGCTCGAGGTGGGTCGGTCGGAACTGAGATAGTTCGGAACTGCAGCGCCGTGGGCGGCAGCAATAGTTGTATGTGTGCAGAAGCACTTTGGAATGGAGTTCAGGACTGACCAAGGGTTGTTTTGGAGCAATAGCTCGGTACTAAGGTAATAGAGCGAGGATGGCCCATGCACCCGAACGACCAGGCCAGGCCAGCACAGCTGCAGCAGACTGGGGTAGCACGGCGGCCGACTTGGCTCAATCCAACGGCAGTCCCAGGTTCTGATCGGGCGCTGTCCAAGGAAACGAACGGGCGACCCGGTCGCATGCGACGGCAGAGGGGACTACGCTAAGCCAAACTCTGAATTTAGCCATTGAGAACTACTTTAGTTGAAAGAGCGTGTATAACAGCCCCACTGGCGCTCATTCCATAGCCCGTCCACCCGGGAGAGGTCGAGGTCGACTCGGACTGCAAATCAAAGGCTCGATTTGGCTGGCGGAACCCAATACAGTTCCCGGAGCACGTCTATGTACGCACATGGCGGCTTTCACACAACCTCTTCCTTGGTGTCACGGCGGCTCTCGGGACGTGCCTCAGGACTCGAGGCTTGAACTGACAGGCCGACACTTGCACGCATACGAGCAATGAACAAAAGGTTAGGCTACCCTACCTAGTACCTAGCCTAGTCACTTCTTTTGTCAACTGGCTCTAGAACAAGCGTGGGCGTGCAGCCATGACACGGGAAGGTTGCACAACAAGTGAACTACAGCATTGGCCGTGGTGTCGTTTGCTGGCGTCGACGACGATGCAAGTGAGGATGATCGCCGTCGCTATGTCGCCGTGGCTGGCGGATTTCTGCAGGGATCTAACCAGAGCTTTGGAGCTACGACCGCCACGCGCCCTGTTCGCTTGATGAATTCTACGATGTTACACTCTCATATACAACCCCGGTCGCCTCCCCTTTAGCCACCATCTTCCAGTAAGTGAGCCGTGTGCGGGCGTCCTGCGAAACCGCTAGCTCGGCAATCTGGTGCTATACCCAGCCATGGCCTTAGTATGAACGCTGTCAGATAACCGTCGGACGCGTCAAGGCACCACCATCTGCCTGCGACGTTGTTGCTTGTTGAGCCCTACGACTGATCTCCAAAACGTCAGGGCGGCTGTCCGACAAGCGCTGTGCCTTGGGATAGGACTGCAGACCGCCATTGGCGCCCTTGATATGGCAAATATTGTCCCAACATCCGCCTTATATGCGCTTAATTTACTTTTTCGTCTTCCCACCCATCTCGGCCTTCAGGAACATCGACTGCCGTCAAGCGTGAGCTTCACCACGCACTACATCTCATCAATAGAGCGCGGCCCTGTATGTCATCAACGATTCGGAGTACTGTATCCGATCCCGTCCTAGGATGCAACTTGACGGCATAATCGTCCTGTAAAAGGCCGAAGACTTAACAGCGCTTGTATACAATATGGATAGCTTCCGGCTTTAAAGCTTGTTGCCCCATCCATGGATGTGGGGTATAGTATAGTTTGCGAAGCCTCGTGAACGCCCTTCCCTGCCTTGTGTTTGAAAGATACAGCTCTTTTGTGACCACAGTATGGTTCCGTTGAACCGTACACGGCGGGTACAATGGTTGCCGGAATGCCTGCCATATTTTGAACTGCCGCAAGACTACTAATTGTCGGCCAGGCCCAAATCACGCACTGCAGAATGACCTGGGAGCTCACTAGAGTAACTCAACCCTGACTCACTTTGATCGATCCAGATTCTGCGCGCCTCATGCTTCTACTGCTAGAGCTCCGGTAACCCTCCCGCCAGCCCCTCCTGCGAGCTACCTGGAGCTACCGCGACCACCGACTTCGGCTTCGTTGCCGTACCATACCAACTCAACCTCGAACATCATCAGCATACTCTCTAATCTTGCTCTCACCGGTCGCAGCCGGCACTTGATTCCGACCATGTATCACGACAGTGCTCGCCTGCCCTGGAAACCACACATTAGGATACTCGCATATTCAGCTGCAATAGGATCGGGCCCACAAACGCTCGTACGCCTCCACAATTTACCCCCACATTCTGCGTAACGCTTGTTTCGTGCTCATGACGACCTAGCAATCCGATTGCGAGCTCCATCCAAGCCACAGGCCACTGATATCCTCACTTACAGCTGAAAGCAACGGTTGAATACGGCGAACTGATCCCATCACTTCTTTGAGGCGGGCCTTATGCGAGTCGAGTCATCTATGATGTATATGCGCACCTTATCACTGGCTACGCAGATCACCGCGATCCTTGGCCAAGGGGTTGGTGCATAACCGGTGTCAAGCAGGCTCAGGACGTCGAGAGCTCGATTGGCTGATGAGCTTTGCAGACAGAACTACAACTTATCCTCGTTGGGGCTAGTAAGCTAGTTGCCTGCAGCTCGTAGCAGCTGATCGGGGTGTTTACGGAAAAAGCACTTCCTCAAGCACCTTCAATTTCGGTAAAAGGGTCGAAAGCGACACCACACCACCACCACAGTCGAAAGTTTAAGAGTCTATTTGCGGTCTCGAGTGTTGGACGTGAGTTTTCTACAAGTGGCCTAACCATCTCTACACCCTAGACAGGTTGAAGCAGCCACATGCTTTCGAAAATCGCCGTCCAGGTCCCGCTGCCAACCTTTCTTTTCTTTGATGTGACTTCCCGCTGATCGGTGGACGCACGTGCTACAGGGCGCTTGGTTTCTTCTTGCAAAGTGGAGAGGAGGGTCCAACAAGATTGCGTCATCCAGGCCTTTATTCCTGAGACAACTTCTGGAGCCTTACGATGAGCTTTTCACTCTTTGGCGGCGCAGTATACGAGTCCATTTGCTCGATACCCGCATCATCGACGATGGAAGTGCTGTAGCTCGAATACAGCGCAGCAACGATGTACTTCATCTCTGTAACACGTCAGTACTGGCGTCCCGGCTGCTTGCAGAAGCCAAAGTATACTCCCGTAAAGAACCTGGCAAGCACTTACGGTACACCGCCAGATGGCTCCCAACGCACATACGGCCGCCGCTGCGCATGGTAAGTGAGAGATCTTGGCTTTGAGCAATGCAACTGATCTCCCAAAGGCCCAAAACCATCGGCTCTCCATATCCTTCCGCTTCTCGCCGCCGAGCTTGTCCATGTCTAGCCACCGCTCTGGCCTCCACTCGTTCGCGCGCTCAAACACCTCTTCGTTTAGATGCAACAGGCCTGCGCTTGCGCTTACCCGCACTCCCCCGGGAACATAATATGATGCTTCCTCGGGCCCTAGATGGCAGCCCTGAAGGGGAGTAAATCGCGGTTGTGGGCCTGGGATGGCAGAGTGAAGACGCAGGGTCTCCCATATAACCGCGTGCAAGAAGGGCAAGCTGTCCACTGTCTTCGGGTCCGGCAGCTGTGGTGCAGAGGACGGTACAAGGCGCGGGGACAGACTGAGGAGCTCGTGCTGAAGACGGGCCTGAACATCAGGGTGTTGTGACAGCTCATGGACGACGTAGGTCAGTGTGATTCCAGACGTATCGAAGCCAGCTGCTAGGTGATCCAGCACCTCACTCGCGATCGCCTTGTCCAATCCATCTTCCTTGACAGACTGCTTAGCCATGCTCTGTTGCAGCTGCTGATACACCACGGGCCGGTCTTGGACATCTGCAGCACCGGCGATCACGACCGCACCGGCGCTCTCGCACATGTTTACCGTCCACTCCTCGATCTCACCGTTTGCTACATCGACCCATTTTGGCGTCAACCGGTAGTTCAACCATTTCTCTACAAAAGCACTGAGTCTCGGGAACTCTTGAGGCCAGAAATTGAACGATCGGCGCGAGTTGTACAAGTCCAGGAACCAGGCCAACTGCTGGCCGTCGTCAATAAGGTTTGAACCTGCCTTGAGGCCGAAGATGTAACACGTCACAATATCCATGGTCGTTGCGCTAAGCAGGGAGTACATGTTCAGTATGCCTTTGTCTGGTTCGGAAAAGGTTCGCTCTAAGAACGGCAGGAAGCGTCTGTAGACTATGTTCGACGCCTGGGCCAGCAATGCATCGCTTGCCGTGACGTGTGACTTGCTGTAAATGTTGCTTAACATTCGTTTTCTCTGCGAGTGCGGTTTGTTGCTGCCAGTGGAGAACATGTTGTCGACGCTGCAACCATGTCTTGTCAATACACGCTCGTTTCGTCATGCAGCCAGTGCTCACCCTCCATAGTTTGAAAAGAAAGAATACCAATTGTATCCATCTCTAGCACACACTTTCTCAAACCCTCCTGCGTAAACGTCTCGAATTCCTCCTTTGACGCCGTTGACACTGATCTCGCGTGGTCCCAGGCACACGATCGGACCTAGACGGTCGTGTGCTGCCTTGAGCGTCGTATTCTCAACGCCCCGCCATCGCACAGCGTGTATCCAGAGCGACGTGAAATGCGCAAGCGGATGTGCAGCAGGTACCTTGCGCAATGGGTTGCGGAGATACTCGACGACCAGGCTGGTAACGAGGAGTAGAACAACGACTCCGACGGAGGAGAAAGACGACAAGGTGAAGAGCATGGTGGTGTCGCAACGTTGCGTCGTGCAACACGCCTCTCGTCTCAGCAAAAGCAAGCAATTGGCAATTTAAGCCACCAGATTATATCAGAGAAAAGAAATGAAGGGCTTCGCACCTTGCTCACCCGCGCGCCCTATGTCGGGAACGACAGCTCGTCGTTACTCCGCCCGCACTAGCAACCACGAACCCCACATGGCAGCAGTACACAGTGACGCACTGAGCAGCACATCTTACCTACCCAACCTAGGCAAGTATAACCCCACAGCAGCGCGCATCGCATTCAGATTTGCTTATCTCTTGATCGCCCCGAGTGATTCCCGCTCCTAGCTGTGAATGCGCGCACTATCCCTAGTCGGGCTAGAGAAACATACCGTGGCTTGCTGTGGCTGAGAAGGCGCCACATTCGTTGGTTCTTCGAAGCCTCACGCCCCACTCGTCCATCCACTTCCACCGGCGCCCCCCGTCGACGGTGGAGGAAGAAGAGATTGTGCAACATGTTTGGAGTGGCGAGGGCTGTGCAAGGATGTTGTACTTTTTTTGTTCTAGGGCTTTATTTAGATTTCTAGAATAGGGGGGGGAGGCATTGGACGGATTGGGACAATGGGTTGGGCGTTGGTGATCGAATTGGGAATGGTAGGGCTGTAGGGCAGATATTTCGACTGTGAATTTTGTTCAATATGAAGATTTATGTTGATGAAAAAAGGGGGGTATATGTGTTTTGAGCAGGTATAGACCACGTCGGGGAAGATGGTATATGCTAAGTGAGCAGGTATAGCCTTTTCTTGTACAAATGGGGGACCGGACTGTTAGGAATACGGGCTTTTCTCTACATATAATAGGGTACGACAACCAATAGGGAAACAGACTATTATACGGCCGGACTGAGTGCCTAGGATGAGGTAGGGCACAATGGCGAGAACTGTGAACAAGTCTGGACCAACACGAGAGCACCATGTTTGCGAGGATCTCAGTAAAGACTGCCGAGCCTGAAGAGTCCCGAGGTCTCATAGGCTTACTGAAGCTGTCTGTCTGCTGTGATGGTGATGTATGGGATGAGTATTCCAGGTGCCATGGAGTCTACGTAGTTGGTATAAGTATAAAATACGTCTTCTTTGCGGTACCGGGGAGTATACTGTATATTCATCCTTTCCCTGCGATGGAGGTTGCGCGTTGCTGAAATGATCGCTTCGCGGAAGCAAGGAGGTGCCGTTGATGAGGCGGACAGATGTTTGTGCGGAGTTTTGTTAGGGAGTGCCAATTTAGAACTCCCTAAGATCTTTGGTCCTGTATAGTTATTAATCTGCTTTATAATTATTAAGACCTTGAACTCTCCTTAACTATATAAATACTCTACATCTTCAACTCCTGGTTCACCATCATCGGCACGTCACCTACCTACAGTCAACGTTGCGAAACCAAGTTCGAACAAGCTTATTGTGTGCTAGAGGCTGCCCTACCTACGCACATTTACTAAGTGAAAACTATTACTTACTAAGTACAAAGTGTTAGATAACGCCTTAACTACTTTTTATATTACTGTTAACTGTTAAGAATATGTTAGGTTCAGTCCAGGTCGGCGAGGTGAGGTTCGTGGAGTAAGCCCGAGCAGAAGGACCGACGCGGAATGATGATCTGTCATGTACGTCCTAAGATCATCATAACAACAAGTAGATAGAACAATAGCTCTTAGTGAAGTTCAATCCAATACAGGGTTACCTTTCGTACCTCTACTCGGTCGCCTATGGTAGTCATACCACCAGAGGAGACCTTGTTCTAACAGGTTATGAGCCCGGTTGCCTAACCCAACGTTATTGTTTTCAAACACCTACCCGAGTCACGAAGGACTCAGATTCAAGAAGGAATCAAAACATCCACCCAAGTCACGAAGGACTTAGATTCAAGAAGGAATCAGAAAAGAAAAGAAGTCGTGTACAACGCGGTTAACACGCAATCACACTTAAATACACCGTCTCTACACCCGAGAACCGATAACGACTGCACCGCCCGCAGAATATCACCCGGATCGCCCGGATCGCCCGCATCGCCTGTATCGCCCGCATCGCCCGCATCACCTACACTCTTAGCATCATACCACGTACCTTGCTCGCATAATAGTCTCACCAACTCAAAACACACAAGATGGCTGTAGAGAAGGAAGAATGGAAGATTCCCCAACTTACAGCTGAAAACCACGATACTTGGTTCCGCCGAAACAAGGTCAAGCTTAAGGGGAAGAAAGTCTTCTATGTCTGCGAGAAAAACCTGGTACAGCACTGCCAAATAGCAATAGCCGGTGAACTAACGGAGGCTATGGAAGAGTTGGAAATTGCTGAAGCAGACAAGCATACTAAGATCCGCGTCAACATTGAAAAAAGAGACAAGTACCTAGAAGATGAAGCCACTGCAATCGATCTCTTGTTTCGGTCGCTTACTGAAGATGACCAAGCCCTTATTGACGAATACGACACTGCCTTCCAGTTCTGGGCCTACCTACAAAAGAAGTACACCCAAACTGACGCCACAACCGCCAACATTTACATGACCAGAATTCAAACGTTCACATTCAATCCTGGGAACACAATTGTTGGATCATGGGAAAAGCTAAAGGAATACCGACGCAAACTCGTAGCAGCAGACGCTGACACCAACGGAGCTTACAAGGACTCTGCACTACTACTCGTTCTTATTAGATCACTCCCGAAAGAATTTAAGACTACGATTGACACCTTAAACGCCCAACTTAACCTTACGGTTGAACAGAAACTTAAGTTTCTGGAAGAGAAGGAGGTTCGAGACCAGCAAGACGCCGACGAAAAAGCTCTCCCAGCATTCCGGAAGACGGAGAAGTATGTTCCGCCTTACAAGCGCCGAAATCACAAGAGCTCACCACTATCGTCTGACTCCGAATCTGGTACTAAGTTTATGGTCCAATGCTTCCTTTGTGACGGAGCCCATGGCGTACGAGACTGTCCAAGACGTGAGAGAGCTCGAAAGCTCCTTAAGGAATACGACGCTAAGAAATCATCTAAGCCGCCTATTAAGACACTCAAGCAAAGGAATTCTCACAAAAAGACTGGCAAAGCATATGGAGCCGAAGAAGTCAATTCAGAGTCAGATGAATTATCCGAGACCTCAGACTCTGAACCCGAGGAAATTGAGACATGCCGTCTCTCAAAAGACATTGTCGGTAAGGCCTCTCCATCTACTTGGGCTGCCGACACTGGCGCCTCCTCCCACATGTCTGACCAACCCTCATTGTTTAGACGAATGATCAAGATCAAGCGAAGACTAGTTCGGGTTGGAGGGGGAGAATTATATGCAGACTGGAAAGGAGAAGCTCAAGTGGTGTGTAAAGACGGATCGTCGACATGGTTGTCAGAAGTACTGCTTGTACCTAACCTTGGAGTCAATTTGTTATCAGGGAGAAGAATTTGCGCAGCAGGCCTGAAGGGTCGTTTCAATTCACACGTACTATGCTTCAAACTAGGAAAGGAGATCATTATTAAAGCAACTATGGACGACGGCCTCTACGTAGTGTCACACATTGCCGATGGATACCACGAGACAGCATTCCTAGGCACGGAACCCCATACACCAGTTAAGAGCGAGCTTAAGGTTAATGAAAAGGAGAGATACCTGCTGTATCACAGACGTTTCGCACACCTAGGACCTACAAAGATTGCCAAACTCCACGAAGTTACAACTCTCCAGAAGAAGATTCAAGTTCCAGAGAAGATTGAAATCTGCGAAGTGTGTTCCCTGACAAAGATGAAGAACAGCATCCCTAAGCAGCTAAGAGAGCACAAGGCCACGAAGCTAGCCTTAGTACAGTTTGACATTGCTGGACCCTTTCCAACATCTCTACGAGGAAACAGGTGGTTCCTCCAAATTATTGATAGCTACACGCGGAAAAACTGGGTTATCCCGCTGAAGAAAAAGGGAGACGCACAACGGGAACTCCGAATCTGGAAGACCTTTGTAGAACATCAAACTGGCGAGAAAGTCAAAGCTGCTGGAACCGACAATGCACCAGAACTTCCACAGCAAGCTGAGGAATGGAGAGTTACACAAGGCGTGGAAATTCAGCCTACAACAATTGCTTCCTCACACCAGAATGGACCAGCCGAGCGAAACATCCAAACTGCTGAAGCTGATATGAGAGCAATGTTGAAAGACGCTGGTTTACCAATTGAGTTTTGGGATGAAGCTGTCGAAGCAGACGCATACCTACGCAACCGTACAAACACAGGACCTATGATCAATGGAAAGCAAGTCAGTCCTGAAGAGGCATTCACAGGAACGAAACCATCCATTGACCACATCCGTGTATGGGGGAGCAAATGCTATTCGTACATCAACCCTAAAACGATTCCAGCAGACCAACGACATGACAAGCTCGTGGACCGTGGCAGAATTGGAGTATTTATGGGATATTCTGAGACAACAAATAAGCAGTTCAAGTTCTATTCGCCAGAGCTTGGATACACCTCAAGGACAAGCCGATTGTCAGTGGACGAATACACCCCTGGAGGGAAAGTTGAACTACGACTGCGAAACATACCAGCTGGACCACAAGGAACGCAGAATACGATGCCAGACCGAAAACCAAGAGGAAGACCTAGGAAGGATCTAGAATTATCTCCTGCCGAACGAATGGAACCAACTCCTACCGAACGAATGGAACCATCTCCTGCAGAACCAATGGAACCATCTCCTACCGAACCAATGGAACCATCTCCTGCAGAACCAATAGAACCAGTTTCCGAGAACCTAATGGAACCATCTTCGGCAGAGCTAACTCATGAACCAGTGAAGCGTCACAGAGGAAGACCAAGGAGGCTAACTACTATTCCTCCTACTGCACCATCTGATGAGCGGGTTCCTAATCTTGTGAACGAAGAGGGGCCCGAAGAACCGTGTACCCAGTCTGTACGAGAAAAGGAGATTCCACGATACTTCACTAGACAAGCCAAACGGAAGAGGTCTAACGAAGAGATTGTTGAGGACGAGAGATTTAGCAAGATCGTTAAAGCTATGCTAGCCCAAGTTGGCCTTACAGAAGAGCAAACACGACTATCTGAGAAGGCTTTCGCAGCAACCGAGATCGCAGGAATCCAGATCCCCCAGACACACGAGCAAGCTATCAACGACCCAAAGTATGGAAAGCAATGGAAAGCAGCAATACTTGAAGAGATAATCGCGTTAATAGAGAATCGAACCTGGGAGGAAGTTCCAAAGCCAAAAGACGCGAACATGGTTGATTCAAAGTGGGTTTTTACAGTCAAAACGAATCTCGACGGGACTGTTGAGAGGTTTAAGGCACGCCTTGTGGCAAGAGGTTTTACGCAAGCACACGGAACAGACTACAACGAGACTTTTGCCCCGACAGTCCGCATGGACACCTTACGTCTGTTTATGGCCACTGTCGCAGCGGAAAACCTGGAATGTTTCCACTTTGACATTAAGAATGCATTCACAGAGTCGCACTTGAAGGAAGAGATCTTTCTTAAGCAACCCCAAGGAGTAGAAGTCAAAAAAGGATACGTCCTTAGAGTTCTCCGCAGCTTATACGGACTCAAACAGGCTGCTCGCGACTGGAACTTGTTGATAAAGAAAGAACTTCTGGCATGGGGATTCGTACAAAGCCTCGCAGACCCGTGCATGTTTATCCACAAAGAAAAACAACTCCGTATCCTCGTCTACGTTGATGACATTGCTGCTGCTGCAAAAGATCGAGCTCAAATTGATTGGTTCTACGAGAAGCTTTCTGGAAGATTCAACACCAAGAACCTGGGGGAGATTCATAAGATCCTTGGAGTACGAGTTACGCGAGACAGAAAGCGCCGCACAATCTACCTCGATCAAGAGCAGTACCTACACGCAGTACTTGACAAGTTTGGAATGTCTAGCAAACAACACAGAGACAAGAAGATTCCATCTGCAGATTACACTTCATTTAGGCCAGCCACTGACAACGACACCCGAATCGACATCACTGAATACCAGCAAGTGATAGGGAGCCTTATGTTTGCTATGGTTCTTACACGTCCAGACATTGCATTCACCCTCGGAAAGCTAAGCCAATACATGAGCGATCCAGCAGAACACCATGGCCATGCGTTGAAGAACCTGCTACGATATCTAAGGTCGACAGTGACATTGAAGCTACGCTACGGACCAGGGGGAGTACACTCGCAATTTGTCATCTACTCTGATGCTGACTGGGCAAGCGACATGGTAGACCGAAAGAGCGTTTCAGGGAGCACTGCAATGTTCTACGGAGGTCCAATATCATGGTCTAGCAAGAAGCAACGGTCTGTTGCAACGTCAAGCTGCGAATCTGAATACATCGCACTATCAACATGCTGCAAGCAAGGCCAGTGGATTGCTCAAATGTTTAGAGATCTTGGGTTCCCAAAGTACATTGGAAAAGACACCAACAAGGTCCAGATGCTAGGAGACAACCAGGGTGCCATTGCACTTACAAAGAACCCTCACCTTCACGAAAGATCAAAGCACATCGACGTCTGTTATCATTTTATCCGAGACCTAGCAGAACAAGGCAAACTCGATGTGGCCTACGTTCCAACTGCAGACATGGTGGCTGATGGAATGACAAAGCCATTGCAGCGAGTCGCATTCGAGAGATTCAAGAACCAATTAGGAGTTGTCCTTGGACCGGACCTGCCCTGAGGGGGAGTGTTAAGAATATGTTAGGTTCAGTCCAGGTCGGCGAGGTGAGGTTCGTGGAGTAAGCCCGAGCAGAAGGACCGACGCGGAATGATGATCTGTCATGTACGTCCTAAGATCATCATAACAACAAGTAGATAGAACAATAGCTCTTAGTGAAGTTCAATCCAATACAGGGTTACCTTTCGTACCTCTACTCGGTCGCCTATGGTAGTCATACCACCAGAGGAGACCTTGTTCTAACATTAACTATCTTAAACAATCCAACGGCGATTTGGCTGCTGATTTTGGTGGATTGTGACGCCGTTTTTGGATGCTGACTTGCCGCAAAACCCCCCTAATCGTGCGGGCTGTGGCCCGAGCGGAAACGTCTCCGGCTTTCCTACTTTGGCTAGTGTAGGCGTTAAACAAGTCCAAGGGCCAATTCAATTTCCTGTCAAGAACGCTGAAGAATGCTGCGGCACGCCTGCGACCTGACTCGCTCTTCTGAACACTGCAAGTGAATGCTAACCTAATCTAAGGTCGTCCTCCCAGCGGAGTACTAAAGGCTCCTTCCTCGCTGTCTGGAGCAACATAAACAGAAACCTTATCCTCCTTTCTTGTCTCCTCTTTTGCAGCCTACACTGTCGTTTAAACTCAAATTCTCGTCGCGTTATTCTATCCTCTCTTTACGCCTTGCCTCAGACGCACAGCCATAAACGCATGCTCTGCCTCTACTCGCTGTGCCTCTACCCGCTCTGCCTCTCCCACGACACTTCGTCTCTGCAAATAGTGTGCGACATGCGACGACGTTCACCGGTTAAGAATTCCTCCAACGACAGTGATTACACTACGTCTGATATAGACGATGGTATGGAGCTAGATACAGATCTGACAGACGTTAACGAATTTGCCGACAACAATAATGAGAATGATGAGGATGAAGCGTAGCTCTTCCCCAACGAGGATCATCCGCCTGAGTACTACCTTCAGCAGCTAGAGATCTTCAACGAATAAGAGTACGCGAAAGAGGACTACAAGGATAGTAGTACTCACTTGATTAATCGTATAGAAGATCAGTAGAATTAGTACGTTTCTTGTTCCTCTTGTAGCTTGCGCTAGAACGCATAGACTAACCCCCGCATAGATGCTGGACGTACCTAAAAAAAGACCACTATCGTGCCTACGCAACTGTATCCGTCGCTACTCTATACACGTTCTTTGACTGGCTACTTAGCCAGCGCCAGGGAAAAGGCGGGAGGAAACGCCGAGGAACTAAGCTCGCCAGCTCCCTAGGGACGTATTAGAAGGTTTTCCGCCTAGTGTATAAAAGAGCAACTGGTGTAAAACTAGATAGGAAAATAAACTAGAGTATGCACAAGGTATGAAAAGCTGGCTTCTAGTTTTAGTCTTATATAGGTGTTCATGTCTAATGTAAATAACAGGTACTAAGGAAGCTAGCGAAGAAGCACGACCTAAAGAAGATTGGTCGAGATGAGGCCTGCATGTATGTCGAGGATCTAGCGCGAGTGCTGCAAACAAATCTAGCAACGACCGAAAAGAGATATCCCCACGGACGCTATAGGATACAAGCCCAGCTCTATCTACAACTAGGTGGATTTACAGCGAATCAGCCTTAGGCTCTTCTTAGTCTCTGCTACCGGCATATACAAGTTACGCTGCTACGGGATCCCGAGGGTAGCCCTCATCGAGTATTGCTGGAGTTCACGTTCGAATTCACAAAGGAGTTCCTTAGTATTAAAGACTTGTACGTAATTATTCTGTGCTAGAACTTATACGCTTGCTGACTTTTCTCTACGGAATACCTTCCCTCTCCCTGAAATTATCCACGATGAGACGCTCCTCTTTAGTCCACATGTCTTCCTCCTTGGCCTACTCTTCTACGATCGGGCGTTTGCAGCCTACAATCTAACCTCTCTAGAGGAACTAAGCAGGCTAACGATTCCGCCAGGCCGTAACGAGCTGTTATTACGCCTGAATCGGAAGTTAGATGATATTCCTGTGTTTCGGAAAGCGGTACGGACCCCGCATAGTTGGGACATCTCTCTCAACGAGCCTCTTACCTACTCCACCCTGCTCCCGTGGATCCGGACTTTAGGCGAAGTAACGGGGTTTGCTTAAGTTACCCGTCCTTATTCCCTAAGATATGCCGGAGGGAAGGCGTTTAATGAGAACGGTAAGTCCTGCAATTTGTTCTATGCAAGGTATATAATGCAGGATGCAGAATTAACGTAGTGCGTAGACAACGTTAGTGAGGCTATGCAGAATCTAATGATGGGCCATGCTAGCATATCGACATTCTTGAAGCATTACCTCTCACGACGTATTACGGTTGATACGCAGGCTGTCGTGCGAGGTATCTAGCCCCAGGCAGCCCTTATGCGGGCGGCTTGTACTATGAGCCGTTCTATTAATCGTCGTCGGCCACGACGACTCACACAGGAACAATCTGCATCTGTGGACAATAATCCTTCCGTTCGTTCCCTGCTCAACCGATAAGAGCAACTTAAACGTACCATTCCTAACGCAATAAAACATTCTAAGTACAAAGCGCTTGCCTCTAAGATTAGCCAGGAGAGGCAGCGTCGACGGCACGCCCTTCTTAAGGAGATTAAGGAACGCTGGGAGTTTGAACAGCCCGTTCGTGATGTTGAGCAGCAGCTTGCTGGCTTAGAAACTAAGGACAATCTAGAGCTGGTTCACGAAGTTATGCTCCCGGCCCAAGGGGATCTGGTCGACTCGGTCCTGTCAACACCAGGGACTACTATAGAAGAAGAGATGGACAGGCGTAATAGGGCCATTCGTGCGGTTACTCTGTACTGTGGCGTCGAAGAGGGGGGAATGAACCCTATCCGAAGAGGAGGGCGGAGCAGGAACGCTACCCCACCCGCCAAGAGCCAGCTAGAATACGAGGAAGAAGCATTAGAAGCAGCCAAGGTCTCGGTGTACAAGGAGAAAAGGCCGAAGGTATGTTTCCTTTGCCTAGGCAACAAAGGACTGCCGCTGGCACAGCGCATACATCCCTTTGGTACCCCAGGCGATCTTAGCAAGCATTTTGGACGCAAGCACTTAAACCACATTAAGAGTGGGAAGTATCTTAGCTGCAATCTTTGTATGGTGCCTCTATCAGACAAGATGCACTTGCAACGACATGCTCAAGAGATTCACGGAACTGTGTCCCCTAGACATTTGTTAAATAGAATGCTCAAGTGCAATGAAGTATAATAATAGTTGATTATTGTGATCCCTGCCGGCTACGAAGGTGAGGGCTACGGAGCTATATATGTCGTTGGATCCAGGTTCGGCCGACGTAGGATCGAGGCTGTGCATTGGGCTTCACAGAGGGGTTTTTTTTACCCCTTGCTTAGAGTCGAAGTAGGATATGTAACGGGCTGAGCCCTAGGTCACATGACTAGGCCGCTGGCCTAGTCGCTTCGTTCCTTCTATCACTCCTTCTCCCAGCAGCCCGTGCGCCGTGCGCCAACCCAAACAAAGCGGGATGGCCGCCCACTTCCTCTTATTCTCTTCATCTCGACTGTAAATAGCATCTGGATTAGGTAGCTGGAATACAGTACCTACAGACCGTTCACAGGATACCCCTTCCATCTGACAACATTCCTATGGTTGCTGCTAGTACCTAGAGCGTGGCTTGTTGTTTTAGGGCCGCGTGGCCTCTTGGCTCTCCAAACCTTATTTAGTGAGCTGGCAACAGGACTGGTCTTTCATGTCTGTGATTACGCAATGATGTCTTGTGATGACGGGATCGATCTTGCAACACATGAACACAACCTCGGTAATTAATCCCTTTCTTAGTGGGGTGTGCGCTGAGATTGCTATTTATCAGTCCGTACCTAGGCGACGCATGATTTCCTGGGGCAGGATACTGTAGTCAATTCATTATTGTGAAATATTGGACAACAACTGCAACATTGTATTCCATAATGGTAACGATATCGTTGCCAGATCTACCCCCAGAGCTATTGGCTGAGGTCAAAACAAACCTCAGTTATGGATCATGTGTTGCGCTCCGACTTACCTGTCGTGAACTGTACCACAAAATCGACGATCCCAACCAACACACCCGTGGTACCCATTCTGACGCCTTGACTCGCGCTAGTTCGATCACCCGAAACTACGACATGAAGGATCTCCTCGAGATTGAGCTGTGGCCTGAGTATAACTCAGCATATTATCGGCCGACCGAGTTAAAACAACCAATCCGTGGGCTCGATTTCTTCGCCTGCCATATTTGTCGTAAGATCCGCTGTACGAGCAAGTTTTCCAACGCCATGATGAAAAGCAAACGAGGAAAATTAGGCAATGGTACTGTCGCAGAGAAAGCTGGACGTTTTTGCATTCCATGTGGAATCAGGGTGGGAATATATAAGCGAGGTGACTGGCTTCAGTATGGGGGTGCTACAGGTAGTTACGGGTTCATATGTCATCGATGTGGGACTTTCCAAGAATCAGGATTTGAGTATTTGGCGGCGAATGCAAGATTCTGTGCTAATTGTAGGGCACAGTGACTTAGAAGAGTTAGCATATTACCCTGCTAGCATTGAAGCTACAGTCGCTAGCGATTGCGGCTTCACCCCTACTGGAAGCATTACAAAAATACAGTCATTAATGTATCGACGATTGACCAATCATACCTACTCTTTTGCAGCTGAAATCCAACGCTAAACTGTGTACAGAAGCTAGCGCTATGCAGAACTGCTGCGCAGCTACGTTTGGAGGTGAAGCCGCATTCGCTAGTGATTGTACTTGATTAGGTTAGGGAAATCGATTTACATTACGTCTCCTGAATTAATAAAACTGACGGCATCGCATCTTTCGGACCACATTCATGGTACATCCGCACCTATAGTTGTCAACATCGCCTGCTCCAGGACTCACTTCATCGTGCCATCCCCTCGCATTTACGACAGAACGTCTTTCCCTACGTAACGAACACCTTGCATGCCGAGACGCCACAGACACGCCCCAGCATAGCTTCATTCGCGTGTCTGTTTGAGCAGCGTGCCAGGGTCGACAAAGTCTGGGTCGCAACGTGACGGTATAGAGCATGAAGGTGGTTGGAGTTATAGGCCGCTCTGTGGAAAGGAGCGTGGTGAACAAGTACAGGATACATATCGCACGCTTTCATGTTGGCTATCGCTACGAATCTGCAATGAAAAATCCCACCCTTTTTCAATCTTGGGAGCCTGACAACAAAAGACGCATCCCTCCAAGTCCCCATTGGCCCAGATGGCGTTGAATGAACTCAATACAATGCAAGAACGTCTGCTCGGCACCATGACATGCTCACTCTCTAAATGTTGAGCTAATCCGCTTAGAGTTGTAAACTGCTTTCCCTTTCCTTGCTTTGTTTCGGCCCTGCTATAGTCGATTGGAAGGAGGTTACTCGGGCAGTGGTAGAGCTTATCGTTATGTGCTGGAGAGATGATATGCTGCTGAAGAGCCTGTATAGTAGCAAAAGCTTTGCGCTTCCTTGGACAAAGGGAACAACGGATTTCAGGCTCAGTTTCGTCGACCACGAGCCTCTTTCCGGGTAAGAGAAGAAAGTCGGCTGAAGACTAGCGTGGGTATATATTTGATCCGGACGGGTTGCCCAAGACTAGAAATTAGCAACAGGAAAGCAACAAGCGCTTTTTCTTCCTTTGGAGTAAGGTATTGCTGGCGTTAGGCCTTTGTTTCTTTTGACATCCCTCCGTGTTTCCGACGATGGAGTGTTGAGCGAGGAACGTTGCTCTTCTCTGCAACGGCACGGTATGACCTACGTTCATCTGCAGTAAAGGCTTCCACCAGCGCCTGGCTGGCTCGGTCCATGGTCGCGGATGCGGTGATAGCGAAGAGAAAGTGACGAGCAAGCTCATGTAACGAGAGCGCGCCCAATTACTCCAAGAATAGAATAGCCAGCAGACAAACGCGCGGGGTTTGCTCCAAAAATAGCCGACACGTGACGTGCTGCAGAAAGTCTGAACGCCACACTTCAAGCCAACCTGGCTTTAGGGACTTTAAACTGGAGCCTGAAACGGCTTCGAACATTGCGAAAATGCCTACCATGACGGGTTCTTGACATACTCAAATAGCGTTGCAGGCAAACAAACCTAGTAGTGTGGTCTCGCGACGTGCTCCCTACTTTAAACGCAACGAAGAGGAGATGAGCGGATCTCGGCAGAACGTTCTTCCGAAGTCTACTGGACCCCGCGCCTGCGATGCTGCAGCGCTTAGCTGTGCCTGCCTTTTCAGCCTTGTGCAGCTGAGGATGGATCGCAATACTGCTCTCAGCCTGACAGCGGCCTGGCTGCTCGGTCAGCCTATAACGATGCGAACGGCGAACTACCGGTGTGCTTCGTCTCCGTCGCAAACTTCGCATCATGGACGGCCTTTCGGGCGCAGCAAGCGTCATCGCGGTAATCGACATGTCCGCTAAGATCGCCTCGCTGTGCTTCCAGTATTCCATGGCTGTCAAGGACGCCAAGGGCGATATCGAGCGTGTGCAGAGAAAAGTTGGCGAGATCACCCATATCCTGGAGAAGATCAAGCAGCTCCTCGACAGCCAGGACAAGACGCGTCTCTCTACCACTCAGGGCCTGTTCGACTCGCTCAGGCAATGTCTTGGGGAGTTAGAAAAACTGAGAGTGAAGCTGAATCCAGGGAAGACTCGCGGAATTATGGCCAGATTCGACTTACGTGCGCTCAAATGGCCGTTCACAAGCAAGCAGGTTGACAAGATTGTTTCAACCTTAGAAGGACACGAGCGGAGCTTTAGCTCGACGCTGCAGATTGATCAGACGTAAGCTTCCATCTCTGGTCCTGTCGTGCGCAGACACAGCGTCTCACTGTATAGAGTTCTTATGCTTAGCATAGACCAGAAGCTTGATCTAACCAAACTGCCTATCGCAATAGGCGCTTCATTTAATTCCCACAACGAAGAGCACAACGCACGATGCTTACCGAACACCCGCACAGCGCTGCTTGACGAGATCACAACATGGGCGAACAACAACAACGGCAAATCTATATTCTGGCTAAGCGGCATGGCGGGTACGGGAAAATCTACGATAGCGCGGACGGTCGCTCAGTCATTCGCTAGCCGAGGGCAGCTCGGTGCAAGCTTCTTTTTCAAGAAAGGCGAGGGCGAGCGCGGCAATGCTTCACGCTTCTTTACCACAATCGCCACGGATCTAGTCGCCTGCGAGCCAAGCATGCTACCCGGCATTAGGAAGACGCTCGACGAGGACTTCGCTATCTCACACAAAGCTCTGAAAGACCAGTTCGAGAAGCTGATCCTGCAACCACTTTTGGGAATAAAGCAGCCTCGCTCGCAGGCCTTGGCGCGTGTTGTCGTGATAGACGCGCTGGACGAATGTGAACAGGAAGTAGACATTCGGGCGATCCTCCAGCTGCTTGCTCGGACAAAAGACATCCGCCCGGTCCCGCTACGGATCGTGGTAACTAGCCGACCAGAGCTACATATCCGCATAGGCTTCAAGGAAATGCCGAACGGCATATACCAAGACCTAGTCCTCCACGAAGTACCAAGGAGCACGATTGAACACGACATCCGTCTCTTCCTAGAGCATGAGCTCGGCATGATACGAAAAGAGCGCGCGTTGGCCTCGAACTGGCCAGCAAAACAACAGATCCTTGCGCTAGTTGAGCTGGCTGTGCCGCTATTCATCTATGCTGCTACCGTGTGTCGGTATGTTGGCAGCAAAGGAAGCAGCCCTACGGCTTTTTTGAATAAGGTCCTGCAGTATCAGAAGACGACCTTTTCGCAGCTAGATCGGACGTACCTCCCTGTGCTCGATCAGCTGCTTAGTGAGCAGGAGGAAGATGAGAAAGAGACGTGGCTTCAGGCTTTCCGGGAAATTGTCGGCAGTGTTGTCGTTCTCGAAAGCCCACTCTCTGCTGTCTCACTTGCCCGCCTGCTTCAAGTTCCACAAGAGGAGATTAAGTGTCGGCTTGACTATTTGCACTCTGTTCTTAGTGTTCCTGACTGCGAGGATGCCCCTGTTAGACTCTTGCACTTATCTTTTCGCGAGTTCCTCGTTAACCCTCAAAAAGAGGGAAAGAGCCAGTTCTGGATAGACGAGAAAAGCACACACAAGAAGCTCGCCTCACGCTGCCTTGAGCTTATGTCTGGATCCACTGGTCTTCATCCGGACATGTGCAACCTCTCAGGCCCTGGAGTGCTAAGAAGCGAGATCGATGAGCAGACAGTTACTAGCAGTCTGCCACCTGATCTACAATATGCGTGTCGTTACTGGGTTGATCATCTCAAGCAGAGTCAGCAACCTATCGTGGACGAAGACACGACGCACCTCTTTCTCCAGAAGCACCTTCTCCACTGGCTGGAAACTATGAGTCTTATGGGAGAGTCGAGCAGATGTGTTCACTTGCTCGACGGCCTTCAGGCAATTACAGATGTAAGACCCTTACGAAATAACTTCCTAGTGCTCTGCTAATGTTTAACGCAGCCATCTGCAAGCTTTATCTTAACCTTTCTTCACGACGCTAAGCGGTTCGTTCTGCGGTTCCAATCTATGATTGCAGATGCTCCATTGCAGATCTATTGCTCCGCACTTGTGTTCGCACCCGAGAGGAGTCTGATACAACAGACTTTTGTAGACCAAGTACCACAGCGGGTTGAGATGCTATCTATGAAGGAAGCAGACTGGGACGCCTGTCGTAGCACGCTGGAGGGTCATTCTTCCGGTGTCAGCGCGGTGGCCTTCTCGCCAGATGGGCAGCTAGTCGCGTCAGCATCCTTCGACAACACAGTACGGCTGTGGGAGGTGGCGACAGGGACGTGTCGCAGCACCCTAGAGGGCCACTCTAGTTTTATTGAGGCGGTAGTCTTCTCGCCAGACGGGCAGCTAGTCGCATCGGCATCTCGCGACAAGACAGTGCGGCTGTGGGAGGCGGCGACGGGGATGTGTCGCAGTACGCTGAAGGGCCATTCCGACTGGGTCGGCGCGGTGGCCTTCTCGCCCGACGGGCAGCTGGTCGCGTCAGCATCTCGCGACAAGACAGTACGGCTGTGGGAGGCGGCGACGGGGATGTGTCACACCACGCTGGAGAGCCATTCCGACTGGGTCAGTGCGGTGGCCTTCTCACCAGACGGACAGCTGGTCGCATCGGCATCGATGGACAAGACAGTGCGGCTGTGGAAAGCGGGGACGACTAACGACGAGACAATACAGCTGTGGGAGGCAGGGATAGAAACGTATCAGGACATGATAGCGCACTATTGTGATTATCCTAGGGTTGTGGTATTCTCGCCGGATGGGCAACTGGTTGCATCAGTATCTGATGACTACATAGTACGGCTGTGGGACGCGGCGACAGGGACGTGTCGCAACACGCTAGTGGGGCATTCAAACACAGTTACGGTGGTGACCTTCTCACCAGACGGGCAGTTAGTCGCATCAGCATCTTATGACAGGACAGTACGGCTGTGGGAGGCGGCGACAGGAACGTGTCGGAGTACGCTGGAGGGCCATTCTAGTTTTATTGAGGCGGTAGTCTTCTCGCCAGACGGGCAGCTAATCGCATCGGTATCCACCGACAAGACAGTGCGGCTGTGGGATGTGCCGGTAAGGACGTGTCGCAGCGCGCTCAAGGGCCATTCAAATGCAGTCACGGCGGTGATCTTCTCGCCCGACGGGCAGCTGGTCGCGTCAGCGTCTGACAACGAGACAGTACGGCTGTGGGAGTCGGCGACAGGGATATGTTACCATACCCTAGACAGTCATTTTGAGTTCCCTGTGCGTATTGATTTCTCGCCAGATGGCCAGCTGCTTTACACGAACGAAGGGGATTTCTTTTTGCCTCAAACCTCAGCTGTCACATCGCTTTCTAGGCCGCAGCAGCAGTCTTTACACATTGTAGTACAGGAGCAGTGGATATTGCGCAACCGGCAATGCTTCCTATGGCTCCCGCCAGAATATCGATCAGAGACGACCGCAGTACACGAGGACATGGTTTGTCTAGGGCTTGTATCTGGTCGCGTAGTTCTGCTTAAAATTTTCTAGCGGTGTGTTCATAGACTCGCTTTGTCACAAGCATAGCGTAGGCTTTACAGCATAGTTTAGACATAATTATTACACGAAATCAGCCTTGTTATGACTACTCTCTCTTAATAACAACATTCGCACTAAAGTTTATACGCTTAGATCACCCACTAGAGCTAAGCCACAACCTTAACAGCTGTCAGAACGCAGGTCTACGCCCACTACGCTATGCAACCAAAAAGGTACGTATGATCAGTGAACTCCTGATCATCGTGGTAGAATAGTATATATTGTACACCTCGCATTGCGTAGGCCTGACATTTGATTTGAATAATTCAGGAATCAAAATCTATGATTGTAGGGCTCCAGCAGCTGACTGGAAGATGAGCGCTGGCGATAGAGCTGTACCATCCGAACAAATACAGGCTAGCACCGTCACCCACTCTCTAGAACCATCCTGAACAGCAGCTGTAACCCCTTTTCGATCTTCCAGTTACCCCAATCATGAAGCCCTTTTCATCCATATTGAAGATGTGAGAGGGCTCTACATTGTACTCCTTCATCTTACTGTGTAACAGCTCGAAGTATAAGCTGTAATTAGCTCCTGAATCAGCCTTGTGGCGATTGCGGTCCATCCCGGTCTGCCAGCGTGAGATGAGATGGGTTGAGTTTCTGTTGATGAAGCGAGTAACCCAGCTTTCTGAAACCTCCCTACCAGCCAAAGACGACGCAAGGGAGCGTATTATTGCTCGTGTAGGGGGCGTACGTCGCTCAGTAAGCGTTGTAATATGCTTTAACAGCTCGGTTTCTTGGTGTGGATGAAGGATTCTATGGGCGAGCGTATGCGGCTGGTTTTGGCCCTGGTGTCTTCGAGCTAGCGTACGGCGACCTACACCATGTCTTTTTGCGACTTCTGAGTACGAGAATGGTGCGCCTCATGCGCACGATTCGGTTTCTTCAATCGCTTTCTGAATCGGATCCATGGTGGTGGAGTTATGACGTGTTCTGTATAGGTGGTTGTTGTGTTGGGGTGGCCAAAACGCGAACGTGGCCAAAACGCGCACGGACATGGTAGCGGGGTAGTGCACAGGCTATTGTTATCGCAAAAGCGCATAGCTGAGCTTGAAGCAGCAAAAAAAAGAAAAAAAGAGAGCGATCACAGCATGAGGGTACTTCAATAATTATAGAAGGAGTACGCGTAATAACTCCAAAAGAGATCGGGGCGCATAGCGATGAGAAGAAGGCTGAGAAGAGGGCGCGCGTTGAGGTCGGCGAACCGTCTCAAAGATGCTGTGTACGCTGCGGCGAGGCAAGACATAACGCGCGAACATGTAAGCAGGATGCTAGAGTATATTTTGAATAGAATAGTCTATAAAAATTTCTAATTACAGCTCTGCATGGTGCTGTACTGCCGTGTGTAGTTGAGGTTTTGGTAGGGTCTTGGCAGCATGACCGACATACCCGTGAGGTACGTTACTTAAAGCTTTTTGTAGCTAACATGATCCATGGGCGAGCGGCGCACACGGGCGAGCGGCGCACCCCACCAACTTTACTCACCTTACTGATCTTAATCTACAATGGCTCAACGCAGCGCTACTCAATTACTATCAAATGAAGCAGATATTCAGCTTGCTATCTCATCTATTAATGCGCACCAGATCCAAGGTACCCGTACTGCTGCAGTAGTCTACAACGTAGCCGAAACAACGCTCCGCCGCCGACGCGCTGGTATACCTGCCCGACGCGATTGCCCGCCCAACTCAAGGAAGCTTACCCAGAGAGAAGAGGAGGTGATTATTAGCTATATACTTCAGCTAGATCTGCGTGGATTTGCGCCTACCTACACAGCTGTACGTGATATGGCTGATAAGCTGCTGGCTGCGCGTGGTGGAGAGCAGGTTGGAGTCAACTGGCCATCTACCTTTGTTAAGCGTACAGACAGTCTTCGGACGTGTTTCAACCAAGCGTACGATAGGCAGAGAGCTCTTTGTGAGGATGCAACATTAATAAAGAGGTGGTTTAAGCTTGTAGAAGAGACAAAGGCTGAGCTAGGTATCTGCGATGAGGACGTCTACAACTTTGATGAAGCTGGCTTTATGATGGGCAAGATTACAACGCAGCTAGTTATAACAGGAGCAGAGAGGAGAGGCAGGCCGAAGAGTATTCAGCCAGGCAATCGCGAGTGGGTAACGCTGATCGCTGCTATCAGCGCTGCTGGCTGGTCAGTCCCACCGTTCCTCATCTTCGCTGGCCAGTACCACCTATCAGCCTGGTATAAGGAAGCTGAGATCCCACGCGACTGGGCGATCGCAGTCAGCGATAATGGCTGGACGAATAATGAGCTTGGAGTTGAGTGGCTAAAGCACTTCAACGCTCACACGCAGGCTCGTAGTGTAGGCGCGCGTCGCCTGCTTATTATTGATGGCCATAAGAGCCACCAATCTCTAGAGTTCCAGGAGCTCTGCAAGGAGAACAATATCCATACGCTCTGTATGCCTCCTCACTCATCTCACCTACTCCAGCCACTTGATGTTGGCTGCTTCTCGCCATTGAAGCGCGCGTACAGCCGTGAGGTGGAGAGCCTTATGCGCAACCACATCAACCACATCACCAAGCTAGAGTTTCTGCCAGCGTTCAAGGCAGCATTTGATCAAGCGTTCACGCCAGCCAATATCTGCTCAGCCTTCCGCGGCGCAGGCCTTGTTCCTCTACAACCAGAGGCTGTTCTATCAAAGGTAGATGTACAACTGCGTACACCTACTCCTCCAGCAGCTCTGCCAGAGGCTCCCTGGGTAGCTCAAACGCCGAGCAACGCGCGTGAGCTTGAGGCTCAGTCAAGCCTAATACGTGAGCGCGTGCGCCAGCACAAGAGCTCATCACCAGCTTCAATTATTATGGCGATTGACCAGCTAAAGAAGGGCGCCGAGGTGATGATGCTCTCTGCTGAGCTGATGCGCGATCGGATCTCTAGTCTTGAGAAGGCCAATAGCGCAGCCTCAGCGCGTAGGCGGCGCTCTAAAAGGCGTATACAGAAGCATGGAGTACTCACAAAGGGAGCTGGAGAGGACATACTGGCTCAAAATGAGGCTGACCAGCAGATTGCTCATGAAGAGCGTCAAGGAGGAGCGCGATCAGGCCTCAGCCAGCGGGCTCAAAGGCGCTGCACTAGGTGCAAGGAGACTGGGCACAACTCGCGCACATGCAAGACTGATACTATTAATATAGAGTAATCTACTGTATCAATATCTAGCAATAATATTATCGCGTTGTTGAGATGCATCGCTTTAAAGTTGCAAAAGTTGGTGGGGTGCGCCGCTCGCCCGTGTGCGCCGCTCGCCCATGGATCATGTTATTAGGTTTATGTCCAAATCTATAACCCTCCCTTTTTTCAAGATGATATAATCTTGTTTAAACTAAACCTCCGAATTAGGCATCTGTTGGATGACTGTACTCTGGCTCAATCGTCAAGTGGAAAGTCTCGTGATGTTCAAAAAAATCGTGACCTTCGTCCGCCAGCTGGATGTTCGGCATAATCGTAGCAGATCCTTTCGGTCGTTTTCGGGGATTGTGCAAGCAGACTTGACAGTCTTTAAGTAGAGTTATAACGTCCGCCCGGAGAATGCCGTAGTATGAACTGTTTATATCCTTCCATGTCGCATCCCACCCTGCATGGCCATTGCTATTATGGACTGACTCGACCACATCCGCGATATTGCTTTCCGTTACCACCACCCGACGCTTTTCAGTATCCTTCTTTGCAACTGCAAATAATATACCCGTGCTCCCGTCCCAAGCAAACGTTTTGCGTACGTAATTACGTCGACTAAACCCTTGCTGCGTAGACGGACGCTTATGAGGGTCGGTCAGCCATTCGACTATGTTGTCTTTCTCATCTTGGTTGACGCGACGCTTATTTGGATTTTGCTTCAGGTAGCAGATAAATGCATCTTTAGTGATTTGGGTGAAGGTAGTAGTATAATTGTTCATGTTCCAAACTAAGTTTGCGTTGTCTAATACGTTGATGATAGACATCGAAACAAAACTAGTTTCAGAATTCGCTCGACTGGAGGCGTACGCCTCCAGTCGAGACAAACGAAGACCAAAGATGTGCTGCATGTTATGTTACCAACTTAGCATCATAGCGCCCATACCTTCGCCAAAAATAGTTTTGGTCGCTATGGCCGAGTTTGCAAGTGCAATTATAGGACTAGCTGCCGTGGGGATTCAGACAAGCAAGAGTCTGCATAGCTTGATCGAAACGTACAAGGATGCGCCAACTGAGATTTTAGCCCTGTCAGACGAAGTCACCGCCTTCCGAACGATGCTTTCGCAATTGAAAGAAGTGGATGAATTGGAAGAGTGGACATCGCAAGAGCGTGCCGACGCTAGGAATTGTTTGGACGCAATGTCAAAGAACGGAAAGCACGTTGCTCAAGAGATTGAGAAGTTAATCAGTAGCGTGCAGAAAGAGGGCCTGGAAATAGGCGGAAAGTCTCAAACAAACAAACTTCGGTGGTTACGTATAGCCAGAAAGGCAAAAAAACTGCAAGAATCACTAAGGGCTCAAAAAATCATTCTATGTAACTTAATTACAGTCAGAACGCTGTATGACCCTCAATATCTAGAAGAAGATTCCCTCACTGACCATGCATAGGAAATGCAGCGCGAGGCATGGTCTTCAAGTAACCAGACTCAAGATACAGATAGATACGATGATCAAAAATCAGCTGGCCTTAATGGAAAATCAGAACGAGTTGATGCAAAGACCTACCAACGCGGAGGGACTTCACGACAGCGTATCGATTCTCTTATACGACACGGACCAGCAAACCGTCTCAAGCAAGTGGCCCACTACCGCGTCTCACAAAATCGCGTCCCCACTCTCACTTTCCTTGAAAACATCGCTTTCGTGTCATCGTCCACAACCAGATAATGAAAAAAATGCTCTACCTTTCCCTTTTTCAGAAGTACAACCGACAGCATCGTTGAGCTGTCTCAAAGACTGCAAATGCCAATGCCACTTTCGGTCTATCGTACGCTCTCCAAAGCTCCTTTCGAATTGCTTAGGAAACATGGTCCTTGTTGGAAGGTCTATAGCACTAGTGCTGAAAGGAAATAACGATAACTAGGAATGCATTCTGTTCGGTGATGGTGATTGATTTTCTACGAACATAGCTGCTACGAAGGTATACCTAAGCTCTGCGCAAGGTGGGCCGAAGTCGGGCCGAAGTGTCCAGCAGCCGACGTCTCTACCGATACTCACGATCCGACACTGGAAGTCTTTTCTTTCTGGGTAGCTAGTAACTCTGCTTGTATCGGTAGTGACAGTATGTGTTGATGGTAACTGTGTGTAGCATCAACCATCAAAGCTTGTCGGCCTCTGCACCCATCCCTCTACTCGGACTGTCAGCTTATTGCCGTCAATAAAGCGTTCAAGAGCGCGGTTTGGCGATGCCTTGGTGAAGGCGTCTGCAGGATTGTCTTCACCATTGATCCAGCGGATCTCCGTGATCTCGCGACGCTCATATGATTGGCGCAGCGCCATGATGTCGATCATGAGACGCTTTTCCTTCGTCGTCCCAAGCTTTACTAGGCACTCGTACAAGGAGTACGAGTCTGTACAGATAACCAAGGGAATTGCAGGTAGTCTAAGTCGTTCTGTAACTATCCTCAGCGTGGTTGCAACTGCAATGCCTATGTCAAAGCCGTTGACCATGCCGTAGATCTCTGAGGCCAGTACGCTCCGTGTGATGCGCTTGCATTTTGTAGAGCTGTAGTGGATCACGTTGCCCTGTATTGTGAAGGTGTTGACGTCAATAGACTCGTTGACGAGCATAAGGACAAAGCCTAGCTGTGAGCTGATGGCGCGTCTTGGCGGTATACGTCGTCGCCAGAGATGTGGTGCAAGAACGCCTGATCTGCAAGGCATTGCTCCGTGAAAAACTGCTGTTCAAGGTATGCTTCCGCGACGTCGTCATCGTCGTCATCCTCGCAGTCTTCCTCCTCTCTCCAGCCTCTCTGATTGTACTGGCTAGTGTGCTCGATCCCTTCGTATTCTGCAAGATGTACGGAGAAGTCCTTGGGGGGCTGTGTACCTGTAAAGTATAGCGTAGAGAAGAACTGTGTACGGGCAGCCTTGCGCTCTTCGTCTGTGTGGTTGGTAGGCCAGCATCCTTCCTTCTGGCAAACAAAGCATTTCTTCCTCCAGCGAGGCTTAAATCCTCGTCCGTTGTCGTCGCGCTGCTCGCCTCCTCGATATGCTCCTCTAGATCCGCCTCTGAATCCTCCTCCACCTCGAGATCTACCTCGGATTCTTCCATTGCCGTTGTATCGGCGATCTAAGTAGTATTGGTCCTCTGTGACCATCTGGGTAGTGTGTTGCCGTGCAAGGTGTGTCTCAACTGCAGAACGTAGGTCTGAGAAGAGTCCTTCACAGATTGTGGCTGGTTTGAACAGTGCCATCTCAAGCTCTGGTACTCCTCGGCAGGCATTGATGACAGTGGTACGTAGGGCATCCTCGCCCTCAAAGTTCTTGCCAAGGGCACGCTGGCATAGCTGCAGCTTGTCAAGCAGGATCTGCAGAACCTCGTGTAGTCCCTTGTCGGGGTTCTCTGTGCGGGTGCGAGCGAAGGTTGTAGTCGTCCAGTCTGTGTAGTAGTGCTGGTGATGGACGTCATGGTCGAAGTGGTTTTTGATTGCCATGTACGCATCAGCAAAGCTGTCATCTCTCTCTACAACCTGTATGTAGAATGTCTCTGCACGTCCGGTAAGGATACGGGGAAACACTGCGTGAAACTGCTCTTCTTGGATATCTACCTGCCAGCAGATGCTGAAGAAGATCTTGATCTTATCGTCTAGGAGATCGTACGCATTCCCTGTATACTTGTTGCTATTGTCCCATAGCTTAGAGAACTGCGTGATCGTATTAGCGTCGAGTCGATCGTTGCGGGACCATCGCGGCGGTAGCGTCTTGTACGGGTCGTATGGTAGTTCGGGTGGTCTGTTAGGGACGCGGTTCGTTGGCTGTTGCGGAAATGGCGTGACTTCGCGATATGCAGTCGCTGGCGGCCGTGTCTGTAGTTGCGCACGCCCTTGTTGCGGCTGCGCGGCCTGCTCCCACAGTTGTCGATGCTGAGGCCCTTCCAGCGTACCGCTCATGTGTAGCGGCTGTTGTGGCTCTATTGTTTGGGAACGGCTCTGGACGCCTTGTCTCACTCTATACTGCTCTTGTTGCTCGCCCTGCGACGGTCGTTGTAATTGCGACGGCTGTGGTACTTGCGGTGGCTGTTGTAATTGCGGCGGTTGTTGTAATTGCGGCGGTTGTTGTACTTGCGGTGGTTGTTGTACAGCTGGATAGACTGTGTGCTGAGTGTCCTGTTGGCGTTTATTGCTCTGCTGGCGCTGGTACGCTTCGGACTGTTGGTCGAATTTCATGGCTCGAAACTCTGCTGGTTCCCATTCAAGAGTATTCTCTATACCTAGAATGTTGTAGAGAGAGTCCGCCACCCTGGCGTGATTGTTGCCAGTGTATACTCCCCGGTGTCGTAGCACACTCTTAAGAGACCTTAGTGTACCACGCTCAACCTTGCTAAATAGCTCCTTCGTCCATCCTTCAAAGTCCCATTTGTAGTCAATGAAGAGGTCATCGTCCCAGGCCATTGACACATTGTAGTCGTGGATAGCTTTAGCGACCCACGTTGTTGCGTGTGTCTCATTTGCGTCCGCCGGTGCGGGTACACCCCAGAGAGCTGTATTGATGACCTTGAGTGCAACTGTGTATGGACAGTTTTCCATAAGTTGTTCCGCGGTAAATTTGGCCCATGGTGAGTCTGAGAGGTGTTCTGATTGCTCATTCTGTAGTTGATTCTGAGCTTCAGCAGAGTCTGCAGAGCTTATTTCGCTTTGGTTATCCGCCATCTTGCTAGCGGGTGTTGACGCGTTGTCGGTGTTGTTGTCTCGCTGGTTGGTCGTGCCAGCGCTTGTTGTTGTACGTGATCGGATCGTCCGGAGACGCTCGTACGGTTGAGTTGTATTGCGTTGCTGACGCGCTCTGTGTTCGCGGATTAAGCTAAACCAGCAGCTGTAGAGGGAGGTTAAGAGTGCTTCGTGTTATCTCTGCCTCGCTCTGTTCTTAGCACAGAATCTTCTCCCGGGAGTATAACGTCGTGCGTCAGGGAGTTCGTCGAAGATGCGGTCTGTCTCTTCTACCTTGCTGTCTGTGATCGCCTTAAGCAATCACTGATCAGTGTTGGAAGGTCTATAGCACTAGTGCTGAAAGGAAATAACGATAACTAGGAATGCATTCTGTTCGGTGATGGTGATTGATTTTCTACGAACATAGCTGCTACGAAGGTATACCTAAGCTCTGCGCAAGGTGGGCCGAAGTCGGGCCGAAGTGTCCAGCAGCCGACGTCTCTACCGATACTCACGATCCGACAGTCCTTGGATTTTCTAATTTCCCATGGGCCATTTCACCGTTGTCACAATGCGACGAGCAGACGTGCCGACGCATGCGATCGCCCAAAACTGAAATCAAATACTTCCTACCATCTTGGTTCAGCCATGCTGTAGCGAACTTTCAACTCGACCTCGCCGTTCGGTGTCTTCCGGTGAATATATCCATACGGACTCTCAATACTATTTCGTACGATTCTCCGATATTAGTTTGCACTCAAGAAGGAGATCTTGAAGGCATTATGAAGCTTTTGCAGTCAGGCTCTGCATCTCTCTACGATATGGACCCATATGGGCTTGGACTGTTATATGTAAGCATATGTTCCATTCGCTTCATATGTAACTTACATCCATTAGTACGCATCTTACTATTGCTGGAGAAGTTCAGGGAAAGAAGTCGCAATGAGAACATGCCAATTTCTGCTCGATATAGGCGCCGACATGGATTTGCAAGATGAGAAAGGATGGTACGTGATTTATAAATCATCAAGTAGCTCCACCTGACTTCATACTCAGCACTCCATTGGATACTCTGATAGGCGACACATTGATCTCTTTGTCTATGAGAGAACATGGACCACGTATGCCAAATTCATCTGACTTCGAGCACATAACCAAACTGTTCGGGAGGTCCAGTTTCGATATTGTTGCGGATTACATAAAAGTTTCAAACTTTGCAACCATCCACAAAGTCCTTCTAGGCATTCAAGAAGATTACGAAACCTTGCTCGACTACCTCGAACACCCCAAGTCATCCTCGCCTTCGATAAGTACCATCGATATCCAAGATTCAACAGGCAGATCGGCTCTTGCATGGGCCGTCGAGTATGGATGGGTCGTTGCAACAAAAGCCTTGCTACAACACGGAGCAAATCCTAATCAATTGGTGCAAAGCTCCAACACTGCGTCCCCTCTGTTGCACTTGGCCATAGCAATGCCTGTGTCGTCAAACACAGACAATGGAAGCTTAGGCGTTGTCAAAGAGTTGCTTAAAGCTGGTGCCGATATCAACGCTGTGGACCACGAGAATTGGACACCTCTTCACGTCGCAGCATCATGGAACAACTATGACATCATACAAGAACTAGTCACCTTTGGAGGTGAGATATTAGAATGGGATTTGGTAACAAACGACAACCAGTCCGCCATGGATCTCTCGCTCAACTCAGGGATAAACCACCAGGTTCAAAGCATCCTGAAGAATCGTAATCGCGTTAGTGAACATATCTATGGTAGAGGCCACAGAGATAAGGATGAAGATTTTGAAAGTAAAGAGGAGCAATTTTTTGATTCAGAAGAGACTTGGTGCTGTGTCTAGGGCTAGTCATTCCAGTTCGCCCTTCCTGTATCATACCAACGTACCCAAACGTCCGAATGCCAGACTTGTCAACAATCAAGCGGCTTGCAAGCGCTTGATTGATAGCTTGATAACTAACAATCCCATCAAGTCAAGCTCGCTTATAATTAATCTTTAAGCAATCCAAGCTAAGGAGGGTCAGCTTAATTGTTCAGCTTGATGGGCTTAATTAAGGTGGCGCGTGAGGCTGCTCGTTTTGCAGCAGGAGCGATTTCACGATAGGGTTTTGGTGTTGTAGTCGTCGTAGTGCTAGTACGTAATTAGCCTAACTTCTACAACCTACTATCGCGTCACTTTTTTTGCTTCCGTCGCCCTTATCATATTTCCACCGCCATGCCTCCTACGAAACGCGCCTTTGATGACCTTACTCGCCCGAAAAAACGCGTTAAATCGTTCACCGCCCGCGGCACTGTCAGCCAGCCTATAGCCGTTGATAGTCAGCTATCGCCATCGCCGTCGTGTCTGTCGTCTCGCAGAGCTCTCGTAGAGGCGTCCCAGGCTTCAACTTTTAAGTCGCAACTATGCGAGTCGCGGCCTGAAGACGCTATCGTCGCGCCTACCGAGGGCAGCGAGAGGGTAACAGCAGCCTCGTCAGTAGCAGCCCTAGACAATGAGACCTTGCAAGAGGCTCTGGACGCAAGCCTTATAGGCGACTTTAAGGGAATTAATTAGGGGCGTTTACGCATGTATATAAAGCCGTTCTCATTACAGAAGTCGCGCAAGAGCTAGATCTATTGCTATGGCTACCGCGTTGCGCTGCTAAAGGACCTAAGTAAGCTATACTTCGTGTGCCGTTACTGCTACGAGCATAAGTACACAGATACTAGCGTCGGGATATATAAGACGAAGCTCTTAACGTCGTTAGCGCAGCGACACTTAGAGCTGCCTAAGCGCGGCTATAGCTACAGCAAGTCGGCTGTCGCTGCAAAACCTACCTAGCTATAACGTCTGCTTAAGGACGGCAACAACAGCGTATCGCAGAAGGTCGCTAACGAGCTCGCTAGCTTTAATACCTAGCGCTTCTAGCTAGCAGCTGTTAGCTAGCTTATTAAGAATAATCACCCTCTCTCTAAGTTTGAAACACCAGCTTTTTAACGCCTCCTTAAAGCTGCTAACCTACTAGCAGAACGAGCGCTCTAGACGTCTTATATAAGCGTCTCCCAGTACGTTGCGCGCTTGTATAAGCACCTAAAGCCGCGCGTTATCTTGCAACTGTCGCAGGCGCTCAGCAAAGTACACCTTAGCTTTAATAGATAGACGACAAAGGGCGGTAAGCGTAGCTTTCTAGGCGTCGTTGCGCACTTTGTCGACAGCAGAGGCGACCTACAGGACTTGCCTATAGCGCTGCCCCAGCGGACAGGCGCTCACAGTAGTAAGAGGATAGCTAAGGTTATTATAAAAACGCTGCAGGACTTTAAGATCACGTCGCAGTTAATTAGCTACTTCGTGCTTAATAACGCTACTAACAACGACATTACTATTACAATATTAGCTTAAGAGTACAGTTTTAATACTACCTACCGGCGCCTCCGCTGCGGACCTCACACGCTTAACCTCATCGGCTAGACGATCGTAAGATCCTCGAGCCCGTTAAACCCGTCGTCACGCGGTAGAACTCGTACTACTTATGCTTTGAGCGTGCCGTAAAGCTACAGTTAGCAGTCAACGCCTACGCTACTCACTATCACAGATGTCAATGAGCAAGCTGAGCGAGCTCAGCCAATTGGCTTGCTCAGCCAATTGAGCGGAGGCCAGCAGCTCGCTCGGCTCGCTCGGATTGGCTGAAACAGGGCTGTCAGCTCGCTCGGCTTGATGGGCTCAGTCCCGATTAGGAAAGTTATATAGAAACCTTGGTGTTGAGTTTCTCAGCTAATATCCCACTTATGTACACCGTATTTCGCGTCCATCTCCTCATCGCTGATAGCCTCCTTTACAGGCACCTCACCACTGCCAAATCCAGCTCTTATCCATCGTCGATCGCACTGTATTGCTGCTAGAAGTTGCGGAGAAATGCTGCGCCGACGGGGCTCGAGGAGGTCACCCAGCTCGCTGAATAAGCGCTCACACTCACAGCTTGAGCCTGGGATTGATAGCATGTCGATAGCAAATTTGCTAAGGCTAGGGTGGCGATCGCGGAGTTCTACCCAGTATTTTATAGGGTCGACGCCCTCGCCAGCGATCGGTTCGCTGCGTTTCCAAGCCTCATATTCATCTTCCTCGTTCTCCGTAAGCCCTGCAGGCTCAATAAAGTTGTTGATAAAGTTGCCGCGATTTCTGGAGCATTAACGCGTGTTCTTTTTGCTGGCATTATAGCAACGGCGAGGTAGATAGTAGCTGCAAATAGAGACGCGTTGATGGAGTTTAGATGAGTGTGGTGGGTGATAAGTAGTAAGTGAAGTGTCGCAAAAGGAGAATATTGTTGCCAGGCGGTTAGCCGGAAATTTAGTAGCTTATTTGCTAGAAATATAGCAAAAAAGAGTGTATTTTAGGTTATAACTAGGTTTCGAACTTACGCACTACACCTAAAAATCATCGTGAGATTGCCCCTCCACCAAGTCCTTCAGCCCCAAGTTTCCAACCGCCCCATCTAACCAAGCTAAGCAAGCTGACTGAGCGAGCGCCTATCCCTAAGCTCGCTCGGCTTGCAAGCGCGCATTGCGCGCTCAGCTCATTCGGCTTGGTCAAAACGTCCAAGCCGAGCGAGCTGAGCGAGCCGGCTCGCTCGTTGACAAGTATGCTCACTATATACAGCGGGTGCAAAGGGAGGACATATTTGCGCAAAGTCGCGGCAATAAGCTGCTAGTTGCGCAGCCGTGGATGCGATCAGACTGTCTTACAGGTACTAATTAGGCAGTAATTACAGAGTATATGGATATCTTGAAACCGCTCAAGACTGCTACAAAGCGCCTTAAAGGGCGTGGCAAAAGCGGCAGCTTTAGGGCTATTGCTGAGATAATTCCAATATTCGAATACCTCCTTACCTACTACGAGCAGCGCGTCAACGCGTACGAGGCGGTTAACTACAACGAGCACGATAAGTCGCCTAAGGATTACATTGCAATTAACTTGCGCGCAGCTTAGTAGAAGGCCGATGACTACTACTCTAAGCTAGACAACTCGCCCGCGTACTACGCTGCTACAATACTCTATCCGATGTACAAGTACTACTGCGATAAGGCGTGGGCTAGGAAGTTCGACTGGCTCGAGGCTAGCAACGCTAGCTTTTAGGCGCTCTGGGCGCAGTACAACACCTTACCGCACGCGGTAAGGCTGTTAGCAGTGATCCTAAGCGATATAGACGACGCAATCGATAGTATACTTAATCCTAGTACTGCCAGCAGCCTTACCGCTGACGAGGATAAGTTTAAGAGGTAGAAGCGCAGCGAGCCGGTAGCTAAGAGTAGACTCCGCAACAATCAATTCAATCCGGTCACTCTCCTAGACCCACTTACCTATCTAGGTAGGGCTTAAACTCCTATAGGTAACTACTAGGCTTAAAGCGGTAATCAATCAATCCAATCTGAACCTTCTAGGACCCACTTAATTGATTGTTGCGGACTGTGGCTAAGAGAGGTACAGAACACGCAGATAACCCTATTAAGTACTAGGTGAGCATGCGCGATTGCTACCCTAGCCTTGGTAAGCTTGCGCTTGACGTACTCTCTATCCCAGCGTCAAGCTGTGAGTGTGAGCGCCTGTTTAGTGAGCTGGGCGACCTCTTAGAGCCGCGACGACGACCTCTAGGACCTCAACTTCTAGCGGCAATACAGTGCGTACGACGGTGGCAAAGAGCTGGCCTCGGAGGCGACGACGAGGTAGTAGAGGAGGAGGCAGCAGACGACGACAATATGGAGCTTTTGTGCGGGCTGGCGACTTGGGACGACGAAACTCAACACTAAGGCTAGCGCTAGTACAGGTTATCAAGCCGATCAATCAAGCCTCAATCAAGCCTCAATCAAGCTCACAATCTCAGCTTGTTAGCCCTAACAATCCAAGCTGACGCTCTCAAAAAATGAGCAATCCAATCTGACGCCTCAGCTTCGATTGGCTTGATTGTTGACAACTATGCCGAATGCGCACTAGATACCAGAATCTAATAGAATATTCATCGGTTACAGTGCGCCAACATAGTTCCAGTTATGTTGGAGCCAAAGCCAACAGACTGAAATTCGTATTCTGTCCCTGCTCCCTCTCAATGAACTCCTTGATTACTTTCCGTCCACCATCTGAAAGCACATCTTCGTCTGGCTCCAAGGGACCCCTATCTTTTGGACCTTTTCGATCACCGTCAAGCTCATAGAGATGTCCATTTTCATTGGACTTGACGAAGCAAACATAGTGGAAATCGACTTCGTCTTCGGCATTTGCAGGCACTTGTGAAGACCCTTGTGTAGCAACTTCCCTGTAAGCTGATTCGAGTTCCGTATCATTTTCAAGAACATTTGCTCGATCGAAAGGTCCCAGAGGTTCGCACTTCTCGAGGAGATGGTGCAGGTGTGAGCCTTGAACTAAAGTAGCAGCCTATTTGTCAGTACTTGTTATGTTTTGCAAAGTGATAACAAGGTACGAAATACCAGATTCGCCATATTAAATCTCATAAATCATCTCTTTGCAGTGGTTGTATTTGCTTACCGGCAAAGTCTCTCGCATCTCCATTGCTCACTGCATGCAAAATGCCGTAAAGCCCACAGGCATTGTTTATAGTCTGCTTGTACCAGATGACCTCCTCTTGCAACCCGCTCTTCGCATAATCTTCCATCGTTTCTTCCTCATCCTTCTTGTGTTTCTCGTATGTAGTGGTTGTTGGGAAAACGAGCACTAGAGCAAGAGCCGGTCGAGGGATGAAAGCAAGAAGTTCCGGATCGTCGATCGATAAGACATCGTGAAAACTGAAGGCTTTCGAGAATCCGAGCCGATGTAAGAGCTCGGTAAAAAGCTCAGGATTGGATTCAAGTGGTAGGAAGTGTTTCTTGTAGAACATGTTGGATGTCAAGCTGGAGTCGGATATGTTTTACAAGAACGCAACAAGAAGTTGATTAGGCAGCGAGACACCTCAGCGCCAAGACTACCGGTATCGCAGCCGTGCCCTAGGACGAATGCCAATCAAGACGTGGCAAGCGAGCGGCGCACCCCACCAACTTTATGCACCTCTGCAGCCATATATCTCAACAACGCGATAATTTAATAACGTACCACACGGGCGAGTGAATCTATCTCTACTACTTGCTTACATGTGCGCGCATTGTGCCTAGTCTCGTTGTAGCGTCAACAGCGCTAACTCTAGAGCTAAAGGCAGTCACACAACTCACTAGGTGGCAGGTAGAACGCAGCATCCACGTTGCCGTTGATGATGCCAGCCTGGAAGCCGGTGTTCGCATCGCCAAACGAGACGGTAGAGGCCACGAGAATAAATAGTAGTGTAGTGCGTTGGTTGGCGCTAGTCTCTGTGGTGAACCCATAGATTTTGATTCCTGAATTATTCAAATCAAAAGCCCGGAATCAGAGTCAAATCAGAGTCAGGTGATTTTGGTATTTTTGTATAGTTATACAAAAATAGTGTTCTTACAGCCTCACTATCGCTCCCATAATTACTGTTAATATAGTTATTTGGCAGTCTAAGCGACACCACGGTGTGACTAGTTCTTTAACAACTCCGAGCATCTAATTATATTAGCACTTAACTAAGATCTCTCCTACAAAGTTGTCTTTCTCGCCTTACTAAATGTTCGCTCTAACTCAGCGCTTATTGCGAAGGTAGAGAGCACGTTAATAGCAAGTTTGTTGAGAAAGAATGACTCTCTCAGTCATGGCATGTAAGTGTGTCAATTGCTAACTATACAAAGCTCGGCTAATATAGAGCGGTGTGGGTCATGTGACTTAGCGTCCTCGTGACAGGTGACCGGAATATTCTCAACACTCCCCCATAAGCCGATCAGCTGTACCCACTACTTTGTATAGGTCTTGCAGTCGAAGCTTCTTCTCCCTTTATATGCTTCCACTGAACGCCTTGCATGCACTTTCCAACACTCCCCCAGAAGTGCCTTGTCAACAAGAATGAAACCTCCCTGTCACCCTATAGTGGCCGTTACGTTGCGAGTCCCTCAAGTAAAGTGAGGTATCGGCCGAGTGAAGAGTTGAGGAAAGAAGGTCGAGAAAGAAGGTCGAGAGAGAAGGTCGAGAAAGAAGGTCGAGAAAGAAGGTCGAGAAAGAAGGTCGAGAGAATTTTCGCGTTTGAAAATCAAGGTAGAATCGATATCACCAACATACCGACTCTCCCTCGACTCCTACGTGAGAGTCAGCGCTCCCTCAGCTTGGTACTCCCAGTACTCTAGCTGTGTACGCTCTCCTCTGTCCCAGCGCTCCCCCAGCTTGGTACTCCCAGTACTCTAGCTGTGTACGCTCTCCTCTATCCTAGCGCTCCCCTAGCTTAGTACTCCCAGTACTCTAGCTATGTACGCTCTCCTCTCTTGTTGTCCCCGCTCCGTTCCTCCGCTCCTGCCTCCTTGTCTGTGTCCTATTCAGGGCTCCAGACCCTAACACCCTTATTCTCCCCCATCGTTATATAAGCCTTTGCTTCTTTGCGTTTATTTAACGAAATCCTTTGGAAAGAAGATAAAAATCGATCGAGAAATCGGGTGGGGGTAGGTGGGTAGCGTTCGAGAGAGTAAAAAAACTTCGAGCACCGTCAAACGGTAGGTTTTCGAGTTTAAGGAATTGAAAGTAGCTGTCGAACTGTAGCTACTAGTTTAAAAAGAAGGTCTCGAAAGGTTACTATCGATAGGCAGGCAATTCGAGTTGTTTTCGGAAGAATCGATGGTTACCGTCGGTAGGTAGGTATTCGAATCGTTGTCAAAAGGTTGGTTGAAAAGGGATAGAGCAACCATTGCTCTCTTCGACTCGCGCGTCGGAATTGGGTATAACTCGCCCAAGGTATCTTCGAGACGCTCCCAGCTTCTCCGGACGATAGTCCATTTTTCTTCGGACTTAATACCCTTCGCGGTAGCCAGGGCGACGGCCCAGTGTCTTCAGGACTTAATACCCTTCGCGGCAGCCAGGGCGACGACCCAGTGTCTTAGAATATAGAAGGCGACGACCTCCTGGGTTGTTCTGGCGTAGACACGCATATACCAGCTTGCTGCCCATATCGAAGAAACGACACTCCGGACACTCACAATGCACACGCAAGCGCGTAAGCCGGGCTCATAACCTTTTGAGAAAGAATGACTCTCTCAGTCATGGCATGTAAGTGTGTCAATTGCTAACTATACAAAGCTCGGCTAATATAGAGCGGTGTGGGTCATGTGACTTAGCGTCCTCGTGACAGGTGACCGGAATATTCTCAACAATTTGTACTAATTCTGATACTAGCCTTTGTGCTGCTTTGCGATACTGGCCTTGCGCTGCTTTACGATACTAGTCTTGTGCTGGTGGTAGAAAAAGCCGTGTGTTCTTAGCTTAATATTATAATAAATCAACCGAGTTTAATTCGTACCAGTTTCTATCGCATATGCTGTGACATTCAATGTTCTACAAACGATTTAGAAGATGTAAAAATTCGCTCAATCTATTATACAAGAGAAAAACTTCACTATTTTCTATTTATCTGATTAATATGTCACGAACCACCGCGCCTAGGTTCCCTTAGATCCCCCTAGGTTGGCCCAGGTTGCCCGAATCTCGCCAAGGCGCGCTAAGGAACAGAGATTTCTACGTAAATACGTTCCTCTGCGCTGTAATAGCTCGATAGAGGATTGCTCTTGTTCTACCCTGTGTTAACCTATCCTATTTTTACATAATAAGCCTAGAGGTAGAACACAGGAAAGAAGGAGAGAGGAGAGAAAGGGAAGAAGGGAAGAGGAGAAGAGGAGAGAAGAAGGGAGAGGAAAGAGGGAGAATAAGAATTTTTAGGTTACGTACTAACAACCCTACTCTTAACATACCAAAACTACGGGGCATTCCTCTACTATAGAACAATTCCCTGTCACGCATCTATTCTATTATCCCCACATCCTCTAAGAAAATAAGCGAGGCCAAAACATTTCCGGGCAAAAAGAGACTTTTACAACTTTTGAGTCGGCAAAAAAGGCAAAAAAGAAGTTTCCGACACCGGGAATCGAACCCGGGCCTTGCCGGCACTTGTTACAGTGAGCTGACTCTGCTTGAGAGCGGCAAATCCTAGCCACTAGACCCTGTTGAATTGTTAGAACGGCTGCTGGAGCTGGTGGTGGTGGGTGAAACGTACATATCGGATGTTGTTGATTGATGGAAGAATTACGAAAATCATGGAATATATTCGTAAGTATAGATTTTGAATTTTGAAACTGGGGCAGATGTAGAGTCAAAAGGGTGGGATAGGATGCCGGGGTGAGAGAAAGACTACCTTGTTGCAAGCCAGAGTGGGTAAAGGTGCTGTTTGTGGGTCTATGGGGTATATGCAGTTGTGAGTGTGGATTCGGCTGGAATTGTCTAGTTCTTTTTGGACTTCAGCTTTCAAGCATTACTAAACTAGACTACACTAGACCGTGCTTCATGTCCGCCTTTACTTCTTGTATATATTGGACGGGCTAGGGGTTCTCTTCGTTCGCAAGTTTGTATGGAGAGCCTGAGGCAAGATAACCTGAGTGGATGATTTTAGGTCAACGACAACCTAGAACTGGGTATGTTTGCAACCTAAGGTCAAGATTATATGCGCTTAACCGCGCTATGTGTGTCGCATGCGCGGTTTATACGGAAGTTAGTAATGATCTTTAGACAGTCTATTTCACGAATGTCCAGTGTGCATCGTGCGATGTAGCATGGAACGCCAACTACATGAAAATCTGCAGCAACAGACAGCACCACTCATCGCAATTATTCTTCGAAACGAAGTCCCAGAATACTATCTGACTACCTAGGTATCGTTTAGTTTAGCGCTCGGGATAAGCCATCGTATTGAATGACTCCTGGTAACTATCGCCGCGGTCATGCCCCGCGAAACAAAAAGTTCCCCGCGAACACCAACTTCGACGTGACGCATTTCCCAACCCTGTCCCCACCATCTACCCGTACAAATGGCGCCCAAAAATACGGCTTTCGATTTGCAGAAATGTGCGCGATCTAACATTCTCGCATTGGAACCGTATCGATGCGCGCGCGAGTAGGTGAAGCGCAATGACTCGTATCAAGGTACCAAGCTGACGGCATGTAGTGACTACAAAGACGACGGCACCAACATCCTCCTCGACGCAAACGAGAACGCATACGGCCCGGGACTGGCATTGAGCGGCGAGGGAAAGCTACCTGGCGCGAATGTCAATGGCACCTCCGACTCATCCTCGGCGATTGATGTCGATTTACTTGGCTTGAACCGATACCCAGATCCGTATGCACACCGGGCACTCCATGTCGATTGATTCTAACATTCTTCCAGTCACCAAGAAGAACTCAAGCAACTCCTTTGCAATCTGCGAAACACCCATACTCACACGTCGAAGAACATCACACCCGCCAACCTCTTTGTTGGCGTCGGCTCCGATGAAGCAATCGATGCCCTCATCCGCGCCTTTTGCATCCCCGGCAAAGAGAAGATCCTTACATGTCCACCCACATACGGCATGTACAGCGTCTCGGCGCAAGTCAACGACGTCGCCCTGGCTAAGGTTCCACTACAAACACCGAGTTTCGACCTTGACGTACCCGCAATATTGAAGGCGATGGACGAGGACAAGAGCATAACGTTGGCATATCTGTGTTCGCCGGGAAACCCAACGGGAAAGCTACTCAAGAAGGAGGATGTGCAATGCATACTGGAGCATCAGTGGAATGGAGTTGTAGTCGTGGATGAGGCATATATTGACTTTTCTCCCGATGGAACAAGTCTGGCAGAGTGGGTGGCTGAATGGCCAAATTTGGTGGTCATACAGACACTATCGAAAGCCTTTGGTCTCGCAGGTATACGGTTGGGGGCTGCATTTGCAGACCCTGCGATTGCGCAAATTTTAAACAACATGAAGGCGCCATACAATATCCCGAACCCAACGAGTCAGCTAGCACGTGCAGCTCTGAGCCCGAAACATCTTGCAGTCATGCAGAGAAATAAGAACTTGATCGTCAAGCAGCGGGAAAGACTAATAGAAGAATTGCCCAAGATCCCTGGCATCGGCAATCTCCACGGCGGTGTCGAGTCCAACTTCCTGCTCTACCAGATACTCGATGCGCCGGCCGATCAAGGCGGAAAGCCGTCGAATGAAACAGCGCTTGCAGTGTATGAAGGCTTGGCGGAGGAGAAGGGCGTGGTAGTGAGGTTCAGAGGGAAGGAGCACGGATGTTTGGGTTGCTTGCGGATAACTGTGGGTACAGAGAAGGAGGTGGATCGATTCTTGCAGGAGCTTAAGCAGGTGATAGAAAGTGTGCATCACAGTACAGGCAAGTTGGGAAAGAGCGAGGAGCTCCGGAGAGAGAAGGAAGCCAATGCTGTCATTTGCTGAAGTAGTGGCTGTTAGATAGTTCTGTGGCTTTTCTAGAATCGTCTACGAAGCCCAATCGATAGGAGGTGAAGGTGAGTCTCTACTAGCGTCTCTACCTGATCGTGCCTACCAACCCCAACAAGTACCCCTCCCTCTCTATTCCAGTCCACAACTTCACCTGCCTGATTCTGCACCCAACACTACATCTATTCGTTCTAGAGGAGCTGCGACGCCTGTTGGTTGTTGCCCTATTGCGATAACTCTGCCAATCATGGCTAAAGGCAGCCTGGCCAAGGAGCTGGCGCAAGGCTTCGAAGCTCTTCGGCGCGAGACCAAAGAGCTAAACAAAGTTCTTGTTGTAAGTACCATTGCGTGCACATGGATTTGAGAGAATTCCTGAATCCCGTAGACTGCGCAGAGAACACCACAAACTGCAATGATATCTTCAAGAAGCATGCTAACATCACCAAGAACTCAATTGCCAAGTCTGTCGAGGAAGAACGAAAGAGGCCATTTGTACTTGTTATTATCGATCCAGCAAGGCACCAGGTACGTCATCATTTTACTGCACTTTTGAAAATACTGACAGGCTATCAAAGTTTCGCAAGGAGCTAGTTAATGGAAATTTGACGGGTGGATTGAATGCAGCAAGTCTTCTATTCAAAGCTGTCAGCGACGAGCTCGAAGCCAATCACCACGAGATTTCAAACACTCACTACGACCTAGTGGTACGGCTATTTGTTTGTCTAGCAGATATCGTTGGCGATGCTTCTACTCCAGAGCATAGAAGTGCCCAGTCTATATTCATCAAAGGCTTTACCAAAGCGAGTGTGTTTCATGATTGGGTGATTACCGGAGCTGCAATTTCAGTACCTGGAAAGGTCTGTGGTAAGTATATCACGAGCTTCGTGTTCTTTCGCCACTAACTTGGATACCTTAGAGAACCTCCACCTGTACATGGGCAATGATGAGTGCAAACATGTCTTCTTTGCCGCGTCCGGAGCGCCTAAATATGCTGAGGCCCTGTCACGTTATCGAAAGGCAACTCATAAGTTGACAATCGTGAATGGTCTTAATACTAGTGCTGTTGTTCAGAAGCAGGGAGTGCGCATCGTGTCGTTTCCCCAAGTGTTCGCATCACGACCAGACGCACCCGCTCCAATGTACAGCAAGCCGCAGAGTATCAAAACCGTAAACTCTACCCAGGTTAACACTGCAAATGTAAGTTACTTGTACTACTGCTCAGCGATTTGCTTACCAAGTTATAGGCGCCGGTCATTCACAAGACTGCAGTAGCAGTAACTAATGATTCTGTTGCCATTCACGACTCACGACACAATAATCCGGCCGTACCTTCCTTCCTTCATCTTCCCAAGTATCCCATCGAGGGCCGAGTACCCATAAACCTTGCCAAGCATCGCCTCGACGTCCTGTTCCAGCTCCCGACCCCAGAAGATCTCCAATCTTACAAGGAATGCATGCGGATTCAGGAGCCCTGCATCGAATTTCACCTGCAAGGAAAGTGTAATATTACAGAGTGCAAGCTGTCCCACGGCGTCATTACGTCGGGTACATATTCTATCTTGGCTTGCAAGGCTCTTGGAAAGCCATGCAGCAAGGGAGGTCAGTGCCGTGCCGGGAACTGTTTCAACGCCCATTTCTGTCAGCAGGAACATTGCGCTGAAGCTGGTGGGAGAGTGAGGGGCTGCGGTCTTCCGGACGCTATGCATAACATTGATCCGCGTGTTGCTCAATGGGTACCGATGGATGTGTCAGAGTAAAGTTCCGATTTGACTGAGACTCTTACACCAGGTGATATAAGTGCTGTCTGCTTCTATTGAGACTCCTCCAACAGACGAATAATAACACACTAACAGGATATACCGCACATCTGGAGGAACAAAGTTGGTCACTGAATAAAGTGCACAGTCCGCAACAATCAATTAAGTGGGTCCTAGAAGGTTCAGATTGGATTGATTGATTACCGCTTTAAGCCTAGTAGTTACCTATAGGAGTTTAAGCCCTACCTAGATAGGTAAGTGGGTCTAGGAGAGTGACCGGATTGAATTGATTGTTGCGGAGTCTAATAAAGTGTCACTAAGATAACAGATGCTGGCCTTGGGGATTGGACTTATGAAATTGGTTCTATATTGTCTGCATCAAATGGTTGACATTGGAACTGAGTTGCAGTAGGACTTGTACAGCATAGTCAGAGAGCTATATAACTCTTCACGATGGTAGACTATCACGAGGAAGATAATTGTATGAATCTGATGATTGCTCCACATCTAGCCGATATGTTTACTATCATTATTGAGTTGCACTACTGGCGATGACATGTTTAATGGCTCTTTGTAGCCATAAGATTGAACTGAATTTGCCTCGTGCCTAGAGTGGCTCTCGAACATAACCTTCAGGTACTGCATTCCTTCCAACGCCTCAGTCTGAATGTTTCTTGTGACAGCAAGGGACCTACACAACCATCAATGCCAATTTCCCTAGAGTAAAGTACTGCATACATGGTAGTCGGTTTCATGGACGCCAGAACCCACATCGTAGCAGTCGCCGAGAAAGCTTTTGTCGGTTCTGATGTAAGCTTCGTCCCCATGAGACTTGATGCACAATCTTCTGGCTCCATCGATAAAGCCGATTGCATATTGGCTAGGCTCGTATTTTCCCTACGTAATGTCAGCAATTTACCCATGTTGGAACAGGATTATGATCTCACTATTTCGGTAGGGTCACACGCAATTTGTACTACAACATTTTCACATAGTGTAGGATTGTTCCAGGGGTTGAAATTTAATGATGCACTGTTTGCTAGCCCTGCAAGTAGCAAGAGGGAAGCTAGAAAGGACATTGTATAATTGAAGGGTGTGGAGAAGGTGGGGGACACGTAGTGTGTAGGTTGGAAGGATGACAGAGCGTGGTCTAGAAGATCTACAAGGAATATTCCGCAGCCTTTTAGAGGTAGATGTTCCGTATCTGTAGACCAACATAAGCGGGCGACGGAGAATTGCATTGGCAATATCCGGCACCAACCAGCATTTATGCCAAATTTCGACGTGCAGCATTCTTATCAACGAGCCGTGCGATAGGCACAGCGCCAAATCAGGGGATATTAAACATGCAGGTACTTCTGCCGTCTTCTGGAGCTAGAAACTGCGAACCATTGGAAGACAGTGGAGGCAGTATGCACGGATGCTCGCGTTACTTTACCTTCGGCCATGTTCTTCCTTCCATACACTTAAGCGATCGATCATGAACATGAGAACTGTGCGCAAAGGTGCACCGCGACTAAACTGGCCAACGCGTCGCATCTTGTTAATACTTACTTAGGTATCTGCTCAGGTAAACATCGGAACAGGCTATCTCGTGTAAGGATATGCCGTCCTGGTCTTGGGGAGGGAGACGCCGATGCCTATCACTCAGATAAGCTAATACAAGAGTGATGGTCATGAAGAGTTTTGGGCGATCAGCCGTCGTATTTCCTAACAACGTGAGTGCAATCTTGGAGCTTTGTGGCAGGTTCAGCGATAGCCAACATTTACTAGAAACACAACTTGCCCTCTCTCGGTAACTTAACCCCCCGGTCTAGTGCTTACGTTGCCTTGACCTCTGGTGGAGACGACCTGTGAACGAGCGCAATGACCATGGCCTGATCATGTATTTACTTAGAGATGCTTTTTGCCTTTTGCCGTCATATTCTACATCTATGAGACGTTTTTTTGATATGCGCACTAGCTAGTAGTCGCGATGTAGATCGACTTGGTCGACCCGAAAGTATTCGATGCCGGTTTGAATTGCTGTTGGCTTGCTGAATATCAGACGTCCTTGTTCTTGGTCACTTTGGATGCACCCGTGGAATGCCAAGCATACTGGAAAGCTGAAAACCGTGATAGATGATGAAAAGAAATACGGAGAGATGTGTGGAAAATATTGGCGCGCGTACCATTGAGTTGCACAAATCTGGAACGACAAGTCGACTGGATTCACATGGAGTGACGCTGTGTGATACGGGAAATAAAATTGAGCAAGCCTAGGTAGCGTTCTCTAGATTGATTGATTCCTTTAGTAGTCAAGACCTCTTTTAGCCATATATTGCGAGGTTGGTCTTGTCAACAGATGACACTGCCAAGCATTTGAGCCAAGGCGCCCCCTTGCGCAGCTGCGAACCGCGACCCAAACGACCCTCACCTTCCCATTACTCAACTTCCCGAGTCTTTATACCAACGCCCAGCACGAATAACCTCCCGAGCCTCCGTATGCGTAAATATATGGTCAGCGACGTCTACATGCTCCTGCAGTACCCGGGACTGGCCTGAGGTGGTAAGCAAGATCTTGAAGCTGCCACAACACGACCTTTGGTGCTCAAACAGCATCAGTAGAAAGTCGCTGCACCATTTTTCCCCACCGGAGAACGCTAGATCGTTGAGACCATCGATCACGCATATACAGAGATGAGGTGTTGCTTTCAGGAGCGCCGACAGCATATCCAGAGCTTGAGACCAGCTTTCGTCTGATCCGTTGAGAGCTTCTACTTGCGGCTGGGGTATTTCAAACTCGTCGTTATCGAAATTGAATTGCAAGAGTTGGGTAATTAGGTTGTATACTAGTCCAATGAGGCCAACCTTTTCGACATCCTGGCCTTCTGAGAGAGTTGCATACCGTGCCCGTTCGCAAAAGTGTGAGGTAATCGGTAACTCCGCCGTCCACGCCGCAACAAGCGCATTCAAGGCAGCCGCGCGTGACCCAGAAAGCTCGACCTGAGATACTTCTGGGCTCGAGATCCATAGGGTTGGAGAGTTCGGCTCGTTCCCGATCCACTCTTGCAATCTCCATACTATGTCAACTTCTGGGAGCCAAAAACTCCCTTCGTTCAAGAGTGAATGGCCCTCACTTCCTATGACCCACTTCTTTAACCTTGCGGCAAACTTTCCTGCGACTGCGCGATTGATCAAGTTAGAGACTACGTCCCTTTGAGGTGGAACAGAAACATCACGATGCTCCTCATATTGTACGCGACTGTGGTTCGAGGCTTCGTTGGAAGCACTATCGCACAAGCTTAAAAGTAGCCGTCGTGCGTGCATTCCTGACCAGACTAAGCTAGAAGAATCACGGTTTTGCTGTCGTGAGTGGAGAATTTCATCAAGACGCTGTTGCTCAGGAAGGTTTATCCTAAGATAAGCGAATTGAGCGGTGTTCTGCAGTCCGTGCATCTCATAGATAATGGCGTTAATCTTTTCAGCAGCGCTTTGGTAACGACCTTTCAAGTTCTCGTTGAAACTGCTGAAGAATCGAGAGGTTTTACTCTTCATATACCACTCGATGGCATCACGATAAAAGAGGAAGACTTGCGCGTACAGCTCGGAATACAGTTCACGTGCCGGTTTTGAGCGGACATTGAGCAGTATATAGCTAGCGCGGCCTGCTTTCTCGGTGATCGTGGTCACAGTCTCAGAGATAGTGTCGGAGATCTCGTCGTGATTGACGGCAGCAGTGACGATTAATTTGAGACCACCGCATAACGCGGAAGCATATTCGTTCTGCGATGGGAAGATTTCGAATGCACTCTTGTGAGCGTTTAGTCCGCCGCATATGCTTCGAAATCTTTGAGCAGCCTAGCAAAAGTGAGTATGACACATATACTGAGAGCGCGTTCAATAGGTCATCTTACCCTTCCTTGTTTGGACCTCCACTCGGTTTCCAGGTTGCCGATGTACTCGCTCAAATGGACGAACCCGTCTGCGACTCTGCTTTGCAAAGCTGTATTCGCTGTCGATCTAGCTGGCTTTCGGTTGAACCCAATCTTCGACAACGTTGAGGGCTGCTCTTGCGTCTCGAAAGTTTTGCATGTCTTCACCAGTGCAAGTCTGGCTGACTCGGCAGCATGAAAAGACGCGCCACTAGAGTCTTCAATCAGTCTCGAAGATACGAAATGCGAGGGTTCGCACTGACCTTCCATCGGGATCTTTGTACAATGCTCGCATACGCGCTTCCATCTGTTCCTCTATAAGAGCATCCTGCTCTTGTTGCGCGCTGATGGTGGCGCGTTCTAGAGTCGTTTGCCCTTTCAACTCATCTGTGAACCTCCTCACAAGGGCGGCTCCTTCGAATTTCTCGATGTCCACCCGTGAGGTAGCATTTGCGACAATCATACTGCACGAGACTTTGGGAGGTTTGCGCGTCTGACGACAGGGTGAGGGTTCAAAAGCAACAGTGAGGCTATCCGGCCCCCACGCTAGTCGTTGCGCTGCTGCAGCCTCTCTTTCCGCCCCCAAAGCTGACCACCCTATGCAGTCAGCAAATCCTTTCAGCTGCAATCAAAGACTCTACCCATACACCATTTCACACGATTACCAAGCAGAGATTGTGCGCTAAAACACTTTTTAAGATACTTAGCGCTGTGGACGGTAGAGCGAGTGTTGCATACATGAGCCCACTTGGTATCTAAAAAGTGGAAAATCTGGCCAGAATCATATGAGAGATTGAGAGCATGTATACGAACACGGGTGCCAAATCTGAGGCCATGATCTAGCCTTGGTTTTCGATCCTTATCGCCGATTAGTTATTTCCGGTGTATCAAAACGGGCATGCTGCCGATAATTATGCAAGTCTTAGTGGCTATATTGGCCTGAATACCGATAACTTGTTTTTACTTACTAAGGGATCCACACTAAGCTCCGAGGCACTGTCAGTGACGCACTCTCATATATGGAGGGACTCCATAGGCGGAGCTGTTTAGCCCCAGAGCATTTTCTCTTCAATCGCACGGCTGCCGTCTACTACTCGATAATATCATGGCTATTGCGCAGGAGACGGTCTCTCTAACATCCATGTTGGAAACAGAGACGGAAAAAACCACCCATATTTCTCTCGAAGTCGTCACTTCCGCAGTGAATATCACAGCACTGGAAAATGACGTACAAAAAGCCAATGGTACGGATGCTATTGACACAGGCGCGAAGGAGCCAGATGACAATGACAATGAGCAAGCTGGCTCTGGAGGTAATGCAATGAAAAAAAGCTGGAGGAGTTACCAAGAATGTTCTAATAAGTGCAGAAGATGAGTCCAAAGAGGTTGAACAACTACCGAAGGTGTCAGAAAGGAAGCAGCTGATGGACCGTCTCGGGGTAGCAATAGAGAAAGCTACTGCAGCTGGAATGTCAGCTGGAAACCCAAGCGAACTCACAGCCACAAGCATGACTGTGAACAAGGATTGTGTCGATGACCCTAAACGATGGTACATCATTGCGACTTTCGGTTCCAAAGGCGACTACACCATACCATGGGCGGCTTGTTATAATTGGAATGTATGAAGCTTTCCATGGCTTCCACATGTACTGCATGCCCACGCTAATTGATACAGGCAACGGAAGCCCTACTGAAAGAATGGTTTCGTGGCGACGAAGACGCTGTTAGAGACATATCCAATGGGGATATATTAATCGAAAATTACAGACAGGGCCAGATTCACCCGCAGACATGGAATCAGGTTATAACACACAAAATGGAAATTGTTTTCACACCAAACACGAATCAAGATGAGAACAAGGAACCGGACAAGGAACTGGAACTGGACAAGCGATCGGGTTCGTATCAATATTCTGATTCGAGCGTGGATTCCGATGAAGAATTTGATGCAAAATGTGAGAGTCGAATTCAGTACGTGGTGAACTACTACAAACGAACCATGAATGAGGTTCACACCAGATACGTAGGGGCAAGCAAACGCGACAAGCCTGTCGAATTTGAACTCACTTATGAGGAGAAACGTCCTGCATTGGAAGAGACAAAAGACGTCGAAACAGTTCAAGACATCACCAAAGAGCAAATCAAGGCAGAAGATGGAACAAAAGCCAAACTCGGTCCCCTTGATCGCGTCGTGAGCACCAAGCTGCAGATTTACTCTCCCTTCATACGAAGTATCCTCAAAGCTGTCATCGAATACACAGCTACATCATCAGACGACACCTCATTCGGACTCGTTTCTGGATTGTCTCCTCCGTATAAACTCTTATACTATTACATGGCTGATCTGGCCAACTACAAATCTGAAGATTCGGAGCTTCGTAGGAAACATTCCGACAGGTTTAACGAGCGGTGCGACAAGCATATTGATGTGATCCTGGAGTACCTATCTGCGCAAGAGAGCGTTCCGCTGAATGAGTTCAATGCACGAATAGCCCAAAAAACCCCTGTGGTCACATTCGCGATGTACTGGCTGATTCTCAAGCCTGGCGCAGACGTATATGTACGTGAAGAGGACGGATCGCTAAATGCCTACGTACTTCACTCTGTAACTGGAGGTGTCTCTGAGAAGTACGGCCAAAACCGAAGCAGTCACTACAATCTATCCGTCTGGAACTTGGCATTCGATGGGACAGATATCACGCCCGGACTTCGACATGTTGAAGTGAGCATTTTCGACAATGCGCGCGAGATTACCAGCCTGCCCGTTTTCCCTGTCAGATTCATCGACAATCTCGACAACGGCGCTTTCAAAGCAAAACTCATCAACAGAGGCAAAAAGTATTTTGAGTTTTCTAAGCGACCGTCTTTTCTCCAGTATACGGGACAGGGGTTGAAGAAAGGGGCAAAAAAGGTAATGATCTGCTCTAGTAAGGTTACCATCAACTCACACGTCCTAGTATAAACGCTCGCGTGTTGTCGTGACCCACGCTATGGCCCCTTGGGACAACGAGTTGGCAGGGAATTTCATTGGCACTCATCATACACCCGAGGACGACGCAGACACAATTAGTGAGTCTGTACGTGTGCCAAGATGTGAATGCTACGAGTGTACCGCGAACGAGTCACAAGAAGTATACGCGAAGGGAAAATTCAGCGACTACTACAGGATATCGCCGAGCAATACTGGCGAGCTCTCGGCTCATCAGTATATGATTATGGCATCGCACATGTATGCTTTTTCGTTGAAGGAACGCTCTTATGGTAAGTCTGCAGATCAACCTGTCCGCTCTCTCTTACTAATAAACAGACCTGTTGGCTGTCGACGGGCTTGAAGCACCAGTGATGATCAAAACCGCCATGGACAAACTCGTCATGGACGAGAACAACAAAGAACTTATCAAAGCGATTGCTCGGATCTATACCGACGGCGATCAAACCGATCGGTTCAGCGCGGATTTCATACAAGGCAAAGGAGAAGGCCAGATTTTTCTTCTACATGGTCCTCCTGGGACAGGAAAGACTCTTACAGCCGGTAAGTTCCAAGTGAGCTTTCTGTGACAAGTACTAAGCGCTTTCAGAATCGATAGCAGAGTATACGAAAAGGCCTTTGTTAAGCATCACCGCATCAGACCTTGGCCATGAACCTGACGAACTGGAGCGTAGCCTGCTTCGATACTTCAAAATGGCCAGTGACTGGGATGCGATAGTGTTGTTGGATGAGGCAGACGTATATCTCCGGAAGCGAACAGTCGAAGACCTAAGACACAACAGCATTGTATCTGGTAAGACAAACCTTACTGGTGCATGAACGTCGCTAACCTTGACCGTAGTCTTCCTGCGAGCCCTTGACTATTTCCAAGGCATACTGTTCCTCACCACCAATCGCGTGGGTCAGATTGACGAAGCATTCCTCTCGCGCATTCACTTATCACTCGGATACGAGCCTCTCTCCAATGCAGCGCGCGTCAAGATATGGGACAACCTTTTCGGGAAGCTGGACGAAGACCACAAACGAGGCGGGCGCAGAATCAACTACCATTACCACGCGAAGAGCTATGTCCAAAGTCAGGACGTACAGGCATTGAAGTGGAATGGTCGCGAAATCCGAAATGGTAAGCCACTCATACCTGTCCGGTTGAAAATTGGGCTAACATTTGTATGTGATAGCTTTCCAAACAGCCGTCGCGCTTGCGCTCTTCGAAGTAAAGAAAAACGAGAGCGAAGACCCACCGGAAGTCACGGAAAACCATCTCAAGCAAGTCGTGTCCATGTCGTCGGCCTTCAAAAAGTACATGGCTGCGGTGAATAGCGGAATGGACGACGCGACGTTGGCTCAAAAGCACGGTAACAGAGACGACAGGTATCCAAGCACGCCTGCCAAACAGGTGTCATGATACCAGGACGTGTTTTGAGGGCCACGGAAACCATATAAGCTCCTTCCAATTTCAATCAATTTCAAAGTGTACTCCGCTTCTCCGTATATACGAGGCGTCTTCAAGTAACAATACACGTCTAAAATGTTACGGAGCTGAGCTCTGCAATACTCTTTCTCATCTACTTGATCCAGCACGATTGAGGCTCTCGTGAAGATCATTGATGACGCTCAAACCAAGCCTAGACCTATGTAGACGCATAGGCATGCTTGTAAACAAGCAAATCTTGATCCACACTAAGTTCAGACAGTCAAACATGTGTTCGGCATCACTAAATGTCCCAGAATAACGACCACCATAGCATACGAAAAAGACACGTGCAAAGTTTATGACAATATCAGACCTGACCCTGAAACTCGGTAAATTCGTAGTAAGTGTACGTTGGAAAAAGACGTGTAGGATGCTGGGCTGTAGAAGTTTGCCGTTGGAGATGTTGTAGTTTCAAGCGCTAACTATGCTACAACAGGCATAGATCGCCCACCCAACCTAATTTCCAACCAACAACACAATAGGAAGCACATGGCCAAGGATCGTTGCGGTTAGGGGTCCTCCGCGATCGCAACTTTGCTGCGTCCTTGTACTATTCTAAGTGTTTCACGAATCGTTGAGACAAATTAAACATGCATGCACATTGTCGCGTCAACACTAAGTGCCATCCTAGTAGTCGCATCAATGTCATTGTCGTAACTACGGCCCTATCTTCATGAAAAGCTACCCAGAACGCCTTCATACCAATTTACATTCCCATTCCGCTTAGCCTGCAGAACTGCCTCTTGCACTGGTCACCATGACCCGAGGAAGCCATGATATGATGCCTGTATTCTCCTAATTCCACCCATGAACGCCGTGAATAAATTGGAATATTGCCCACACTAGACGAAGAAATTATCCGGAAGGGTTGAGAGAAGTGCAAATGAGACAACCGCGCCAGTAGCGCCAAGAAGAGGGTAGGCAGCCTTGTTGAGTACTCGGCTAAGAACAGATCGTGGAGTCTTCTTGGGACGTTGGGCGATTGCAGTAGCTGTTTGCGTGGCAGCAGCATCACCAACAAGGACGGTTACTGTGGCATCAGCAGGAGCATGCTCAGGAGCAACTGCAACTTCTTCGGATACTTCTCCACTGGTCGCTACCGGCTCTTCCTCTTCTTCAAGCACATCGGCCTTGCGCTTCAACGAGTTGACTGACTCAGGCGTAGGTGGCTGTTCTTCTACAATTTCCTCGATGGAGACTTTGGTGCGTCGTCCAGGCTGTAGTGGAGGCGTAGTTTCAACGTCTGAAGTAGGCATACGTGGAGGGGATGGAAGTCGGTCAGCTTGAAACATCTGTCCGGGGTAGGCACAGAAGTTTTGCATAGTAGTACGAGACTGCATGAAGTCGGATGGCGGAGGCGCATGGGCAAACAGCGGAGGTCGTTCACCGAATCCGCCCATGTAGCCATCAAAATTATAACCTGTGTAGACATCCTGTTGTCCGAAATTTGGGAACGATTCATTCCACGGCCTGGATGAGGGGCGTGGTGGCAAAGGTGGAGCTACATCGTCGGAAGGCGTGTGGCTGAGTGTGTTCATGCTGGGCGTAGGGTGGAATTCGAAGAGATCGACACGTGGCAGACACTCTTGCGGTTGAGTTGCAGTATCGCTATTGTAGTTGTCAGTACAGGGAGGTGCTCTTCTGATTCAGCTCATACGTACCGATATGGAGCGATAGGGCGTGCCGTGGAAGACCCAGGGCCGCCCGGGGACATCGGAGCGATGAATATGGGGGAGGGGAGGTCTGTCTCTTCCTCATCTTCAGAATCCTGGATCTCTGCCTCTGAGTCGGACTCTGGGTCCGGGTAATCAATGCTACAAGCCTCACTGTCGAAGTCAGAGTCAAGGCCGCTATCAGCTTTGGCTTCACTCGAGGCGTAAGGTACGACAGCGGGAGTCTTTACAGGATCCTCTTGCTTCAAGACCTGATTAATGATCATGGTGACTTCTGCCTGTTCGTCTTCAGATGGGCCTGAGGGTGACGAGTCGATGACGAATGGGTCGGTGATGCTACCACGACGCTCTTCAGAAATGTCTTCTTGGTCGCTTTCGGGATCGGGATCGGGGACGGTGAAACCGGGACAGAATGGACGTGAAAGTTGAGATTCAAAGACGTAAGTGCGGGCTACGAAGAATTCTGTAGTAGTCAGTAGGGATATATATTGATTGTTGGCTAATACGTACCCTCGTTACGGTTCACATCGGTACCAAACTGCAGCTCGTCACCATAAGAAAGCCTTGTAGGCGTGTGCGGTGATAGCCTCCTGCCGTTCAACATGGTGCCATGCATGGAGCCTTGGTCGCTTACGTAGACCTCGGGAACGCCGCTGTCCGAGTTTGCTGAAAGGATGGCGTGCTGGCGAGAGATGACGGGGCTATCGATGTAGGCATTGTGCGGTGCCGCCATCAGCTCTTTCTTGGAAACATTACTAGACGCCCGGCCAATGGGAAAGTTGGTGCTGAGGGGTAGATCAAACTCGCGGGTCGCGTACGTGTCGTACCGCTTTGGGTCCCGGAGGACGATGTGGAAGACTGGCAACATTGTCAGTAAGCCATATACAGACCATGGTGTAGGTGGAGTAGAGGCTCACTTGGCGCCATGAGAGGTAGATGAAAGAGCTGCGGTTGACTACAGCATACGAGAGAAGCGAAGCACGGTGAATGAGCAGGCGGGGCACAGCTGGACGGATACAGCGCCCGATGTATGGTATACGGGCAAGAGCAACCGGTATCCTAACTATGACTATGCCGCTGGAGCAAAGAACGTGTAGAGAGAGATGGAAGTGTGGATCTTGTTATAATGTTTCGTCGCCTTCACCATAGGCGGGGCAGAGACGGAGATGTGAGGCAGTGATGCTCCAGGTCACGGCTGCCTTCTGGGGTACGGTACTATCAGCTTATCGGACTGCATCAAGTTAGGCTGCGACACTGCTGCAGTGCTAGTGGCCCCGCCCACTAGCTCTAGCTGCGGGAGCGTCCCCCACCCAAAATCTGCAGAAGCGCGACTGCGAAACCTTGGAAGGCAAACGGCACCACATAACTGTCTGCTTGAACATGAGTCACGCGGTCACGAGTATGCGAAGACGATACCACGACGACCGATAGCATTCATCTCGCACTGTAATCTAGCACTAACTATTCACTGCGCCGTCGCCATGGAGACTCCGCGCACCACTGCAAAGCAGCAGGTCGTGGACCGCATCCCCGCGCGCATCAAGCATATTCAATTTGGCATCTAGTAGGCACCGCCGTAGTAACTGCGCTGAAGGACGCATAGTAACAATCTGCAGCTCCAACCAAGATATTGTGAACCAGGCCGTCCTGGAAGTATCCGATCGCAATGTCTACGACTTACAGCCCGGCGCGAATAATACCCGCACTCTCACGTCCAACGGGCCCATGGACATTCACATGGGCATATCGAGCAAGCAAGGAAATTGCGGTACCTGTGGAGAAGGTCTTGACAAGTGCAACGGCCACTTTGGTCACATCAAGCTTGCGCTGCCCGCATTTCACGTTGGCTATCTGAAGCACATTATCGAGGTGCTGAACTGCATCTGCAAGGACTGCTCACGCGTGCTGCTGGACGAGGTGGAGCGGCGGAGATATCTGCGAAGTATGCGCCGACCGGACATGGACACGCTGCGCAAGGGTGCCGTCACCAAGAAGATCATCGAGGACTGTCGCAAGAAAAAGACATGCCCGTACTGCAACGCCCTCCAAGGCACCGTCCGCAAAGTGCCTGGTCACCCTCTCAAGATCATCCACAACCGATACGACGCCTTCAACCGATCGACCGCAAAGACCAAGAAGCCTCCGCCGGGCAAGCTCGAGTTCGACCAGTCCTTCGATACCGCCAAATCCGCCAATCCGGATGTGGACAAGCACGTGAAAAAGGCCGTCGACGACATGCATCCGCTGAGGGCGCTCAATCTCTTCAAGAAAATATCGCCCGAGGACTGCGAACTGCTCGCCATGGTACCAGAGGACGCGCGACCGGAGATGCTGATCTGGGAATACATGCCCGTACCGCCTGTGGCTCTGCGGCCGTCAGTCATGCAAGAAGGAGGTGCGACAGAAGACGACGTGACCAACAAGATTGGAGACATCTGCCACATCAGCAGCATCATACGCGCCGGACTCGCCCGCGGCTTTCCTCTCCAGATTCTGATGGAGCAGTGGGACTTTCTGCAGTTGCAGATTGCCATGTACATCAACAGTGATGCCCCAGGTCTCAAACAGCAAGGACTACAAAAGACCATGCGTGGATTTTCACAGCGTCTCAAGGGAAAGGGCGGTCGGTTTCGACAGAACCTTTCCGGAAAGCGTGTTGACTTCTCTGGCCGTACTGTCATCGGTCCAGATCCAAATCTGAGTATCGACGAGGTCGCGGTACCGCAACGGATAGCCAAGAACCTTACGTATCCTGAAAAGGTCACACGGTACAACATAGAGAAGCTGAGGAGGCTTGTGAGGAACGGTGCACAAAAGTACCCTGGTGCCAACTACATTCTCACCGGCCAAGGTCCGAACAAGGACCCGATCAAGATATCACTCATCGCTCTTTCGCGTAACAAAGGCGAACGGCTCGATTTCACTGCGAAGCGACTCAAGATTGGTGACATTGTCGAACGCCACATTGAGGATGGCGACATTGTCCTCTTCAATCGACAGCCGTCCCTGCACAAACTGAGTATTCTAAGTCATCGAGCAAAGATACGCCCATGGCGGACATTCCGACTGAACGAGTGTGTCTGTAATCCATACAACGCTGATTTCGATGGCGATGAGATGAACCTGCACGTTCCACAAACCGAAGAGGCGCGAACCGAAGCTACCGAACTCATGGGTGTGAAATACAACCTCGCTACACCCAAGAACGGGACACCCATCATTGCCGCCATTCAAGATTTCATCACTGCCGCCTATCTACTCAGCAACAAGAACAATTTCTTCGACCGAAAGACCTTCTGTCAAATCGTAAACTACATGTTCAACGGAGAGGGCGCGTTTGACCCAGATACAGGCAAGAAGCACCCCATTGACATACCGCCTCCTGTAATATGGAAGCCCCAGGCACTATGGACTGGAAAGCAGGTCTTCAACCTCCTGATGAGGCCGAACAAGGGGTGTAGGGTATTGATCAACCTCGAGGCTGCGTGCAAGCAATTCAAAGGTACCCCTGGGCAGGCTCCTGATCTCAATGAAAACGATGCCTATCTAGTCATCCGCAACTCCGAAGTCATGTGTGGCGTGATGGACAAAGCTACAGTCGGTGACGGCAAAAAGGATTCCGTCTTCTACGTTATGATGCGAGATTTCGGTCCCGATCACGCTGTCCAGGGAATGAACAGGCTGTCCAAACTGTCCGCGCGATGGCTCACCAACAATGGCTTCTCCCTTGGCATCAGCGATGTCACACCCGGAGACAAGCTGAACATGAAGAAGCAATTGCTCGTGCAAGAAGCGTACGCCCAGTGCGATAAGCTGATTAGTGATTTCAGTAACGGCAAATTACAACCAGATGCCGGTTGCGACGCAGAACAGACAATGGAGAACAGAATCGGTGGTATCTTGTCTGGTGTTCGTCAAGCGGCTGGTGAAATCTGTTTTGAGGAGCTCAGCAGATGGAACTCTCCCTTGCTCATGGCCAAGTGTGGTTCAAAGGGTTCGAACATCAATGTCTCCCAGATGGTTGCTTCCGTCGGCCAACAAATGATTGGCGGTGCCCGTGTCGCAGATGGATTCCAACACCGGACCCTGCCTCACTTTCCCAAGGCCGCCCGCCAGCCTGCATCCAAAGGATTCGTCAGTAATAGTTTCTTTTCTGGTCTGACACCATCCGAGTTCATTTTCCACGCCATGAGTGGTCGTGAAGGTTTGGTCGATACAGCTGTCAAGACCGCCGAGACTGGCTACATGAGTAGAAGGTTGATGAAATCGCTGGAAGATCTCTCCGCGCACTACGACGACACCGTTCGAAACTCATCCGGTACTGTGGTGCAGTTCCAGTACGGAGACGATAATCTTGACCCCGTGGACATGGAGGGCAAAGCAAAGCCTGTGCACTTTGACAGGACATTTTCGCATGCCGTCACATCGACCTGGGACAATGCCGAGTCCAGTCTGACACCGCAAGAGGTACGCGACATCACTGAGTCCAAGTTGAACACCGAGCGAAACAAGTATACGCGTTATAAGCTGGACGGTGTGACACAGCTAGACTATCGTGACCCGAGCGACGATGGCATTGACCAGCATGAGTCCCTGCGTGATTTCCTCGATACAGTGCAAGACTACATTTTCAAAAAAGCCAAGAAGCTCGAGGATACGCTTACCTGGCTCGGAGTGGTCCAGACCAGTGTTGAAGACGGCAAGCAGTCACCAGCGGATGCGGAAAAGTACAGCCTTGCCGACGGTATCGCAAAGATCTCGCGTAGTGCGCTTGATACTTTCATTGCGCTCTGCTGGTCCAAGTACCACCGTTCTCGTGTACAACCCGGCCATGCCGTCGGAGCTATCGGTGCCCAATCTATCGGCGAGCCTGGAACGCAAATGACACTTAAAACTTTCCATTTTGCTGGTGTCGCTGGTATGTCCATTACCCAGGGTGTGCCTCGTATCAAGGAAATCATCAACGCCTCCTCCACCATCTCCACGCCTGTTATCGATTGCGAGCTTGAGAACAAGGTCTCTGAGCGGGTCGCACGAGAGGTCAAAGCGCGTATCGAGAAGACATATCTCCGTGACGTGATTAGATACGTCGAAGATGTATGGTACCCTGAAGGCGCATACGTCGCCATGCGCATTGACTGGGATACCATCCAAAAGCTCTTTATTGACGTAAAGCCTCACGAAATCAAGGCAGCAATCAGCGCACACAAGCCGCTCAAATGGGGCAAAGCCGGTGCTGCAGTTCACGTCGGCCAGAAATACATCCGCGTCGAAGTACCCGACCCTGACGCCACCAAAAAGCGCCCTGCAAAGACGTCACGCAACCATAAGAGTTTTTTCGAGCGCGTCCAGCAAGTCAAAGCCCTCATTCCCGACGTCGTCATCAAAGGCTACCCCGACTGCACCCGCGCTGTTATCAAGAAGGAAACCTCGCCCAACGCACAAGGCCAATACGAATGCAAGCTCCTCGTAGAAGGCTATGGCCTCCGTAACTGTATGACGACGCCGGGCATAGTGCCCTACAAGACCGTCTCCAACAACATCATGGAAGTCAAAACCGTCCTCGGCATTGAAGCCGCCCGCGCTACCATTGTGCGTGAAATCGGATCAGTCATGGGTAACATGGACATTGATCCGCGTCACATGCAGCTTCTTGCCGACGTCATGACGTTCAAGGGTGAAGTTTTTGGTATCACGCGCTTTGGACTGCAGAAGACAAGGGACTCGGTGCTGCAATTGGCCAGTTTCGAGAAGACGCCTGACCATCTGTTTGAGGCTGCTGCGAGGGGAAAGACAGATACCATCGATGGTGTCAGTGAATGCATCATTATGGGACAGAGTGTTAAGCTTGGTACAGGTAGTATGCAGGTTGTGAGGCCTCTGTATCTTGTCGAGGAGGATTTCAAACCTAAGAAGTCATTGTTTGAGGAGGGATGGGATGCGCTATAGAGGAACGTTTGGTTCACTGCTTTTTGATGGAACTGGAGTCGGATACATGCATTATCTGGGCGTAATTCTTTTATAGTTCATGCACTAGCTATTGCTGCATAGCGAGGAGTTTGACGGCTTTTCTATAGCGACGTCCTCGTCAGGGAACGGAAAATAAGAGTGTTTACATCTGTGGCTGATACTGGCTTATTGTGTGCAAGATTCTGCCAGCTTGTTAGGCGGTGACATCATCCTCTCATGGTGCCCAGGTGCCCTCCTCTTTCACTAGCGTGGTGACACAACCTACGCTAGCGCGCGTCCAACAAAAGCTCACTTTTCGCTGCAGCCTCACAAAATCCTCACCACTCTCGCATTCTTTTGCACCAAGTCACGGGCTGAGCTTGCTATCCCTACCTTCTTCGACCGTCAGCGACGAGCCACAGCTAGTTGAACTGCGAGTTCCAGTAAGTGCTCACACATGCCGCTCGAATGTTCTAGTCACTGACCTAGCCTCAGAGCAAGGGCAAAGCAAAGCCACCGAAGCAACAAGTCACCCAAGTTCATGCACATGACACTTGCGGTAGCAGGTAGGTACCCTGCAGCAAAGTACACTGACACGAAACCAGCTTCGTGTCTCTGTCGAACAGATGACCAAACTACCGTAGACGACTCGCCCGCTACAATGCGCGCTGAGTCTGAGGTATCGCTTGACTTGAACTTCAGCCTGCAATATGGCCGCGTATAGCAAAGGTCACGGTTGTTGGTAGGTAGCCAGTCAGAGCGAAAGCCCGCTCGCAAGCCCAACCATCGATCCTCTGTCCTCCCAGAAGCAAGCAAGTTAGGAGGGTGAGCAGCCTGTAACACGGCAGCCTACCCCAAGGTTATCGTAATTGGAAGGGAGCCAGTCAGAGCGAAAGCCCGCTCGTAAACCCAGCCTACTACCCAACGGCCAAGTCCCCCCGTCCGTTGACGGCGGCGGGCATGGAAAGAAGAAGGCATATGCTTTATTCAATTCATATTTGCGGCGATGGGACTCACGTCTGATTCAATCCGAAGTTACTGTGCTTAGGCCAGAGCGGCCTGAGAAGCAAGACGTTCAAAAGTTTTGTGGAGGCTCCCCTGGGACGAGTTCGCATCTTACCGCGATCCGGGGGTCCGGACGGAGACATACTCCGTTCGCCAAAACCAACTCAATTATGATAGATCTCCTGTAGCTTGATAGTTAGGAATGTATCCTTGCATTTCACAGAATTTGATGTCATTCATGATCAGTGTTTCAAGAACGCAGTGTGAGTTGAGTGATTTGTACACATCCGAGAATATAAATGAGTCCGTATATAGCTACCTAAACTCCCCATCCGCGCCTATTCAAGTGTTGAGACCCCCCAAAAAAGATACATAAAACATGAGGTGACAGGTAACTAAGCCAACGCACCCATGGGGTCCCATAGCTCCAACATGCGTGGCTTCTGCTCCAGCACCTTTCTAACCGCCGCGCTAACAACGCTAGGATCAACAACAGCCTGGTAGACAAACTCGTCCATCCAGGCATCACTCATGACAAAGTAGCCCTTGTCACCAGCACGCTCACTCCAAGAGTTCTCCACCCTCCAGCGCACAGGCTTACCCTCAACCACGTGGACAGCGGTCAACACCATAGCATGCGTCATCTGACTCTCGCCCGTCTGCAGACGCTCCGCCTTTGACATGCCAAGCTTGATGTTGAAACCCAGCTCGTACTCGTAAAGATCCGTGTCCATGATACCCTTTGTAGAGTCCGAGTACTTGCCCACATCTGAGCCAAAGAAGACGGGCATGCCGCGCTTGAGCATAGCAATGCAGGCGTCCTTGATGGTCTTCATATCGACGTTTACATAGGTTACTGGACGGCCGTTCCAGACGTTACCCAGGCGCTTCACGCTGAGCAGACGGTTGTACGGGTTTCGCGGGTCGTTGACGAGCGAAAAGAGGGAGTGTACGTCTGTACCGGAGAGAGCTCGCATGGTCTTGTTATCAGAGAGTTCCTTGGCAAAGGCCGTGGGGCGGGTGCGGACGGTGCAGAAGTTTCCGTCTTTGTCGTAGTATTCCCAGGTAAAGGGCTTGGTGGAGCATGGTGGGGGGCCGAGCATGAGGGTTAGGATGAGGTGAATCTCACGAAGCATGCGCTCCTTCTCGCTGGCAATGGCTGATTTGATTACCTCGGGTTGGGCGTTGCTGGATGCGAGGTGGCGTAGGCGGACTGCGTCTTCACGCAGCTTGGTGGTGATTAGACGGTCCATGGTGGAGGAGTTGGCTGCGTTGAAGGAGTCTGGGTATAGCGATTGAGGCACGAGTCCGTACTTCATCACCAGGTTGGCTACCATGTCCCATTGACCACCGTCACCGACGGGACTGGCCATGAGTGCTTGTACTATCCGGCTGTCTATATCCTCGCTCTTGGTATCAAGTATGCTCTCGAGGAAGTAGTTTGCCTTCTCGATCTTATCCCAGTAGAAGAGGTACGATTGCGACAGCTGGAACTCGGAGAGCTTGTACTTCTTCATAATGGCGACACGGAATACATTGGTCGAGGCAAAGAGCCAGCAACGTCCGGAAGCGGCCTGGTTGGTGACTGGCGAGCCCTCGATGGGGATCTTGATGTTGAACTTTTGGGTATCGGAGATGACGGCTGATCGCGAGGATAGAACGGCGTTGGCGGGGTTCGAGCTGAGAGCTGCAAGAGCGAGGCGGTTCTATCATGCGTGAGTTATGCACATGTTGATGGTAGTATTGTTGTACCTTGGGGTCCTCCATGAGCTCCTTCTCCCACTCCGATACTGACGCGGCAGAGACATCTCGTTGATACTTTACACCGGGGGTGTATTTGGGAGCTTCATACATTAGAGCTGAGCATCATTCCTTATCGATATACACATACGAGCTTCTCCACCCACGACGACAAAGCCGTCCTTCTCGTTCATGGGACGATCATCTTTCATGTTGAGCGCCTGGAGCCGCTCCATCAGTTTCTCATTGACGCTGGCTTCAGACGGCCTTGACTGGTTGGCACCCATGATGAATGTAGCGGTAAATAGTTCTAGATCGATTGTACAGCACCTCAAGCGAAGCTATCGTGGTATGGAGTCAGACCAGCTGTCCATCACGGTGTAAGATGTTATCGGCCTTATCGGGGCTACGCGTGCAGGGGGTCTCGTGGACGGTCGTGGCAGCCCCACATAGATCAGATGGCTGTGGAAGGCGCTGCCCGCCTTCCATCTTGAGCGTATCTGTACCGAGCATGACACTTGCACGCATACGATTAGTGTCATCTTGCAACTTTGACAGCTCGGTGCTACCAGCAGAAGAGAACTATTTTTGAGCCACAGTAGTCCTATTTGAACGTCGAATGTCGGAAAACTCTAGCCGTCGCGTTGCTCTGCGGCCAATGCTTCGTCTCAGCCACGGGACCCCGCCGATTGCGCCTGCCTCCGCTACCCAGATGTCATGGGCATGAGACCCAGCTTCCCGTGACAGAAGTCAATCCAGGGCGATGACGATCTCTTCACAACTTGCACGACTGCCACAACGCATATACATCTTTCAGCCTGCGCATCGATGAAGTGGACGCGTTGTTGGCTTCCATTACGCGCGTTCCCTAACGAGGAAATGAAGATGTACAGGGACCGAACGCTCGTTTCACAAGGCACCCAGGCGCTCCCCTGAATTCAGGCCTTATAGCTCGGCCGCAGTTGCGGCGCATTGTGGGACTTTTGCGTTTACAGACATCGCAGCTATCCTCTGCACAGCCTTGTCAATTCTGCTATATTTTCTACTCCCATTACTCATTGTTTCGCAACTTCTACGACATACCTGGTACTTTTACTGAGCAGGCATCTCCATTGTACCCACACACATCATGGCAGCCCCACAACCGATAATATGGAAGAAGCGCATCCTCGTACCCTTCTGGATTCTGCGAATATGCATAATGATCCTGATCATTGCGGCATATGCGTACACGCTGCGAACCCTGAGTGACATCGAGGACGTCGTTCAGCCGGCTGTAGGGTAAGCTAGCAACGATGAAAGCGCATGTGCATAGACTAACGGTTGTCAGATCTGTCATCGTATTCATGCTCTTCATCGTGATCGTACTATTGATCGATGTACTCGCCATACTTCTTTTCCTTCGAGATGCGCTGAAACCGGGAACCTTCCTTACCATGAACTGCTTCCAAACGGGCTTCTGGGGTGGTGTCCTGATTATGGATTTCGTCTCCATCGGTAGCGGCTCAAGCTCAGTAGGCATCGGATTCAGCATCTTTGTCTTGTAAGCTTAGAGTCTTTGCGAATGTATGCAGCACTAACATGTTATAGTATGACGTTTCTTGGTCTCCTCATCTACTCCATCGTCGGGTTCCGTCGTGCGAAAGCGGCTGCTCGGCGAGGCACGTATGCGCCAGCGCTCAACCCTGCAGCCCCAGCACAGAACCCCTATAATTCTCCATACAACAGCGCGCCCGAATATGAGCAAAACACAGCCTACCATTCACAAACACAGCCTCATGTCGACATGCACGATCAATACCTTCCCCCATATCAGGCTGGTGGATCAAGCGACTATTTCCATCAGGAACCTATGAAGCCTGCCCACATCGTGTAAAAAGAAATATAAAAGAATATAGACAAACGGCGTTCCAGGAAATCGGGTACAGCGATAGCATGGTGTTACGGCGTTGGTACCAAACTTACTGCTGGTTCGTTCGATCATAGACCTTATAGGCTAATCAATAAATTATTCGATTTCTCGGGCTTCTCTTCCAATATGTTAAGGAGAAGCGAATCCTGGAGACTGCGCAGATGATACCGAATGAGTGGTAGACATTCTTGAAAACGGTTCCAAAGCGGCGTACAAGCGGCGTACAAGCGGCGTACAAGCGGCGGGAAACTAATCGCATGTGGCAGGTGTCAAATTCGGTGCTTGAAGCGATGTTTGAACACATGCATGCAATCCTTTCTCAATAACAAAATTATCGGATTTGAAACAACCCATGAATGATGCCGCACGATGTCTACACGTGTGAACGGACACTTAAGCGCACCATGCCGTTTCGGATGGCACAAACCGAGGAACTAGCATCGATTGGGGGACGGCTCCTTCACGAGGCTTGGAACGTTTCTCCATCCCGGAGGTCAACGTCCACTCACAGCGTAAAGTCCGACTTTGCGGCCTGTCGCGGCCTTGCTCGTTTAATGCATGGAGCAATAAGATCGCTGCTATCCGCACGTTGCAGCTAGGCTGCGCCTTTGCCATGGCTGTGCTATTGAGTTCAACTCGACTCCACCGCATATTATGCGTCCTTCGAAATCGCATGATCCCTGACTGGGAATGAGTTCTAGGGCAAGGGGAGGTAGGATGGTAGGTGTATAAACATCGAGCGTCTGCTGCTTTCAAACAGGCACGCTCAGGTGTCTATCACAATCTCTTCATTGTTAATCCCGGTGATCTTCTGTCCCACCACGTCCTTCATTCTTTCAATCAAGATGCGTTCATTCATTCTCATCGCTGCTGCGGCCTCCCTCGCCCAAGCAGTACGCATCGTTCAGTCCAACGACGATGGCTGGTCAGATGCCAACATCCGGACTTTCTTCAACGCCTTGGACGCGGCGGGTCATCAAGTGGTCCTCTCGGGACCTGCTGAGAACCAGTCTGGCAAAGGTTAGTCCTATCAAGCTCAAATCACATAGATTCTAACAGTAATAGGCTCATCTGATGCACCACCTACTGTTGTCGATGCAGATGGTTGTGTTCACTCATCGTGTGCACCCGGAAGCCCTGCAATAGGTGCTGATCCAAAGGACCCGCGTCTGAACTATGTCAACTCCTTCCCAGTCACTTCCATCAAACAAGGCATCGAAGTCACTGCGCCTGCGCTATGGAATGGCTCAAAGCCTGAACTCGCTGTCACTGGACCGAACGTGGGAACCAACATCGCCGTCCAGACACCCTTCTCCGGAACCATTGGCGCTGCTACTTTTGCAGCAAAGACAGCGAAGATACCAGCTATCGCCTTTTCTGGTCGTAGTGGAGACCCAACTGGATTCGATCAGCCCACACCTTTCCACAGCAAGATCTACGCTGATCTCGCCCTCAACGTCACCTCAACCATCATCAGCAGTGGAGCGCCCTACCTCCCCGAAAACACCTGGCTCAACGTCAACTTCCCCGCTACGTCTGAGACAGAATGCAGCGATCCCAGCAAGTTCAAGTACATCTTCACTCGCATCAACATTGGTCTGCTCAGTGCCAAGGACGCAGAATGGTGTGGTAGCACGCGTCTGCCATGGGAGGCGGATGTCATTCTGCTCAAGGGCGGTAACTGCTATGTTACCATTAGCCCCGGAGATGCGAACGACAAGACAACTGTGAACGATGCGGCTGTTCAGATGCAGATCATCAACAAGCTCAAGCCGATTTTGTCGTGCTTGCCGTAGGAATCGTGAGAGTGTTCACCGGAACAGTAACTTTTCAATGTTAATGATAAACAATACCATTTCTGCTTTTACTATTGGCACCATTAGTGATAGTAATCCCTTGGGTCCGACATGAATCACATGAAAGCACGTGAGCTGATGAGTCATTCACAGCCCAAGGTAAGTCAAGATGAAGGGTTCCCCCATCAATATCAACTCACTTAACAATCCAAATTGTATGATCTGTCAACTAATTCGACCACTCCCACGAAGATTACGCGGGGTTCAATCAGCACTCCAGCTCAGATTCGCGCTCAAGCCAACCCACTCAACAAACATTCCATCAACACAACCCTCCCATCCATCACCACCCATCATGAATCCATCTCCCGCCCCTCAAGCACCCACCACCCAATCCCTCGCCTCCCGCATGAAATCCTACGAATCCACCTTCGACCACACACTCCCCCTCACCAGCCCCATCATCCTCCGCCTCGACGGCCACGGTTTCTCGCGCTTCACCGCTCACTTCGCACGCCCCTTCGACCAACGCATCCACCTAGCCATGACACGCACCAGCAGCGATCTCCTCAGCTACTTCCCGTCCGCCACACTCGCCTACACACAATCCGACGAAATCACGCTCGTCTTCCCCTCCGGCGTTCAAACCTTCAACTCGCGCGTTCAGAAACTGTCTTCCATTGCTGCAAGCTACTGTTCCGTACGCTTTAACAAGCACCTAAGTGCCGCTTTGCGCGAACTAACTGAGCCGCGTGTTAGTGGGGATGTGGAGGAGTGGTTGGGAACGGCGCATTTCGATGCGCGGTTTTTTCCGGTCCCGAATGTCGAGGAGGCGCTGAATAATTTGATTTGGAGGTGTCGGAATGATGCCGTGAGGAATGCGGTTAGTGGGTTTGCGAGAACCATGTATACGACGGCGGAGATGCATGGAAAAAAGACTAATGAGCTGATTGAGATGATGTTGCAGGATAAGGGAGTTAGGTTTGAGGAGGCGGTGCCTAAATGGGCGATTGAGGGATGCTTGATCAAGAGGGAGCAGTATGAGCATGAGGGCTTGAATATGAAGACTGGGGAGAAAGAGAAGACGTTTAGGACGAGGACGCGAGTGGAAGAGAGGGGCGTAAGAGAGTTTAATGATGAAGGGTTAAGGCTGATCACAGACAAATATTGGTAGTTAGATGCACGTTCTTCCCAACGTAGAACGTTGATGGCAGTCTATACGCATCAAAACCGTGCCATTTGAAAATATAGAGAATTGAAGTTACAAAATCCTACACAAATAGCTAATATCATGTGAATATATTGGCAACAAAAAAAAGGCAGAGCAGCGAGTGGATCTGTCATGACCTAGCTTCTCTGCTAGAGCAAAAAAAGAAGATGGGGCCTGACCGGGATTCGACTGTACGCTTATTAGAATTCATGTACAAGATATCGAATCTTAATGGGTGAACTTACACCCGGGGCCTCCTGCAGAATAGGCTTGTCTCAACTGGTGAAGGTCAAGAACTCCCCTAATAAACTGTTAGGAATTGTTCGGTTGGCTAGTTGGATAGTGGTGATGTCTTACAAAGCAGGAATCATACCACTAGACCATCAGGCCATAATGACTGGGTCATTGATTGATGGTAATTTGTGTGTTTTGCTGGATTATTAAGGCGAGGAAAATGGCGTGGAGAATTGCTTGAAGCGAGGGCGGCGCCGTGGGCTCTTGGGTCGTTACGTATGAGGTTTGGATGAGGGGTAAGTGGGCGGGCGGTGTCTAAGCGAAGTATGTAGTCCGTATTCCCCCACCTGGCGCCCTTTGACGCGAGATCTTGGCGACGGAGAGCTCTCCGGGCGTTGTGGAAGTATATCATCTAAATTTGAGCCCTTATCCATCGTCTGAGTTGTACTGTATACGCATGCATGCCTACTCTTGCAGATTTCAACAAGTAAATTAGGGGGATGATAATCCCACACCTACTCAATGACTTTTGTGCTAATCACTGCAAGTTTGAAACCCTTCTCAATCAACATCCTAGTATTAGAAGTCCTCGCACAAAGAGTTTGGAAATATTAATAAATTCATTAAACCTCCCAACTCCGCGCTTAATATCAATGACTGTGAAAAATCACACACGTTTCCATCATCATTAACTCGAACAACAATCACCCAACCATGCTAAGTCAGATCCAGCTCTTCAACAGCGCTTTCTCGCCATTTGCGTCTATCTTTGCCCTTCGGTACAAGTCCTACTGCGCCTTCACCTGTCTTCTCAGGGCTGTCTACATCCACGAAATCCCACGCACCAGGTACGCTCTTTCGCAAAATGATTGCGCGTTTCTTCCTCTCCCTTGCCTTCCATGCTGCTGGCGGCGAGGCTCGGGATGGCTGCTGGGGTGAAGTGGACTTCTGACTTCGTAATGACGGCGAGGAATGTGTCTGCGGTGGAGATATCAGCGCTGTGACTGACGGTTGCTGCTGGGGCTCTGATACACGCTCAAATACAGGCGATGATAGCTCTGTCAAGTCAATTGTATCAACTGTTGGAGATGTCTGTTTCGGTTTCGCTGGCGCCAAACGCGGAGATGTGAGATCCAGAGTAGCAAGTTCAGCAGGTGCAGATGTGATTTTGCTAAGACGAGGCGAGGTGCGGCGAGGTCCAAAGATATCTTTTACGCTCTTCTTCTTAGCCGAGCCGGAGGATCTTGATTGCGTGGACGTGTTCGAAGTATTTGGTGATAAGGATGTTAATGGTGGGCGTGCCACAGATGATGCAACAATCCTTAGAACAGCGCTGTCATCCTGATGGATTCGCGCCGCACCCGAGTCTTCCGGCGAGAGGGTCAAATCTAGGGAGTCAACTTCTTCCGATACGGAGCGAAGTCGCGGTGGCGGAGGAGCCGGCTGTGAATCGAGAGCTGGGGTTGCGCGTCGTGGCTTGGTTGGCGTGACTGATGCTCGCCATGCATCTAATGTAGACTGCATCGACTTCACAGATGGTATATGTACGGATTTATCGCGAGATGCTCTTGTGGTCGCTGCATCTTTCGTTCGCCGTGTCTTCGCTTTCTTGGCGGGCAGCTGTGAAGGGGAGGGGCGGGCAGGCGAGTCAACAAGATCCAGTGTCTCTATCGAGGTAGGAAGAGGAGGCGTCGAGGGTCGATCAAGTATGGTACTGGTATCTGCAGGAAGTGTCTTTGAGCGCTGGATTGGGGCACGCCTTCTCCGCTTAGTTACACTTGGAGGCAGTTCGATCGGCACTGGAGACAGGGACTTCTGGCGTTGTGGTTGTGGTGGTGCCTGAGCCCGAGTTCTCACTGGGGATGGAGACGACAAATCTAACACGTCTTCTTGTGGTTGTGTCGTCGGCCGAGGCGGTGTTAGGGGAGGATCGGAAATCTTTTCTTGCGACTGCGCAAGAGCTCGCGCCAACCTCAACCCAGGTTTGGTAACCTTTGCAAACGTCTCAATACGAGCCTGGGGCTGGTTCTTGGTCGTCTTCCTTTTGGCCGCAGGCTTGGTCTTCGGTGCAGTATCAACAGATTCCTGGGGTGTTGCTGCACGCTTGGGTTTTAACTTCCTTTGTCGCTCTGCTTCCCAGTCTTGAACCTTTAGTGGAACGCCAATCTTCACGAATGTCTCCATCACCCATATTCGTGCATCCTTCGTAGGATCAAATTTGGTGGGTCCACGTTTCTTTGGTCCATCGTCGTCCATGTCATCATCGAGATCTGCATCTCCTCCAGCTTGCTGTGAGCTGGGTGGCGGTATCTCGATATCATCATCCGGGTCTTCTTTACTCAAATCGATCTTAACGAGTTCAATGGGTGTGAAGCTAACTCGTAGCTCTGTACAGTTATCGGTAACAGGATGCTGACGTTTCCCATGAAGGCCTTTGACCACAAGTGACTCGTCTTCCTGTATTGCCTGGACATTTGTGGTAGGTAATCGCTCACGCTGTTCCGCGCACATTCGTAGCTGACGAACAACCATGGACGGCGCAAGACTGCGAATGAAGTGCTTCGCGCCCTCTAACTTGACCCAATCGAATGCATCATGCGTAAACTCGCGTAGGCCTGAGAAGTCCAGCTCCTTGTCCCAATTGATGGACCGACGCAACTTGTCCAACCCAGCCTGGTTCGAGATTGCCGGATGTGTGTAGTATCCAAGAATATCCAACCGTGGGAAGTCGTCTGGTATCTTGAGAGCTCCGTGTTTGCGTTTGAATATCTTGCTTTCGTTCGTCTTGAGCTCGTGCTGCAGCCTTGCCTTCCATTCAGACATGGCTCGGGCGTCGTTCTTGGGAATCTTGCACAGCTCGGCGCCAAATCCCGCCTTTGCAGCCTCGCATGCTGTCTTTGGTCCACAGCCTGGTATACCTTCTGGCACATAATCTCCACCGCTCATCATCGCGACCAAGATCATCCCCTCGCGGTCAAGCCCCGATTGTCCGTTCTTTGTCTCAACCGCATCGTAGACGTTCACGTGGGTGGGCGTGTTTCCAGACTTCTCTGGAGACCAGTTGCGTATCGTGATACCACTTCCAAACATGAGGGTGTCAACATCCTCACTCAGCACTGCATCAACGATCCCTTCTCTTTGTAACAATGCGCATTCTGCCTCTGCCTCGCCCGGCGCAAGATGTATAGGGTAGCCGAACTGTTTCAGAAGCTGCTTTGCGAGGAATTCGGGGATAGAGGCGACATTGGGCCCGGTACGTTTATTTCGCTTGAACGGGGGCTTGTTTGGTCCGTCGAAAACAAAAATGGGGTGAATAGCGAGGGCGATCAATCGAAGAAGACGGTAGTAGAAAGTTCGTAAGGCCGGGTTAGTTCCACCTGGCACTGTTAGCCCTACTACCATATATGCTCAAACGTAAGCGCCTACCTTTGCTGGCCTGTATCTGAAAGAGCCATATGGATGTATCAATAGCGATGCGCAGTGGTCGGCCAGTCTCTTCGAACTTTTCAACGGCGAGTTTGGACAGTGCTACGCGTCTGCCTGGGCCGATCTCTTTGTAAATACTGCGCAAATTAGTATAAGCTCCCCCAAGGTGCAATACGGGACCTACCCATGAATACCCATCGCAAACCCGTACCCTGCGTTGGATCGCCTGCAGGCTTCCTTTGTTGGTGATGTTGCGCGCGGCTACTACCGATTAGATAGTTGCTAGGACGACGGCGCGCATCCCCGTCCCACACGTCACGGATGCACATCTGTTTCCCCACCATGATCATTACTATCGCACTAACAACTTAGACATATCCTCAAACCAGTCCCAAACCATGGCGTCCCGTGGTCGAAGCGCTGTCGCAGGTGAAGGCCCTCATAGCGATCGCAGCTACGACTCAAGCCCTGATCCCTTGGCGCTCTCCTTCAATGACAACACACCGGCATCACGGCGCAAATCCGTCGCAAGGAACCCGATGACGGCCAGCTCGCCGACGAAGCAGCATCGTAGATTGGAAGCGTCCGAAATGATGTTTTCGTCGCCATCCAAGTCGATGATTATGAGTACGCCTAGAGGGCCCGGCGCAAGTCCCTGGCGCATCAAGGTCACCGTCCAAGCCGAACCAGGAACAGACGAAGAGAACGCCGAGTCTCCATCCGTGAAGCGCGTGACGAGAACTAAAACAACAACGGTGCCTTTGAAGGACCACGACATGTCTTCGCCCGTCAAACGCCCTCGCGGCCGGCCGAGGAAGTCGGACATCGCCGCCTCCCCGAATCCCAAGCCCAAGCCTAAGCGAAAAGGTACACCAGTGAAGAGAACGGCACGATCAGGATCCCGAGACATCAACATGAGAGCTGGAGAGTCAAGCGCCGCCGATGTGGACACCGACGTACCCCCTAAGAGGAGGAGAGGCCGTCCCAGGAAGAGCGTGCAGCCAGCGACTGAGAACGACGACATCATTGTAGATGGGCCAATCCGAGAGATAACCCCTGCTCCCTACTCAAGTTCAGTGACAGGAGGATCGAAGAAGAGTGCACGCTTTGCAGACTCCTCTGACCCCGCACAACGAACATCGTCGATTGACCCTCCAGACACACCTGTTCGAACAGCATCAGGAAGGAATTTGCGAACTCGTAAAGGCACCCCACATGCAAACAAGGTCGTCCTAATTGAATCGGAAGAGGAGAAAGATAGCGACGTGCTCACGCCAACTAGTGGAGAAGACGACGCCTTTAGAACCAGCCAAGATCGTTACGTCTCCGAGGACCGTGAGGGTAGCCTTCTCACGCCAAGCGAGACCTCTGCACACTCAAGTGACGGAGGTGGTAATGTAGATGGTGATTACGACGACGACCTTCCAGATGCCCAAGAATACGAAGATGAGCCCGGAGAACAGGATGCCACTACCAAATACGCTTTCGACGAAGGCACAACGCGAAAGCTGGATGATACGACTGTTCTCGACAGCATGACCTTTAGCATGATATCGGTCGATTCATTGCGCAGCAATGGTCCACGGAGCAGCCCGTTGCAACCTGAAGAAGCACAAACTACCAGAGCTGCAGCCAGTGGATCAAAGCTCAGGAATGAATTCTTGCGGCCATCTTCGTCTGAGCCTCCGAGTCGCGAAGAGCAGGCATTGCCACCATCACAGAGCCTCACTGTTGAAGCGGCTGCCAGCTCAGGACGCCCCAAAACATCACGTCATGTGACCCCAGCCATGGACGCCGAGATTCCATCAGCCCCACCCGATGCTCCTCGGTCCTCTGCCTCAAAGTCGCAGAGTCCAGGGCTCGGTCGTGCAGTGACTGCTGGTGTGGCTTTGCAAGGCCTGTTAGACCCTGACCGACTTACACCAGAGACTTCACAGAAAGCGCTTGATGAGAACCGCGACCAATTAGACGATCTTTTCCGAGGTTTCAGCGACAGTACACGAAAGGAGCTTCAGGCAGGTCTGCGTCTTGGGGAGCAGCTTGCAGAGGGTCAGACGAAGGAGGCCAGTCCACCTCTTCCCTCGAGTCCGATTAGAGGACAACCCAAGACCGCCCCCAAACAAGGTGTGTTCCGAACGCGACGAAAGTACAGTCAATCGCGTCTTCTTACACCAGAAGATCAGGATCATGTCGTCACAGCGTCGGAGCCCGCAGCCGCAGCCGACGTCCAGTACCCAACCTTGAATGCCGATGAGATGGACAGTGCACCCCTGAGTCCTGCGCGAAGCGAAAACGAGATGAGCTGGCGAGTCGACACTCCTTCGCGTGCAGCTATAAGCGCGGCACAAGCAAACACCAACGAAGACGAGGCGATAGAACCCAGAGTTCTGCCACGGCAAGATGACTTTGGTGATATCTGGCAAGAGGAGGGCTAGCCGCTCGACGAATCTGGAAGGGGAGGCGCCAGCAGATGAGGGCTCCTCCAACACGCGACCTCTTCATCGAGGACATTCCTGCCAGGCCAGTTCGTGGCAAGCTTTCTAGGACATGGCGCCGCAAGAATGCAAACGACATCCACAATGAAGCAGAGCCACCGAAAGAGTCTACCTCTACACACAAGGATCTCACAGTCTCAAATCAGATGGACGGCAATGAAGATGAAGCCATTCGTGATGAATCCCCATTATCCGATGGCCGAGAGATGCGCGATGGAGAGGAGAATGTTGGAGGTGAAGAAAGTGATGACACCGGCATGTTCTTCCAATCAAACATGCCTAACGTCTTCAACCCAAAGCGTCCGTCTCGCTTTCAAAACCGAAGACAAAGAAAACAAGAGACTGAGAAGGTCAGCTTGTCTGCTCTACTAGATCAGGGCGAAAGTTTTGCAGAGTCGTCCCCGCCCATGGCAACAAAGAAAGTATCAGGGATAACAAAGACAAACCCATTCATCGACACACCGCCTCGCTTCCAAGCTCTTATGAGCTCCCCAAAGAAGAGCAGTCCTTTGAGGCGGGAGCTTCATAGTGCCGACATTTCCACTAGCTCAGTGCAGCAGTTTGAGGAGTCCACGCTACCACTTGCGCAAAGTTCGCCGTTTCGCACCATTGTTGACGGAGACAGTAAGATTTCTGCAGCATCCGATCAGCAACAGTTTCGTCGGGAGATGGAAGGTAACACTGCGTCTACTATCGTACGAGTGCGCGAAGAAGCAAACGAGTACCTTGACGCGTATGAACCACAAGAACGCAGCCTAAACGAAATTACAGAGGTTACCGAACCGAGCCGGACGCACCAAGAGCGGAGTCTTCTACCTTCCAGTCCGCCAAAAATGCAGCGACGATTTGAGCAGAACTTGCTTTCTGCACGCAAGCCATCGTCTCTTTCCAAAGTTACTCCCCAATCGGACAAGGCGTCGACCCCCAAAACACAACCATCCTCATCCCGTTCCAGCAGACCCCAGAAGGTCGATACCACCCCAGAGAGTTCATCGAGCGCATCGAGCGAGGACTCAATACCTCCTCAAGAGCAGTCTGGCCTCCTGTCGCGCCTCAAATCCGCCATCCTACCCGCCCCACCAGCACCGCACCCAATCCTCTCCCGACTGACACCTCTTCCAAAGATCGAGCCCTGGACAAAAACCCACTACAAAGCGCTCGATAAGCTTTACAACACACACCTCAAACACCCAGCTCTCTTCTGCCCCTCCATCGTTCCCCCAACACCCCTCTCAAACACAAACGGCTACCTGCTTCGCAAGTTCGTCTCCGCCAATGGCAACATGCCTTTGGTCGGCGCCAAATTCCACGCTTGGGGGTACAGCATGGTCATGACCGAGGAACTCATCGTCCTGTGCAGTGTGTTCATGCAGCTCATGAGCCTGAGGAATATCGACGAGTACGAAGAGGTAGCTGGGAAGAGGATCCAGATGGGTGATTGCGCGCCTGGTAGGACGGGTGATTTGATCACCGGCGCTGAGGTGCTGAAGCGTCTTGCTACTGTTGTCATGGGCGAGGATGTGCGGAGAGATGAGAGCGAAGGGAAGGCGATTGATCGCACTCTTGGCTTGGAAGTTGAATGGCCAAGGCAGGGTCGATAAGTTTGAGTTGTTTTGGCTTGTATCTCAGGCGTTTAGGATTGTGTGTATAGTGTGGGTTGTAATTATTTTGTATAATCTCGGTCGGTCACAGGCTTGGAGTTTGTAGGATACCATGATACCTCAATGTCGTAATTTGTACTATACATCTTGACTTTACCTTTACTTTGCTATCCTGTCTATGCATCTATTATTCTACCCACGCTTCCTACATTCGCAAAAAAAAGGATAGCAGGACCTCTACATGTCCTTCCTCCATACCCGCAAAAAAGGCAAAAAAAGAAAGTAATAGCGGGCTCAACCGGGATTTGACTAACACATGTTAGAGGTTGATATACTGGAGATTCGAACGCTGGGACTTACACCCGGGACCTCCTGCACTCGTGTTTTCTGAATAACCCCTAATAATTTGTTAGAATTGATTGCTGTCTTGGTATGGAACCAATGTTGCAAACTTACAAAGCAGGAATCATACGACTAGACCATTGAGCCGGTTATATTGTTTGATGACTAATCTTCGGGTTAGAAATAATATGTAGATGGGGGCAAAGTGGGTAGAAGCACTTGTATCTGAGGTGCTGATGTTGGATATACGGTGTGCGCTGGAAGCGAGACGCGTGCAGGTGGAGAGGTGTGGAGAATGGCGGGGAGACGTGCGGCGGTGACTCAACAGTTTTGAGGGTAAGATCGGGATAGCTCGTATTTATCATTTGGATCACGAGCATTGGTATGTTATGAAGACAGCTATCATATTGCGATTCAATGATTTCTGAATTATTCATTCGTGTATCAAGGTCTATGAGTGTACTTCCGCTTCTCCAAAGCCTGACCCGTGAGCTCAGCGACGGCGGCTATGCGATTGCACGCTGAGCCTCACTTGAAGCTGGTTACTCGCTTGCTATTCGCTTTTGATGACGGAACCAAGGAAAAATGCACGTAGGGGCGTGGGTCATAGCCATGCCCACCTGTTCTTCATTGCATCACTTCATCCTCCCCTTTTCCCTCTTCTCCTGCAAATACCTCCACGTCTTTGTCCACCCAGCGGTGAAAGGTCCCTTCAACGTTTGTACAGTTGAAGGCCATTTCACCGTTTGATTGATCGCTTTCGTGACCATTTGCGGGATATCATCTTCCTTTGCTATCCGCCTATCGAAGTCACTAGTAATCTGCTTCTTCATTATACCGCTAGCGGTCTCGTCCTTGTTCGCCTCCAGCATTTCTTGGTAGTCTCGACCTGAGATGCCAAACTTGCCGCGGTATTGAAAGTACACTTTCTCGCGGAACTTCTTGGGCAATCGCCTGACCATGTTGGCGCGTCGCTCGGGATCCGTATCTTGTGACATCTTCTGATTTAGACCCTGATCCTCCATCCAGCCGGGGCTATGGAGCGCAGAGTCATCGGCGTATCGTATGTTGGGTAGGGACACTATGAGATCGTGGTATAGGTATCGAAAGTTCTTTATTTGATGTGTAACGATGTTATCGATCTTCCTAGGATTCTCGCTGCCATACTGCATGCGCGGATCACCCTGGTAACTCAAGCCTGTAATTGTCGAGTACAGTTCCTTCTCGGTAAAGGTTTCGGGGAGTAATAGGAGCGCGCATCGTACGGCAGATAGGAGATTACGTTGGTTCGCGACGCGGAGGTTGGGCTCTTCGTGGAGGATCTTGACAGGCTTGTGCAAGCGGCCGGCGAAATATAGGGTATCCCATTCGGTGAGATCGCGTAGTAGGGTTTCGTAGTTGACAACAGCATACTTGATCAATGTTCCGTTCACTACGACATACGGATTGAAGTAAGCGCCTGCGCCATACTTATCCTGCACATGGCTAACGACCCCTGAGCCGAGCGACCCAAGGAACGAATAGTGGTCTCTGTGATTGCGCAAATTAAGCGAGTGGAAGTGTTGAGAGAAGCGGGGGGTCAGGATGAAGTCAATCATCTTGCCCCCGCCCTTTTGCCATTTCAGTATTGCCTCGGGAGGGTTCGGATGAGGTGATTGCGTCGTGCGCGAAGCTGTCGCAGCCGATTGAGGGAAGACACCAGAGCCATAGGCGAAGGCGTACGTGACTGGCGGGAATTTCCGAAGAATTGCTCTTAATGCTCGTTTGAACTCTTCATTCGTTTGTATCAGCTGATTCTTCCCAAAGTCTTTGGGCAATTGCGTAAAGTCGTCGAGTGATGGAGCTTCATCTTCCCAGTCCGGCGGCAGCGATTGGAACTCATGAGGCGAATCGATGGGTTGTGTCTTCTCAGAAGATATGAAGCGGCGATTGGACTGTACAAGAGGTCTCCGACACCAAGCTATCCGGAATGCTGACTGTCGTCGATACATCTTGTACCGACGTCGATGCCTGATGTTCGGCAAAGTGAGAGGGCGGATGACGTAAGCGCGGCGCGGCTGCTTCCGTAAAATCGCGTTGCTTGCGTAACCGCAACCCCGTCTTGGCGCAGCAGATGTTTGTGTCCCGCCTGCCGCGTCCAGACGCGACTTCCTCCCAATACCGCTCATCCCACACCACACCATTCCAGCAGCACTCGGTCTTGCACGGCAACTCAGCCGCGACCTGTAACAATTGAGCAGAACACAGAAAAGATTTCTATAACCCCCGGCTACCCTTACGGCAGTCGACACTATGGACGCCGCGCTGGCCTCGTACCACGCGCGTCTCGCGACTTTTGAGGGAGCAGCCACGACTGGCAAGGGCAGACGAACCAGCAGCAGATCAAAAAAGGCAGGCACAAAGTCAAAAGCTGCTTGGCCATTACATGCGCCCTCGGCCCAGGACCTGGCCTACGCCGGGTTTGTGTGGAAGCCAACAAGCGCCAGTCCAGACAATGTCCAATGCTTCAGCTGCGAATGCCAGCTCGATGGCTGGGAGGAGGAGGACATACCTGCATTCGAGCATCTTACGCATTCACCAAGCTGTGGCTTTGCTGCTATCGCTTGCATTCGTCTGCGCACAGGCGACCCAGGCAGGACGGAAGATGACCCTACATCAGACTCAATGGTGGCTGCGCGCCGGTCAACATTCGCCGACATGTGGCCTCTCGACCCTTCTGCCGGCTACCCTACCGTAGACCAGATGGTGGCTGCGGGATGGTTTTACGATCCCTCAACAGACACACCCGACGGGGTGACCTGCCCCTATTGCGCCTTGGCTCTGGATGCATGGGATATTGGCGACGACCCTATGCAAGAGCACCGTCGCCGCTCACCCGAATGTCTCTTCTTCACCCTATCTAACATCTACAACAAGCCAGTGCCAGTACCAAAGAAGGGAAAGCGGGCATCCACAAAGAAGCGTGCATCAGCACGTTCTTCAACCGCGTCGACCGCGAGTAGGAAGGGCACCCGTGGCAGAAAACGAACAAGCGATGCTATGGAAGAGACTACCATGGAGTACTCCTCAGTCACTCAATCTGAGATGATGCAGTCTGAGATTACACAGCCAGAAACCACTCAGCCACCACCCAAACGACTTCGATCTTCCAGTATTGAAAGCTTTCCCAGTGACCTTCCCGTCGGGACACCTAAGAAGACGCCGACAGGATTGCGGGAAACTCGTGCATCGAGCATGGACATGTCAAGTCTACCTGCAGATCTACCAGTTGGAACACCTAAGAGGACGCCACCTATGATGAGCGAAGCAGACGAGCCTCGCGAGACTCTGGCCTGGAAGCCAGCAGACATTGATGCCCTCTTCTCTTCTCACGAGGAAACTCATGGCTTTATGAACGACATCCTCATCGACTCCGGCCTGGACAACATCGAGGTCGCCGGTCTAACACCTGAACGCCTTTATGAACTAGTCTCGGCAGGTCTTACGGATCACGAGAAGGGAATGACTATCGAGCAGTGGGTCCTATATAACGCAAAGAGGGGCGAAGAGAAGCTCCGGATGGCCTGTGAACAGCAAATCCTTGCGTTCGAGGCAGAAGGACGACGAGCCATGGCCGTCTTGGAAGGGATCCCCACGCTTTGATTTCTACAGACGTTGATGAGGGTTGGAGTACTTTGGAGTTCGGTCGTTTATGATACCCCGTTATGAGAGGTGGGCACGTTGGCTTCCACAGGCGTTTTTGTTGATGAAGATGTGTTCAGTTGGTGGTAACCGCATATCCCCTTCCCCTTCTCTTGGGCTTAAGGTGAACCCCATGGTTGTAGCCGCCTGCGAGGGCTGGCTCCTGTGGGGTGATCTGTCGTAGCCTAGAGTCGGGGTTGGGGTAGGCACGTTTGTTTAATCGTGTTAATTCAGGCACTGTTTGTCTTGCACTGTACGATATGTGGAATGAGAATAATCACGCACGTTTTAGATTTACTCAGTGGCATGAGGATAGCTCGCGATGGTGATGTACTATCGTGACTTGCTCTGGTTAGACACTAGCCAGCAATAACTTGACCCGATGATCATGCAGCAATTCCTACCTCTGACGTAGGTGAAGATCGACGTGCTTTTTGCCGCTGTGTTTCACCGAAATACCACACGTGTTCACGTGATCACCTACAGAGACGCCGATCGTAGACTAGGTAGAAGCATTCTTCATTCCACGAAACCTCGTATCCTCTGTAAATTCTCCAGGAACCCACCGCTTTTCTGCTGCTGAGGCTGCTGTTGTGGCTTTGACACACTGCTACTCCTAGCTGGCTTCTGCTGACCTCGTTCCTTGTCCTCGTCTTTTTCCTTTTCCTGCTCTCTTTGCTTCTCTTCCGCCAGCTTGACGAGACCATCGACGAACTTTGTTCTTGCCTTCTCCTCTGCTGTACCCTTCCAGACCCGCGCCAGGTCTCTTAGCGCCTGTATCCGTGCCTCGGCCTTCTCTATGCCACCTTCAGGATCACCGGTGATGAGATCGGCAATCTCGGAGCGTAGTGAGGCAGCAAACTCCTTGCCCTTTTGCTCTCGGGAGGCGTTGTCTGTGCCGGGCTCAGGAGCTGAGACACTGATGAGGGAGGCGCCCAGGGACACCTCGGACGGCGGTAATGTCCAGTGCATGGCTTCACCGAATACCTTGATCACTGTCTCGAGCCGCGAGCGGACCGTACTGAGAGTTCGGAGGTCGGAAATGTATTCCGGTGTAGTGTCTTTGTCTCCTACCAACGCCATCGGCGGCCGTTGATCTCCATCTTGTGCATCTGCAGGTATGGCTGCCGGGCTTGCGACACCATCGTCTATTGATTCTGTGTTCACCTTGATGCCACCTGGCAAGAATCTCTGGACATCGCTCTTCAATCCATCTGTCAGGGTTTCCGTAAGCCCTATCGCCTCTCCCCGCAGCACCTCGACCTCGTAAGCCAGTCGCCCACCGCTTCGCAATATGTCATCGGTCAACTGTGTCAGTATCGCCGATAGCCGCGTTGTATGCGCATTGAGCTGCGAAAGGAGGTCTTGCGTCTGCGAAGAGAGCTCAGCCAACGAAGCGGCACTGCCGGGCTTTGGCCTGGAGGCTAGCGAGAGCGATGGAAGCGTGGCATTGAGATAGTCGGCAGGGTCAAAGCGTTCCTGGAGGAATGGCGCAAGCGCAGGATCGGCTACGTGTGTAGATTTGGGTGCCGTCTTTTGGTCTGATACTGCCATGCTGCTTACGGAGGCCTAAGGAGCTATCGTAGGCGTTCCTGGACAGGGCTGGAAATAGTGCCGAGATCTCGGGATCTTGGCCAGAAGTGCTTCGCTCCCGCACCTAAAAAGTGGGGGAGGGGTACGCTACTTTGCATCTTGAAATGACGGCATCCCTCGCCCATCCAGAGCCATTTGCTTGTGTGTGTCATCGTCGTCTATTCAGCAGGGACGGATATACGCCCCGCTACTCGCACCAGGGAGTCCACGTTGAATGGCTCGCTGGTTAACCCTGTGGAAGTGATGGCGGGGGTCCACGGGCGGCTCAGTCAAAGCTCCACTTCTCCAGGCAACACAAGCTCCATCCATGCATCATCACCACAATTGCTGTTGACCATCAAGCCAGGCAGCCTTGCACAGGTACATCCTTCCCTGACAAGCGTCTGTGGCTGTAATTCCGCCTGCATAGAGGGCATTGATCACTCACTTTCTCCCCTTTCTCTCCTCTCTCTCCATTGTTTGGCTCGCTCTTTCCATGGCCCCTAGTAACCCTTTCCGCGTTTGTTTTCTCACACAATCTGGAAGAGGTGCATAGATTGACGTCACCTACTGTTTCCTACGCGCTCTACGCGTATTTCACCACCTCCATAAAGGACCACATCTTTCTACGTTTCCACCGGCCTGCGCACTTGCTCAATCGCCGCCCTTGGCCAACCCGCAAGCAGACTCCACTTCAACTGATTCTTCGAAGAACTTGTACCGAACTTGCCCAAAATGCCGCGGCGGCAATTCCAGGCCGACTTGCAGAAGGCTGCGGAGACCATATCGATAGCGGGAATCTCAGATGTGCGCCCAGGCGGCGACGACGGCGAATTTACCTTCATGTGCATGGCAGACGGCCAGAAGCTGCAGATTTCTGCCCTTATACCCGGTAGGATCATGTCCCAAACCGTGTCTGAAGCGCGAGCGGCCTCTTGATGATTCCAAAGGCTTCGCAGCAAGATATACTAACTGAATACAGATGTCTCCGACTATCCTTCTAGTCACACCTGCATGATCTTTGGAGCCGACAACACCTCCGCCAGCGTCGCTGCAGCCCTGAACGATATTACCATCAACGCGCAAACTGTTCCTGAGATCCTTGAGCTGGTTTCCATCCGCCTCAAGTCGACCGACGATGACGGTGACCGCCAAATGCTTGATTCTCAAGAGTTCGACGAGTTCGACGACGAGGATGAAGACGAATATTTCCCTGGGGACGAGGAGTTGCTACCGTCAAAGCCTCGGATCGCAGACTATGCAGCAGTACCCGGTGAGGGCTCTACAGAAGCTACAGCTGCATTCCGTAAGCGCGTCCGGAATGATCTCTCAACTGCGAAGAGCCAAGGTTTCAAGGTGGGCCATCTCGGTGGTTTAATGAGCGGCCAAGCATGCTATGTCTCTCTTGCGGTCCGCATTAGCAAGCTCGGCATCTCAGAAGAAGCTATGCAAGCATGGCAGGTGGAGCCGTCAGAGTACCTCGTAGCTATCCTCCAATACCCGTCAGGGTATAGAGATATGGACGAAGTGAGGTCATATGATGCTCGTCAAGCTCGCCGAAGTCTCGGTATCCGTGTCGGCATATGTACCACATACAAACCAACCATCTCTGAAGCCGTAGCAGCATTCTCCGTCCTCAGCCACGAAGACGCGAAGCGACAAGAATCTCAATCGTTCGAACCACAGAGCGCATTCACAACGTTACCTACAGGCTTTCGAAACTCTTTCATCTCTAGGGCCCTGAACGAGTTGTTAGACCAGCGCTTTCACATGCTCCTCAAATACCGATACGGAGGTATGCCATGGCAGGGTGCTGAAATGTTTTACAACGATCAGGTCCTGAAAGCATCACATACGGATAAAGATGCTTCGCACGACAAGTACTACGCGGAAGAGAAGATCTGCAACGCGTGGCCCAAAATCGTCACAGACGACCACATCATTTCTTCATTCAGCGGACAGCATTCTCTGCCTCTAGTCGCCATGCAATTTGTGCTCCGACACTTTGTGAGGTGCACAGAGTTTTGCCTAATCTGCTTCAGCAAGATGCCTGATGACTTACAGGCCATCAAGCCTTATGTCTGCGACAACCCTCTGTGTCTGTACCAGTACATGTCACTAGGATTCGGCCCGAGTATTGAACATGAAATACTTTCTCAACCCAAAGTCGTCGACTTGCTCATCAGCTTCTGCTACATGAGTGCGCGCGGTGGCGCGCTCAAAGACTTTCCTACTGGTCTTAGCCTAGCAGTACCACCTCCAGTAACTTTCGAGAAGGACTATGGGCCGATTACTGCAAGCTATGCTGCAACAATCGTGCCTGAACAAACGCGAATCGCGACTGTAGCTACGCCCGCGAAAAGCACGCGATACAATGCAGTCACACGCGAGATGTTGTTTGATGATCACACGCGGGCGTGTCCTGTCTCAAAAGGTCACTGGGTCGTTATTCGTATGATGGATAACTATCAGAAAGCTCTGCATTGTCGTGTTGTAGATGCATCGTACTATCCGGCAGTCAAGCTATCTAATCCGATCAGTCCACTGCTGGAAACATATGAGGATGAATCACACATATCGCGCACTGATCGACAGCAGGCCGCACAACCGCAAAAGCAGATGCCAGTTCCGCCTCCCTTGAACGAGTTCCGGCCCGCAACCTACCACCTTTACGATCACAACTTCGACGACCTCCAGGATTACGACAAGTCGCAGGCTATACTGGGTCTGTTGGACTTGTTACCCCCTATACAGGAGATGAGGGAGTATCTCATGCGGAAACACCAGTCTACGCTTAGCGCATGGGTTGATCGCCTTTCTCCGGCTGCCGTTGGGATACTGCGTTGGGTCATTGCCTCGAATCGAGCTTGTATCCTACAGGTTGATGACGGAGACCCTGCAAACGGTCGAAAATCTGAAGAGAGGCTATACGGTATGAGCGGTTGGGCACAGTTCCGTTTTGCAATGGGTGCTCCCGACAAGGAACGCCGATTCATTCAAGCGGTGCAACAAACTACTAGCAGACTTGGCCTACAGTATCCCACTCTATTTGCATGGCACGGGAGTCCCCTTAAGAACTGGCATAGTATTATTCGAGAGGGCCTTCATTTCAACCAAACTCTCCACGGTCGAGCCTTCGGCCATGGGGTCTATCATTCCCAAGAAGTTCAGACAAGCCTCGGGTATTCCGGCGGAAATAGTGGATATAATATTGTCTCCGGTTGCTGGCCGAGAAGTGAGCTAAAAGTTCAACAGGCTTTGGCCCTGAACGAGATTGTCAATGCAACATCGGAGTATGTCAGCCATTCGCCACATCTAGTGGTAGCTCAGTTAGATTGGATTCAGACTCGTTACCTCTTTGTGAGGACCCGAGAAGGCAACTGCAATTTTGCTACTGCAACTGGAGCTGCAACTGGAAACGCAGCAGGAGCCAGCAGACAGGACAGTAGGCCGCTCGCTTGTGTAGACCAGGATCCGAACCATACTCCTCGCGGCGTCGATGGTCCACTCATTATTCCAATCCATGCCATTGCCGCCTCTCGTCGGCCAAAGGCAAAAGCTACTGGGGTGAGCGATCCACAGGGAACTCTGGAGGCCTGGCTAAACATTCCGCAGAAGCATAAACGCCAGAAAGCTTCGGGCAAAAGCAAGTATGACCCCATCGAGATTGACGACGACGACGAAACTGCGAGCGTTGCTACCCTTGAGGAGGATCGTGCCATTTTCGAAGAGAACGAAGAAGACCAGTTTCAACAGACCACCGGCTTCCTCCCCACACCGAATTCACTGCCCGGGGACAAGGGAAAGTCGAAAATGGGTTCCCTATCGTCATTGTCGTCCAAGCTCTTTGGAAAATCCTCGTCCTCAAAGCCGCTTACCGATTATGTCCCCGGTACCCTAGACTATAGTACCCTACCCATGCTACAGATGCCTGCATGGGCTACCTCGGCTGCTACCAGACGTTTGATGAAGGACTTCAAAGATCTCATCCAGATCCAGAACAAAGAACCACTTCATGAATTGGGCTGGCACATTGATGAAGACAGGGTTGAGAACATTTACCAGTGGATCGTGGAACTCCATTCTTTCGAAGCTAGTCTCCCCCTTGCACAAGACATGAAGAAGCACGGCGTCAAGAGCATCGTACTGGAACTGCGCTTCGGTAAGGATTATCCTATGAGCCCGCCGTTTGTTCGCGTTATCCGGCCTCGTTTCCTCGGATTTGCCCAGGGTGGAGGTGGTCACGTCACTGCCGGTGGTGCCATGTGCATGGAACTCTTGACGAATGATGGCTGGAGTGCTGTATCTTCGATCGAGTCGGTTCTTCTGCAGGTCCGCATGGCTATTTCTAGTCGCGATCCAAAGCCCGCGCGCCTGCAGTCAGGGTCCATGGCAAACTACGGCGTTGGTGAAGCGGTGGACGCGTACATGCGTGCTTGTGCAATACACGGGTGGACTGTACCCGCCGGCTTTAGAGAGATGGCATATGGAGGAGCGGAGAGCGCAAGTGGCGTTCAGGGCCCTGTCTAAGTATCTCGGTTATGGTCCACAGGCGTTCCGGTAAAGGTGCATTGGGTGGGAGCTCTTCGATACCTCGTACCTGTTAGGTCATAAAGAGTCACGTGGACAATGAGCGTGGTTCATGAAAATGGATATGAAAGGCAATACAACATACTTGATGAAGATTTACTTGCAGTGGGTATCATTAACGTGAGAACAGGCGTTGTAACGGCCTATGAGAAGTTCGTAAACTACATAGATTCTATCCAGCTGCCAGCAAGCCATATTCCCGCACAGCCAGCCAATGCAGCAGCACCATATGCTTGCTTTGTCCAGCCTTGCTCCTCGCCAACCTTCCAAGCACCTTCTCTCCGTACGCTACGCTGTGCAGACTTCTCTGTGCTCACATTCTCAACGCTCTGATCATGAGACCTAGCCACCTTGACAACACCCTCCGCCTCTTGCATCCACGCCGTCTCATTCCGACCCTCCACCTCAACATTTTGCACATTGCCAAAGAAATCCATGACCCTCCTATTCCTCGCCTCCTGTTCGCCGCCCCTAAACAAATCGTACCTGATTCCAGGACGGCTATGAATCTTCTCCTCGTCGTAGCTGTCGAACAAATCGCCCATTGTGAGTTTACTAGTCGGGTCCTTGACCTGGTTCTCCAGGAATTCGAGGTTGTAGTATGTGTAGCGGTCGATGACGGCGACACCGACGTCGTTGTCGGCGTGGTGGGAGTAGGACGACTGGTCGATTTCTGAGGAACCTGTTGCGAGAATGTTGGGAGAGTAGAATTTCGAGTACATGGTGTTTGCTTGGCAGGTATCTATCATGAAGAGGATTTCGTGGTATCTACAATACTTTGTTAGTGGGTGTTTCGTGGCGAGGAAGGACTGGGAGGGGGAACATACCGTTTCTTCTCCCACATCTGACCAAATGCATCTGCAAGATCGAATGCGCTGATTTCCTCGGCGTCTTGGAATTTCAAGAACTCGTTGCCGCCGTGGCCGGTCATGTAGACTAGGATGTTACTCCTCTCGTCCGTCATTAACCGCTTGCTTCGTGGCATGTCCTCGCCCACTCTGTCTGTCATCAACCTGATGAAGTTTTCCACTGTGACTTCGTAGCCTCTGTAGTCGACTTCAATATTGTCGCCGTATAAGTCGAGTGCGCGATCCGCGTTGTTGTATACAGTGCCGGGGAAGGCGTTGCGCGGGTTGCAAGCCATGTCATCGGGGAGCATGAGGATGATTTGCGAGTCAGGGATTCCAAGGCGCTTTACGGTACGGTAGAGAGACAGGACATTGGCAAGGTGACGGTAGTTGAACCAGAAGCGGGATGTAGACACGAGAACAGCCCAGTTGGAGGTATGTTCGCTGGCGACGAAGGGCGTCGCCAGTAGCGGCAGGAGGGCTTTTGAGAACTTCATCGCATACGTAGTCGACTATAGCCGTCTGCGGGGATGTGTGGAGTAGTAATTGATAAAGTGTACGGCCCGCGACGCGCCCCCCTGGTGGTTTGGCCAGTTCGCGATGCACATTAGAGAGGTAGCGGGCCCCATCTGACAAATCGGAGATAAGCTCAAATCCGGCCAATACCTGACAGCCGGCCATCACGTGTGGGGCTAGCCAAGCGTCATCTTGTGCACATGGCCAAGCACGCCATCTGATATCGAAGGGGCTGTTATCTAGGCGCATATATCAGAGAAGGATCATCTGCCCTTGGTCGTTTCTTTTTTCATGCTTCCTCTCCTCCTTCAAACTGGCTGAGTCTATTCAGCTCCAGGATCTATCGAGCATGGCGCCAGACCGAGGATCCGCATCGCTGGAAAATGAAAGAGTTGGACGTGATGGTGAGGCGCTGGAGGACGACGCGCTTAGCCGCAGTAGGACGGAAGCACGCGCATATCTAGCGGATCAGGCGTCGCAACCGCAGAACTTTACGCTGAGAGGTGTTTTGGTCGGCTTGGTTATTGGTGTGGTCATTTGTTTCTCCAATATGTACTTTGGGTTGCAGACGGGTTGGGTTTCGGGTATGGCTATGCCTTCTGCGCTTATTGGGTTCGCGTATTTCAAGGTTGTTGCAAAGACACTCAAGTTGCCGTTTACTCCTGTGGAAAATGTGCTTATTCAGTCTGTTGCTGGGTCCGTTGGTACGATGCCACTTGGATGCGGATTCGTGGGCGTTATTCCTGCGTTAAACTACCTTTTGAAGCCGGAAGAGAATGGACCACTGGATATCAGTCTTTGGAAATTGATCGTATGGTCTGTGGGGATCTGCTTCTTCGGAGTCGTATTTGCGGTACCGCTGCGGAAAGAGATGATTATTCGGGAGAAGCTGAAGTTTCCGAGTGGAACTGCAACTGCGCTTTTGATCAAGGTGCTTCATGGGGATGAGAAGTCAAAGACAATGATAGCTCGCGAGAGACGCAAGGCCGGAGACGAGTATTCGGATGATGAAGAGGAGGTACAAGGGTTGTTGCAGGGGTCAAGTGCACAGCGGGAGGAGCATGACTTGAGGCCATCACTCGACCACGGTGTGAAAGAACCGGCTCAGGAGCTTGAAGATGACGGAGACTGGAGGTCAAAGATTAGATTACTATTGATTTCCTTTGGTGGATCCGCCCTATACACCGTTGTCTCGTACTTTATCCCGCAACTACACGATATTCCCGTCTTCGGCCTCCCGTTGGCGCAAAACTGGCTCTGGACTCTCAACCCTTCCCCAGCATATGTAGGCCAGGGAATAATCATGGGGCCAGCCACAACTCTACACATGCTCCTAGGCGCCATTATCGGCTGGGGCGTCCTATCACCACTCGCCAAACACAAAGGCTGGGCTCCAGGCCCGGTATCAGATTGGACTAATGGTTCAAAAGGCTGGATAGTGTGGATCTCGCTCGCCATAATGCTGGCAGACTCCCTCGTCAGCTTAGGATGGTTGCTTCTGCGTCCGCTCGTTACCATCGGAAAGGCCTACTACCCCATGGCAAAGAACACGTTCCAATCGCATACCTGGAAAGAGCTCCTCACATTCAATATCGCGCTAAATCAGCAATACACGCAGCTCGATGATGGAACCTCAGCGGACCCATTGACGGCTCTCAAGCAACAGCTTGCAGAAGGCGCAGAACCAGATGCGCCACCTGAACATCTGGTCTCGAACCGCACCACCATTATCGGCCTCATCGCATCTCTGGTTCTCTGTGTCATTGCTGTCCATGTCTCCTTTCCTGGTCTCATACCTTTCCGCCTCACCTTGCTATCCCTCGTCCTCGCACTGTTTCTGTCAATCATGGGAGTGCGCGCCCTAGGCGAAACAGATCTCAACCCTGTTTCTGGCATCTCGAAGCTCACGCAACTCGTCTTCGCACTTGTCACACCAACAACAGGACCTGGCGCAAAGAATGCAGTCATCATCAATCTGGTGGCTGGTGCTATATCAGAGTCAGCAGCACTGCAGGCAGGCGATCTATTACAGGATCTGAAGTGCGGACACTTGCTTGGTGCAGCACCAAATGCGCAATTTTGGGGTCAGATGATCGGATCTGCAGTTGGTGCTGTACTTTCCGCTGTTGTTTACAAACTTTACACGCATGTATACACTATTCCAGGCGGGCTATTCGAAGTGCCGACTGGCTATGTCTGGGTGTTTACTGCGCGATTGGTCACAGGCACCGGTTTGCCGCCCATGGTCAAGGAATGGGCAAGTGGAGCGGCCGTCATCTTTGCCGTTGGCACGATGATCCGGGTCTGGGGGAACAACAGGAAGCAGAGGGGTCTGAGTGGGTGGTGGATCGACTTTGTTCCCGGTGGGATCGCCGTTGCTGTCGGTAAGTTGCTTGCGCATCATTGTGTAAAGAACGATCGTTAACATGATGCAGGCATGTACAACACGCCGTCCTTCACTCTAGCACGCACCATGGGCGGCTTGCTCAGCCTGTGGTGGCGTCGCTGGAAGGGTAGAAGCGAGACACCCATCATCGTGCTTGCGAGCGGTCTGATCCTCGGCGAAGGTTTGTTTAGCATTGTCAATCTTTTGTTAGCCAGTCTGGATGTACCGCACCTATAAGATACCTAGGTATATATGCTTTCGTTCTATTCGTACTCTTCTGTCCATGCAGTCAGTTCCTGAATGCTGTCACTTTGTTTTGCCTCGAGATGTGCGCCTGTCTTGAGGCCTCGAAGCTATCGTGCAGTGTCATCTATCATACCCTTGTTGTCCTCAAGTTTTTTCTCCTCCCAGTGCAACATGCCTTGCAATCTTAAACATATCTCGTATAACAGTCATATGTCATATCCTTAGTTTCTCTCTTTGCCTCGCAACGTCAACATGTCTCAAGGCCTTGGAGCTCTGTCGCACCAGTATCATCTATCTCTCCTCCGTTGAGCTATAATATGGATGCTTCTCAGCTATTGCATTCATCTCCACATTTGCATGTGTGTGCAGCGTTGGCGCTTTGTTGTTGTTGTTGTTGTGTGCACAGCCACCGTGCACTCCGTTGCGTCGCGTTTGCTCTCACTCTCACTCACCTCGATGCCAAAATTGCGTCCTCCACCACGACGTATATATCGTCTATATATTTCAATTAAATGGCAATTCAATCATTAATATCAGCGGTTCTCGTATTTTCTAATCGGTGGTTGTGGTTTCATAGAGACGTCTACTCTGTCATGATTGTTGTGAAAGGACTACTTGGGCTCTGGCTCGAGCTCTCCCGAATGCCTCTTAGGTTTATAAAGTTTGTATTGGATTATTAGCTACAGCTGATACCCGGTGCAAGAAGGTTAGCCCTGCTTTGGTCCGACCGAACTGAGCCAGATCCGATTTTTTTGCTCTTTTTTCTTTCACCTTCATTCTTCCATGCTCTTCTGTGCTTCTTCTGCGTGTGCCAAAGCGAGTGACTCTTAATAGCTAGGTTACGATGTTGTTACGTCACTGCAACAGGCATTGAACACTACATGCATATACGACAGTAACTGAGTGAGCTGCATGTCACAATATTTTTGCAACAGATGCAGTGCTGCTGCAAGAAGGTCTAGTACTGGCTGCATGTACAGAGTAGACTGAGTGCCTGCAACATACCACACTTTCCGCGCTCAATTACGCCGTCATACTTAATGACAACAAGCTGATGTCTTCGTCAAACAGAGATGCATGTATCTACTGGTACACTGGTGCTGGCGGTGAGTGAGTGCTCCAGCGTGACCTGCTATAGTGGGGCCTCTCATTCACCTCACTGAGCGCCTTCCCGTTTGTGCAAACGCGGAAATTTTGGGTTACATCTTGCTCATTTCGCACCGACAGGCCACCAAAGCTACCAAATCAATTGCTCTGCGATTGGCACTACACCAATTGCTTTTCCATCCAATACTACCACAAGGATCATTCTGCAGAAATGTCCCGGCCGCTGTCAAGCGCCCCTGCACGCACTGACAAGATGTACCATGATCTCAGCCGCAGCAAGGCCCGCATCCAGTTGAGGGAAACCATCCGCGGTGAGACCTTTGACGGCGTTCAAATTACAATGCCGCCGGCAGAAATCCGTGAGAGCATGGAGACGCTGCGCCTCGTTACCGGTAGTTTCAACTTGGCAAGTCGCTATCCCGCATCTGCGTCTCTCAAGATCATCTCGGAGAACTGGGACGTGGACATGAACAACTTTCCACCTGTCCCCCGCGGCTACGGCGGGAAAACCTTTCGCCCAGCTGGTGATGCCTCGACCTGGGACCTCCGTCTACTTGCCTTCCTGGCCATCCTCGCGGACTTTACTCCTGGTCAGGGCGAATACATCGGCACGCTCGTTAATTCAGCCGTTGAGCTCCGAAGTATTAGACAAGAGGTCGAAGATAGATCTTCATACTGTTACCTCAACGGATGTCGTCAGGGTTATTCGCGACATGTTGCATTCACTTGAAGAGGAGGAGAAGAAGGAAGATATCTTGGCTGCTAGGAAGACGAAAGTCGAGTACGATGACAAGAAGAAGGCTGAGGGAAAGATCTACAAGGAGACCGAGCAGGCCATATACACAGGTCTGGCTGTTGGTGGCAAGGAGATGGAGCAGGTCGAGAAGCAACTGAAGAAGACTGCACTGTCGGAGCAGTTGGAGTCGGACTCCGACGAGGAGATCCTGACTCACACTGAGCGCATGGAGTAAGGTTGCGAGAGGATACCAATGGTAAATCTCGGAGTAAGTGGGGGCTTATACATCTGCTAGATGTAGACGTCCACATAACAAGTAGTCACTGAGACAGTCAATCGATTCATGTCTCCATCAGGGCTCTGTGTTTTCTACCAAGTGGCCAAATTTATACCCCTACTTGTTATACACATCCAATTTTGAGTATTGACATGGCAGGTGAACTTGCTTCGTATACGCCAAGGCTCGTTATTGGATATGAGGTGGTATCTTCTCGGTGCCGCTTAGTCATTCACGCGTCTTCGTGTGACGACACTGCCCCGCTGAGGTGCCCGCCCGCCGCGATGCCGCCTTCCGACCAAACTTTGACTCACCCCGCAACTACACATCACAAGTGGTAATTTGTGCGCGCAACCTACATACTCGAATCGGAAGCAAGCCCTGCAAACCTGCAAATCCTTTTTATCACACTTCAGTAAAATGGCAAAGAAGGGTGGCGCTGGTGGCGGCGAGACGTCGAAGAAGGCGCAAGGTCAAGCGCGCAAAGCCGACGCCGCTGCATCCAAGCAGGCGGCAAAGAATCAACAAGTAGAAAAGGCAGAGGCAGAGGAGTGGAACAAGGGTGCCAAGTCAAATGCAAAGGCGTACGTTTCACCGTCATCCTTGCGCATCAAGTAGCTAACCATCGCAGCGAGGCAGCAGCGGAAAAGGCCGCAGAGGCAGCCCGTAAGAAGGCCGAGAAGGAGGCACTTCTCCGCGAAGAAGAAGCATCCTTACCCTCAAAGCCCAAAGGCAAGGCACCCAAAGCCGAGAAGAAGTCCCGCGGAATCGACTCGGCACTTGGATCCTTTGACTCCAAGCCCGGCGCCCTCAACGCCACTGGTATCGACAACGCGCTCGATGCTCTAGATATTACGGGCAACAGTCAGGACAAGGTCGACCGACATCCTGAGAGGAGGTTCAAGGCCGCCTACGCGGCATTCGAAGAGCGGAGACTGGAGGAGATGAAGGACGACAAGGGCCTGCGACGGCAGCAGAAGGTTGACCAGATCCGCAAGGAGTTTGAAAAGCATCCGGAGAACCCGTTCAATCAGGTCAACGCAAACTACAACATGTCCAAGGAGGAGATTGCAGCGCTGCGAGAGGCGGAGAAGGAGAAGAAGGAAAAGAGGCTTGTTGGTGTCAACTGAGCACAATTTCTGTTCACGCAAGGATGGATATCGCGGGGGGCGTTCTTGGTAGACTTGGGACTAGAGGCCTTGATGCATGATTCCGACAGGCCGAGGCATATCTCCGGGGGTTCTGCTAGGCTAAGGCTTATCGACAAGGACTTGGGTCAGTAACTCATGGTTGTATGGCTGTCCGATTAATTACGTTTGTTGCTTTTGTTGGCAACCATATCCAAGGCGTGTGGCTATGCTGCATCCACCTTTATGCAGGTACACGTCGGAAGCCGAGCTGGAGATCCGTCACACGTCAATAGTCGCCGTGCTCGATGGACAAGGCGACAGGTGACAAGGCTATTGTTAGTAGCCAGACAAAGCTGTGGCGGTTATCGCAGCTCGGAAATCACAAAGGGTTCCACGTATTGCAGACAATGAAGGACAAAGTGCCCAGGCGGCAGACCAAGATGAAAGGCCAGAACAGCAAGCGAGCCCTGGACGTGAAACGCGCGTGCTAATGGTTGATTGGCTCGCACCAAATCTGTTCCTGAGTTTCGAAACGCCCGCCTACGCTAACCCCTGCTGCACCCGCGCGCTCCTACCCCGGCCTTGAATTGTCGACCAACCGAGCCCCACCCGGCCTGAGCCTGATAGATTATGTATAGCCCCGGATTCACAATGTCATTGTTTCCCTCTTCACTCATTCGCTGCTTCTGCGGTATTCAATCGTTCTTTCTTCCATTTCTGCTACGACTTTCGGTCGTTTTACATTCTCTCAATCTTTTCTGCGCTTCTCAATCTATTGTCTGGTACAGCCCCTGCTATACAACGAGCATACCTTCGGCACTAGTTTCTATTCGAGATCGCACACCTTTACACTCAACCTTCCGACATTCGTTTCTACAAACATGAAGTATTTTACCACTACCGGAGCGGTGCTCTTGAGCGTACTCACAGCCACCGCTGGCGGTATTAAATTCGACCCAGAAGATGAAGGTACGTTTATTGAACGACAATGAGGGCGAGCTGTTTGCGAGGGGCGGACACATTTTCTTGTGCGCTTTGCTGACATCAGGCTAGCATCCATTCTGAGTGCTACTAAGCAATACGCCACCAACTTGATGTCGATCTACAAGGGTGGCGCTCCAAACACAGCAAAGGAAGATATAGGAATCTGGCCGCAACCTCACTACTGGTGGCAAGGAGGTGCCGCGTAAGTAAACCTGATAATTCCCGGTACAACGCATATACTGACTTGGATAGATGGGGTGGCATGATAGAATACAGCCAGTTCACAGGCGACAACTCCTACGTTCAGGTGCTCCAACAGGCCTTGACCGCCAACTACGGGCCAGCCAACGACTTCATCCTGTCGTACCGCAAGAGCCAGACAGGCAATGACGACCAGGCTTTCTGGGCTTTGGCCGTTATGAGTGCGCTCGAGTATCAGTTTCCTGACCCCGCACAGGCGCCGGCCGACTACTTGAAGGTCGTAACCAACGCTTTCGAGAACATCATGGGGCGCTGGGACACTACTACCTGTGGAGGAGGTCTGAAGTGGCAGATCTACCCAGAGAACGCTTACGGGTACAACTACAAGAACGCCATCTCGAACGGCTGCGCCTTTGCCCTTGGCGCCCGCCTTGCTCGCTACACTGGAGAGCAAAAGTACGCGGACTGGTCTGTCAAGATCTACGACTGGACCAAGAAGACTGGCCTCATCAGCGACAAGTTTGAGGTCTTTGACGGCACTGACGACAAGACCAACTGCGCTACGGTTTCCGACAAGACCCAGTGGACGTACAACAACGCCATGTTCCTTCATGGATCTGCGTTCATGTACGACTTTACCAAGGGCGATGAGACCTGGAAAGACCGCACGTCGGGCTTCCTCAACCACGCAGAAACCCTCTTCTTCAGGCCTTATGAAAACGCTACCGGCATCATGTACGAGTGGGCTTGTGAGACTGGAGAATCCGGAAGGCACTGCAACCTCGACCAGCAGTCGTTCAAGGCATATCTCTCCCGCTCCATGGCCAAGACTGCGATGTTGGCTCCGTTCACCAAGGACAAAATTGTGGAGTTCTTGAAGGCCTCTGCAGTTGGTGCTGCCAAGTCTTGCTCAGGTGGTCCCGATGGCACCACTTGCGGCAGCAAGTGGTACACAGGAAGCTGGGACGGCATGTCTGGTGTTGGTCAGCAACTGTCTGCTCTCGAGGTCACTCAAGCTCTCTTGATGATCAAGAAGGGTACCCTTCCCGCGAAGAACACTTCTCAGAAACCCTCCACGAGTGCTGCCCCATCGTCTAGCTCGGCCCCTGCCTCGTCCACATCATCTGCCCCCTCTGCCCCCTCTGCCTCTCCATCTAGCGCGGCTGCTTCCTCCACACAGATTCCAACCAGCGAAGGTTCTGCCCCTAGCATGACTGCTCCTGCATCTAGCTCATTCAGCCAGGTTCTTCTGCCAACCAAGATCCCGGCCAGTGAGGGTCCAGCATCCAAAGCCCCTCAAGCAGCACCGTCAAAGGTGCCCGAAGTGATTGAGGGACCTCAGTCTGTACCCACCTCGGCCGCTCCTCCTGCCGGTACATCAGTGCCTAGCTCGATCCCAGGTGGTCTAGTCGGTGGCATGAGCTCTCGCGAAGCTCTCCCTGCGTCGTAGGGAAACTGTGATTGTACGGTGCCTTCTACTCCCAAGACCACAAGTTGCAC